TGCGAGGAAGCCAGCTGCAGAGGTTGGCCACACCAGCAGACCCCCCGAGAACAACATGAAAGGAACTAGTATCCAGCCAACAAAGTGTGCTTACTCAGAAAAAGAGACGAGCATGTGGATTGAAGAATGTGCGGAGGTTGTATTTGTCCATCAATGTAATCGGTCAGAGCCAGTTCATCCCTATCTGTCTATCCATCCTTCACACTCTCAGTCATCACATGCACAAGGTGCTACCTGAAGGCTCTAACGTAATTCCTGTTTGGGTTAGCTTCAGGGCAAGCTGAAGACACTGCCCTCAATAAATATTACATAGGATCCTTGAGGTAAGAATACTTGTCTACCATGTGTCCAACTCTCCAGTGGACAATCGCTTCGTGCATAGATCCCTATCCAGACACCCACGATGGAAGGAAGTTCCGCAAATCACGTTATCATCCCTGTTGACCTAGTGCAACTTATAAGGGGCGTTCTTAAGTTGGCGTCTTAAACCCATATCCGGAACCTTACCCGAGACTGGGGATCCCTTTTTACCTAAACCCTAAACCCTAAACCCTAAACCCCAAACCCTAAACCCTAAAGACATAGAGACAACTTCGATGCCGCCTAGCAGCTCCACCTGTGGCAACATACTTGACGTGGAGGCCACCGAATCTAGAGCGGCCCTGGGTTCGGGTTTAGGGTTTAGGGAAAAAGGGGTTCGGGTTTAGGGAAAAAGGGTTTAGGGTTTAGGGTTTAGGGATTCTACAAATCATGGCTTATCCAGAATCCCCCTTATTCTAGGGGTCCTTACACCCCAAAAGTACATGAGGCTTGGGGTTTAGGGCTTGGGGTTATATGCCCTGCATAAAGGGCTTACGGTTTGGGACTTAGGGTTGATAGGGCCTATTGAAATAATTTAGGGATCGGATCCCGACAAGTTTTCGGCGGGTCCCTTTGTGTTTGACCTGGTCCAGGGTTTTGAGTGGGTCTTTGTTCTTCTACTTCTCTGGCGCAAGAGGTTGCGGTGAGGGTTTAGGGTTTAGGGAATCACCGCTATGCACTTTCAAATTACGAAGCCCACTGATGCAGTAGAATTTTGACTTTAGGGCATATACACTGCGAGATCCAGGTTTAAGGTTTAGGGTTTAGGGTTTAGGGTTTAGGGACCTTAACCCCCAAAACCCTGAACCCTCCCGACGCTACCCGGACACTCTCCAACTACGCCTGCGCTCAGCCACAAGAAGCCCCGAAACCGGACTTCCCGAAACCCTGAACAGACCCCAGGCCCTACACAACTATTTAGTTTGCTCAACTTAAGAACTCCCCCCCCCCCCCCCCCCCCCGCCCCCCCAACCAACCAAAAAAAAAAGCAGAAAAAAAGGACAATCATCCTTGCATTACCCTTATAATGACGAAGAATCGTTCTTGTTTCGGGTGGTCCTTAAGCAAACCCGTAGTAAAACCATCGGATGGCCCTAGCCTCAAAAAACCACATGCCCCCCTAAAACCCCGGTGCAATCAGGGCCCCCCCACTCTTCGTTACAGCGCTGGCTCTCTTCCAGCTTTGGCAGCTTGCCCCCTTTGAAGCCTGTCAAAAGCTGGTGCAAAAGCTCAGGGGGTCTATTCATGTTTAAGCAAGTTTGGAGTTATGGGGCTTACGAGGCTTGCTGATCAGAGCAAGGGGGCTTGGGCTTGGTGCGACTTCTCGTGGCTTTGGGGTTTCAGGACCGCTGCTGCTCACAGGAGCCCTTCACTATGTTCCTGCGACCGCGGTAGCTTGAAACTTGTGCGCCCTGCTCAAAACACGACGCCCCTGATCCTCCGAAAGAGATGCGAAGAGCCAGAGGCCCTTAAAAAAGGAGGGGAGGGACCGGGGGAACCTGAGGGAACGTCCATTGAGCAGAGCTCCGAAACCTGAAGGTCTTGTGATTTTGGTTTAGGGTTTAGGGTTTAGGGTTTGGGGTTTGGGGTTTGGGGTTTAGGGTTTGGGGTTTAGGGTTCAGGGTTTAGGGCTTATGGTTTGGGTCCCCTGTAGGTCGATTGGGGGGACTGCAACACGCGAGCACCACAAAGCAAAGCTTCCAAACTAGCCGTCAGGATTTAGGGCGCTAAAAGGTTGCCCTAAACCCTAAACCCTAAACCCTAAACCCTAAACCCTAAACCCTAAACCCTAAACCCTAAACCCTAAACCCTAAACCCTAAACCCTAAACCTTGGGCCCCTCTCCCCCCCCCCCCCCCCCCCCCCCCCCAAACAAACAAAACAAAGCAGCCCCCCAAAACAGGACGGGAAAACTGCCGCTCGCACTGACCACACTCACCGACTTCTTCGGAGACAAGGAGGCCATTGACATGGAGGCAGAAGCCTGAGCAAAGCATCTGGCAACTAAGGTTGCCCCTTCAAATCCTCTGAGAGGTTTAGGGTTTAGGGTTTAGGGTTTAGGGTTTAGGGTTTAGGGTTTAGGGTTTAGGGTTTAGGGTTTAGGGTTTAGGGTTTAGGGTTTAGGGCTGAGGGTTTAGTGGTCGAAACATGCCAATCCTATCCTGGCCAATGTTTTTGACTGTTCGCACTTTGGTCTTCCCAGCCTAGCCTCGCTTTTGGTGGTCTATCAGAGGAAAACTCGGTACCATATGGGCGTCTCTGAAAAGAGGGGTGCCCCTCCCCCCCCCCCCACCCCGATTATCTAGACCCAAGAGTAACCTAGAAATAGAAACGGTGCCTTTTTTACGGTCTGAGGGGGCTTCTCAGGCATAAGCAAAGCCTAACAAGGGAACACGGGCCCCCCAAACCCGAAACCCCAAACCCGAAAACAAGATGGGAATAAGCCTACTCCGGGTCTTAGTGATATCGGAACCCGCCCCCAAAAGGGCACGATCTTCGTGTACTATCCTGGGGAAGGTTTAGGGAATGGGGTGTAGGGCTTAGGGTTTCTGGTTTAGGGCGCAGGGTTGAAGGGAGCTTGGTGTTTAGGGCGCTCTGGTATCGGAGCCGAAGTGGGCCGCAAAACCCTTATGCCAACACTTCCTCGACGTGCACCCCGACCTAAGACCACTCCGGCCCTAAACCCCTAGCCCCTAAGCCCCTAAAGCCCCTAAAGCCCCTAAAGCCCCTAAAGCCCTAAAGCCCTAAAGCCCTAAAGCCCTAAAGCCCTAAAGCCCTAAAGCCCTAAAGCCCTAAAGCCCTAAAGCCCTAAAGCCCTAAAGCCCTAAGCCCTAAAGCCCTAAACCCCGAAACTCCTAAACCCCTAAACCCCTAAACCCCTACGTAAACCCTAAACCCTCCCCCCCACAGCGCCTCAGGATTCACATTCAAAGAGGTCGACAGAATGCAGGGCATGACTTCCACCTTCACGGCCTGCAGGCGGCTTGAGGGTTTAGGGCTTCGCACTGGCTGGGTAGTTTAGGGTTTAGGGTTTGGGGTTTGGGGTTTGGGGTTTGGGTTTTGGGGTTTGGGGGGGAGGGGTAAAGTTTGAGCGATTCAGGTAACGAATGAATGGCCGGCCGTGCGTTTCGACATGGCTATGACCCCAAGCCGTAAACCCCAAACCCTGAACCCTAAAACCCCAACTAAACCCTAAAACCCTAAAACCCTAAAACCCTAAAACCCTAAAACCCTAAAACCCTAAAACCCTAAAACCCTAAAACCCTAAAACCCTAAAACCCCAAACCCTAAACCCCAAAGCCCTTCCCACAAAAGCCCGCCCCGAGATGGGCCTTGGACTTCGAGCGTGCCTGCGCCATTTTGATCATCATCCTTACCTGCAGTGAGATTATCCTTGTGCAAGACAAACCCTACAGGATGTGTTCCATTGTATCTGGAGAAGTATCATGAATTGTAGGGTGGACTTTGACTTGGGGAATGCTTCGTTGACTAGGTCGAGGGAGGCTGGGGGAGCTGAAAGTTGGCTTGGCTAGGGTTTTAGGACGTCTAGGGTTGAGCGTTTGGGGTTTTCGGGGGCATGTGGGCAGCCTGGGATGGCAACATTCATCTTGCTTTCAAGCATCGGGAGATTCGGTCCCTTAAATGCTTGGAAACAGCTTGCTACACAGGGTCCTCGGAGAAAATGTGCAAAATGACCCGAGGGCCTACCAAGCTACAGTGCACTGGGAAATGTGCACTCCAGCCAGCTACTGTACTCCCCTTTTATATTGTTGAACCATAAACAAGATATTGAATACATGCATGAAAACTATATCTACGTACAAATATCAATGAAACAGATCAGTAACTTTTTTGAACTAAATAAAACATATACACACACACACATATATATATATATATATATAGTCCTTGGAGCTTATATATATATATATATATGTCTGAAAAAAGAGAGACTATAGGCTAAAGCCCATCAAGCTGCCGTCTTCATCTGTCTTTCCACCTCTCTGCTGGACTCCTGTGCGGTCGCAGCTCTGGGAGAGTGGGATAGGGTTTAAGGGTTAAGGGTTTAGGGTTAGGGTTAGGGTTTAGGGTTTAGGGTTTAGGGTTTAGGGTTTAGGGTTTAGGGTTTAGGGTTTAGGGTTTAGGGTTTAGGGTTTAGGGTTTTTAGGGTTTAGGGTTTAGGGTTTAGGGTTTAGGGTTTAGGGTTTAGGGTTTAGGGTTTAGGGTTTAGGGTTTAGGGTTTAGGGTTTAGGGTTTAGGGCTTAGGGTTTAGGGTTTAGGGTTTAGGGTCTAGGGTCTAGGGTTTACGGTAGGGATTAAGGGACAGCCAAGAGGCGTCGGGCAAGCTCGGTGGGCTCAGCTTTGAAACCCCACATTGGATCATTGGTTGCACACACACACACACACCCACACCCACCCCCACCCCCACCCGCACCCCTACCCCCACACCCCCACACCATCACCGACGCAATGCCACCGGCACCACCGGCATGACCTCCCGAGCAAGAAGCGAAACAGATTACTGACTAAAAAGTTTCGAATGTCACGCGATGTCAGGGTTCTACAGGTGTTACGCTGCTGCGCCAGGGCGTGGCTACACCCAGTGCGTCTAGGGGCTGAAGAAACTGTCTACCCGTTTGCTTAATGGGGCTGATGAAGGGCATAGAGCCTAGCAAAAGGGAATGAGGTTGCCACGAGGGTCGCAGCCTTAGAACACCCCTCATCCCCTACCTGCAACGTACGAAGAAGGCTCTCTTGACCCACTGAGATTTTGGGGGTATAGGGCTTAATAAAGTTTAGGGTTGGCGCACGTCTGAAACCTCACTGAAACCATGGCAACTAATTGCAGGCGGTCATACTGATCTGGATCGCCCTCGCACTGGTTGTGGCCTGGGGCTTTTAGGCTCCGTGCTTTGATAAACCAACATGAGGAGTCTTTCTGCTAGACTCTCCGAGTTCCACATAAAGCCGTTAAAACCGTCGGGCCTGAAACCCGTAGACCAGCGGACCCCGAAAATGCTGGGTCCTAAGTCCTACGCGTCCCGCAACATCACTCAAACTCTTCCACTGGCATGCGAACAAGCAGAGAAAGCCAAATCTGCCAACCGAGACGACCCAGATGCAACAAAGCAAATTGCCACTTTACGGAAGGATCCAAAAAGTAGATCCCCTTCAGGGTACCGAAGAATGGCCCAATGGTAGTATATACGGTACTGTTTTGGGGGCTCTGCTTTTTGGATCCTTTCAGGGTCTGGGTACGTAGGGCAATTGGTTAGGGTAAAGATCATGACCTAATTCCGCCCAAAACTCAAAACCCCAAACGGCCAATGGCAGACATGACCTGCGGGGTGGCATGAAACCCTAAACCCTAAACCCTAAACCCTAAACCCTAAACCCTAAACCTCTGGACCTGGATCTGACAAGCCGCACATCTCTAAGATGGCACGAAAGTGCCCCAGCACCGCGAGCCTGCAGAGTGGATTGGCTGGGTTGGCCTCTAAGAATCTAACAAAGCTGGCTTAGGGTTTAGGGTTTAGGGTTTAGGGTTTAGGGTTTAGGGTTTAGGGTTTAGGGTTTAGGGTTTAGGGTTTAGGGTTTAGGGTTTAGGGTTGAGGGTTTGGGCTTTGGGGTTTGGGGTTTAGGGTTTTAGGGTTTTTGGGTTTTAGGGTTTTAGGGTTTTGGGTCTGAATAAGATCCTCTCAAGCACGAGAGAAGGGAAACCTTTATCGGCAGGGACTGGCTACACGAGCTTCACGAGTGCAGGAAAGCCAAGCTTCGACCACCCCAAACCCTAGAACCCGAAAACCCGAAAATCCCAAACCCTAAACCCTAAACCCTAAACCCTGAACCCTAAACCCTAAACCCTAAACACTAAACCCTAAACTCTAAACCCTAAACCCTAAACCCTAAACCCTAAATCTAAACCCCAGGGTCGAACAAGGGTCAGGTGAGGAGAAGAGGCCTCCCCCTCTCTTCACCTCGTCCCCAAGCCTAAACCAAAAGAAACACCCCAAGCCCAAAGCAGTTCGCATACTACAGTATTACTATAGGGGCCGTCATAGTTAGAATGGGGTTTTGCGGGTTATTCTAGTATAATCGGGGAATTCTATTCGCAATTACTCCGCCATGAAAAAACCGAACAAGCCAGGCCCTCCCCAAGCGTAGGGTTCGGGGTTCAGGGTTCTGGCGGCTTGGGGTTGTAGAGTATGTAGGGGTTTGGGGTGTGCAGGGAGAAGAACGGCCCATGCTAAAATGGGCTCTAGACACTAAACCCTGAACCCTAAACCCTAAACCTTAAAACCCCAAACCCTAAACCGTAAACCTCAAAACCTAAACCCTAAACCCTAATTGGGTCACAGAGGATCCCCTGACCGGTGCAGAACTAAGGAACTGGTTGGGCAGGTTGTCGAGGCAGAAGGTGCAGCCTGCTTGGGGCTTAAGGGCCCTTAAGGGGGGGGGGGGGGGGGGGGGGTGGTTGGGTTTAGGGTTTAGGGTTTAGGGCTTAGGGCTTAGGGCTTAGGGCTTAGGGTTTGGGGTTTAGGGTTTCGGGTTTAGGGTTTAGGGTTCAGGGTTCAGGGTTTAGGGATTTCGGGTTTAGGGATTTAGGGGTTTAGGATGTGTAGGGTTTTGCAGGGGTTGACGGGTTCAGTTTACAGGGTTCCAGGTTGATAACTGTGACCTGCGTTCCCAAGTAGGGTTTAGGGGAACCCTTATTGCTGGCATATTGTCATGTTTCCAGGACTCGACTTCCTTACAACGAAAAAATGTACAAGGCGATTGCTGGGCGTCGTTGTATAGCCAGAGACTACAATACGCTCTGAAAAAAAAACACCTTCCTTGGAAGTTTCAGGGCTCAAGGGTTTAGGGTTTCAGGGTTTCGTGTTTAGGGGTTTGAGGGTTTCAGAGTTTGTTTGTTTTGGGTTGAGTCGACATACCCGGCTTGGGGGCTTGGAGCTTTGCTTTCGGAAACGGGTTATAGTCGGTGTAGGGTTGGGATGTAGGGTTCCTATGCAGGGTCTGACGGGACAAATGTGGATTTATGTTTCTGCTTGAGGTTTTGAGGGGGAGGGGGGGGGAGGAAGCGGGGAGCAAAACATATTTAAGATCAAGGGGGCTTACAGAGCTTAGAAGTTTTTTGAGTCGATACGGGCATTACCAAACCCTGAACCCTAAATCCTGAACCCTAAACCCTGAACCCTAAACCCTGAACCCTAAACCCTTAAACCCTAACTGCGCTTCGCACTTCGGGAAGCGCACCTGCAGTCATGCCGAAGGCATTCACCTGGAGCGTGGCGTCCATGTATTCCATGTCCATCGCTCCCTGCCAGGAGCCCCAAACCCTGAACCAAACCCTGAGAAAAAGGGGGCGCACGAAACAAGGAGCCCCAAATTCAGACCCTCACAGAGTAGGATCCCTTATAGTGTTGAACCCGTATGGGGTTTCATTGTGGTGCTACAGTGCCGGCTTTACGTTGACGGGAAGCCGATCGACACCTATAATGTCAGTACTGTCGATCTGGGCGAATTTGTGATTTCTGGCTGTGAGTGGAGCCCGTCGCGGCCTTGCAGGCCCAAAAGGGCAGCGCCCGTGGGCGGCACTCAGCCGAACGGGCACAAAGCTGCGGCGAGGATTTGTCAATAGCACAAGCGCATATAGCCAAGCAAGGTCTAAGCAGCATGTGAAGCGCATCATGCAACAGCTCTTGCCATGGACGGATTCGGTACGAGATGCCTATGATGACCGTACAAATTGTGCAGGTGCATGGAGATTGCGTATACCATCTCATGTAGGTACATCGTCATGCAAACCTCCGTCCCGTATGATGAGCATATACTAATGTGCGTACAGAGTTTACGCATAATGCAGGGGCATTAGTAAGTAGAATAGGGTCTTGGGGTTTTTTCCGCATAGTTTTGAAGGGCCAGAAGGGAATACGATTAGTAGCTAGTCCGACCCCTATGGTACCCAGATCTGCACGCTTGCTGCCGGTACCAGTACCAGAATCGAAAACCCGATTCTGTGGTGGGGTCTCGCACCCCGCTGCCGAAGCTTCCGGCTTTGTTGCCCTGGCCGCGGCAATGTTCCAGGAATGCTACTACTATTTGCATAAGACACCCCAAGAAAAATTCTAAATCCTTTGTCGGGACTACTGTCTGGTATTTCTCGGAGGTTCCTAAGCAAGTAGGCCAATCAAAGGACCAGAATCTTCTGTCCTGGGGTGGCTGGGGGGGGGGGGGGGGGGGGGGGGGCTGAGTCGACGACAGAAGCTGTACCACCCCTATTCAACTTCGACTCCTTCAAAGCCCCATCTACAGCTCGCCTGCACAGTATACAAGCCGGGTGTGCTGCGCAGATGTCAGCGTATCCGCTGGACACACCAGAGTGGGAGGAGACAGTCTTTTCGCCTGACGTCAAGCCAGCGATGGTGGTTGTAGATCGGTGTTGCTGAAAACGCCCAGTCTAGTGACTGGTGGACATCGGCCGAAACGTTATAAACAACCCGTCTGCCTTTTCCTACCAGTCTTCGGGCGCTGGGTGGGTGGGTGGGTGGGTGGGTGGGGGGAAGCAATTCTAGGCAACCTGGGCAAGACAAAGCACATGTGTCACAAGTCATACAAGGCATTGAATTGTAAATGTCGAGTGCCATATCCCGTCAACCTGGTCACTGCGCCTGCAATATGTACAGCCCTAAGTTGGGATGTTCCCTCTTATACTAGCAGTCCTTAATAGGGATTATACTAGGTGGTACGATTATCCCCATTAAGGACTGCTAGTATAAGGGGGAACATCCCAAGCCCTAAGCTTGCAGATGTCATCTTGTGCGGCCTTTCTTGCCGCTCAGCATGCCGGAGAAAGCATTGCCGGCCCCGCTGACGACCAGCTTGCCGGCATCCTGCGTACAGCAACGGGACTGGGAGTTCATCCTCGGCCCTGCTGCTGGGAATAAGCTGTAATCTCAAGCACCTAAACTTGCAAACCCTAAACCACATGAACCCAGTCTACACCCCCAAACCCTGAACCCCGTAAACCCTAAACCTTGAACCTCTTACCCTCCCCCCTCCTCCCCCCCGCACAAAAAAAATAGACAACAAAACAATACTAAATAGATATGAGTTTCTATATATTCAGGAATATATATATATATATATTTATATGTAATTACCCCCAAATAATATTACTAGAAATAACAATAACCCCATTACACCCCACGCGCAGCTCTGACAGCGGGCGCCGCGGAGGCCTCCACGGCATCGCCCAGGGTTCGCATCATCCCTTGCTCTCGCACAGACTTGTAAGTGGCCTGTGCCATGCGCATGCTTAGGAGGGTTTAGGGGTTAAGTTAGGAGGGTTTAGGGTTTAGGGTTTAGGGTTTAGAGTTTAGAGTTTAGGGTTTAAAATGATGCTTCCCCACCAAAGTATGTGGAAATAAGGTCCTCTGATGGGTTCTGGGCTATTGTTTTAAACGTGCTTTGGGGGTCCTGGTGGGTTTATTAGGGTTTCACGGCGTGTTTTGGTCTGTAGGACAATCAGGCTCTTTTGGAAGGGCTATAGGATTAAAGAGCTTAGGGCTTCGTCACAACTGTGAGGCTCAGGGATACAGATTACGAAGCTTGGAGTGTGTTGGGGGCCCACACCTGAAAGCCAAAACCGGATACACCCTAAGCCCTGAAGGCTTGGGCAGGATGTAGTAACTCACTGCGAACCTATCGGAAACTCAAGCAAGCTCGGCCTGAACTAAGACGCCAGAGGCTGGACAACAATGAGACGACAGAAGCTCCCGAAGCCCGTTTAGGGTTTAGGGTTTAGGGTTTAGGGTTTAGGGTTTAGGGTTTAGGGTAATCCCTCTGAACCGTCATGCCCTCCCCTCCCCAAACGCCCGAACAAAGCTGCCTGCACATCGTCGGCGATCACGTCGATCGCCCCTGCGAGGGCCTGTGGCAAGACGAAAGACATGGTCAAGGCTCTTGGGGGGGTTTAGGGTTTAGGGTTTAGGGTTTAGGGTTTAGGGTTTAGGGTTTAGGGTTTAGGGTTTAGGGTTTAGGGTTTAGGGTTTAGGGTTGCTTGAGGGGTCAGGGTTGGGATGTTCCCCCTTACACTCACAATCCTTATAGGGATGAGAACAGGGGTACTCGAATCCCTAGTAAGGACTGCTACATCCCAAGGTTGTAGTTTAAAAGTTTAGGAAGCATGGATCAGTGCCAGCCGAACAAAGGCGGTTGTATAAGACTAGGGCCCCTGTGATACCCTAAGCCAAAAGCACTGAAAACCATATGTTTACTTGACCCCTACACCTTAAACGACCCAAAACAAAAGGGTCTGCGCAAAGAAAGACGGTCGATACTTCGTGACCTTCGGGTTTCGGGCTTTGGAGTTTCGGGTCTCGGAGTTAGGGCCTAAACCGTAAACCCCAAACCCCAAACCCCAAACCCTAAACCCCAAACCCCAAACCCTAAACCCTAAACCCAGTTCAAGAGAGTTGACGAGGTGGTTCGAGCAGCCTGGAGGTCCAAGGCGCTCCGGAACGATCATACCCCAAATTCCGTCCCACAAATAGAATAATTGAATGGGTCTAGGGTTTAGGGGGTTTCGGGTTTAGGCTGGGATCCTTTCAAAAACCGGACAGGCCCCACACCCTAAGCCCATAACAGTCATGGTCGCCTGATCTATAGACTTGAGCATGGTCGAAGAATCGGCGTGCCAAGAACGCACCTCTGTGTCTTGAAGGGTGGGCAGGACCCGGTTGTACATTGGCCCTAAAAAGAAAACCTTGGGTGGCATGCCCTAACCCTGAAATGTGGGAAATAACCCTTAAGGAAGGGGTCGGGGGGCAGGGGGCTTGTTGGTACCTGTTTCCTTTAGGGTACCTTATCAAGAATGTCACCCCAAACCAGCCACAAGCTACCTGATGATGATTCGTATCATTTCAGCTACCTGATCATTCAAACCCCCAAAAGAGATCCTATGCCCACACCGCCAGCCTGCCTAAAACGACAAACCCTCGAGACGCGCAGGGCAGAGTGAATGCTGACCTTTGGTTTAGGGCTTCAGGGGTTTGCCATGACGGATTTTACCCATCCAAAGCATGTTACCTGCAAACCCTAAAGCCTAAAGCCGACACCCGAAGCTTCTGTAAACGTTGACGACCGAAAGAAGGGATTCAACGCCGGAGAGCCACCCCGAAGAAACAAGGGAGAACTTCCAGCCGGAGGCAATTTGCGGTGAATTGCCCCTTTTCACAAAGACTCTCACACATGATCCTCTCCCAAGGCTGTAGAGGTGTGGGGGGTCCCATCCTGCGGTCATTCGAAAATCCAGCCCCAAGTTGGGGAGTAACCCAGGAATGGTAAAAGGCGCCCTTTTTGGGCTAAAGGGGTCTATCCGGGAACCTAAGCTCCCAAAAAAAGTAATAAGGGCCCAGTCTAGGTCTTAGTTTACATGTCACCCACAAGACCGTAGAATATACCAAAAAAAACCCTCCAGAGCTACCCGTGCGATGAGCCCACAAGGCTGGGATCCCGAAACCCTAAACCCTAAACCCTAAACCCTAAACCCTAAACCCTAAACCCTAAACCCTAAATCCTAAACCCTAAACCCTTAACGCGAAACCCTAAATCCTAAACCCTAAACCCTAAACCCTAACCCCCAAGGGCCCGGCCGTGCAGCTCTGAACCCAGGAGGGCACCGAAACAAAACTGGGAAAATAAGTTGGTAGGCTGCAGGATGCAAGTGAGCTTTGGAATTAGGGTTTAGGGTTTCGGGTTTAGGGTTTAGGGGCTCATGGCTTTAGGGGTTCATGGGTTTAGGAATTAGGGTTTAGGGGTCATGGGTTTAGAGGTATATGGTTCTTTAGGAGCAGCTTATGGGTTTATGGGTTTATGGGTTTATGGGTTTATGGTTTATGGGTTTATGGGTTTATGGGTTTATGGGTTTAGGGTTTGGGGGTCTTGTTGGTGTCTACGGGGTTTAGGGCTTCGGGTTTAAGGGGGTTCTGCTGGGGGTCTACAAGGTTTGGGGGGTTCTGCTACAAGGTTTGGGTCAGGGCTAAAGGGTTGAGGGTTGCAGGGTCAGGGTCAGGCCGAAGGCTGCATAGGGTTTCGGGGGCGGGGTTCGGGCGCAGCTGTTCCAAACCTTTTTAAGGCCAAGGGCATGGGGTTTAGGGTTTAGGGGGGGGGGGTTTGGGTTTAGGGTTTAGGATGGTAGCAGCGGCAAAGCTCAGCACCCTTCAGGTTTCAGGGTTTAGTAGTTGCTACGGTTACGACACAAAGGGCTCAGAATTTCATGAGCCTGGGAAGTACGCCCACCACAAGACCCCATTCCTTGCGGGAAGCCCTCACATCGACTGGTTCATCCCACCCTGCATATCGGAATTCCTTCAAATGTTCCCCACGTATACTAACAGTCCTTAATGGGGATTGTAGTACCCCCCCCCCCAGTATAATCCCTAGTAAGGACTGTAAGTATAAGGGGGAACATCCCAAGGAATTCACCCCTAAGACCCACGACCCTGCTGCAGCATGAACAGCGCACCCAGACAACTTAGGATGCCCTTTCGGCTGGCAGCCGATACAGCTTCAAATCAAAGTCCTAACCACCTCCCCCCCCCCCCCCCCCCGCATAAACACATACCCTAAACCCTAAAACCCCCCCCCCCCCCCCCCCCCCCCCACAAAAAAAAACAAAAAAACACAAACATGATAACAAGCAAGAAAGACAAAGAGAGGACATCGGGGTCGAGCCGTGAAAATGTAACCCAGCCCGGAAACCGCAAGCCTGCAGCCTGGCCTTGCATCCTTCCCTCTCCTTTTTGGCTTCTTCTTCTCTCATCCCCCGGCTGCACTTTGGCTCCAGGTCCGCCTTAAGCAGTTAAAGCTTCCCTCTCATCGCTGCAGCGGCCCACGCTGCTGTGCCACGGGGTAGATCCTGGCAAGAGTATGCCAGCTACCTTCCAACTCGCTACCTTTTACACCCTATAGGGAGAGAAGACCTAAACTGGCCTAAAAAAAAAGCCCAATCAACCTCTTAGTGCTGTTGCGACACGCTCCTTAACCAGCCTTTTGGGCTCACAGGACTCGATCATGGGGTGTCACGCCTGCTGCCCGGCTGCGGAGGGAAGGGGCCCATGTCGACCTTTGCCGTGCAATGTGGCAAGACGGATCTCATTGCAGCAAAACGGCGAAGAGCGCCAAACAACAAAAACGAGTGAGGGTCCGCGCTCAAGGCTCCATCTTGCCCAGAGGCACCCCGGGCGAGTCAAGCAACAGAGATCCGAAACTGAAACTTCTCTCCTTCTGTCACGATGATGATTCTGAGGGCCGTTCCCTGTTGGGAGTGTAGCCCACGATAGGCTTTCCAGGCATCGCCGCCTCTCCACAACGGCACAGCAACCCCGATTGCTGCGAAGAAACGAGTGAAGGGCCCTGGGCTCAGGGCTTTTGGGGCCCCAAGGAACAGCACCTGTACATAAGCCACAAAGATCGGATGTCTCTATGTAGCGAAGTTTACACACGCCCAAGCTAAAAGACCCCAAGCCCCAGCCCCTAACGCCTAAAAAACCTCACCCCTAAACTCCTAAACTCTGGCCCTAAACCCGAACCCGAAACCCTAACCCCTAGCCCTAGACCCTAATTAAACCCTAAACCCTAAACCCTGAACCCTAAACCTCAACATCCCCCATCCCCGCATCCCCGAAAAGACCTATAGGAGCCCCAGCCGAGGCCTTGGGCGGCGGCTGGCTCTTCGGCGCGTCATCCTCGGCAGCCCAGGCCTGGTCGTTTGGGGTTCAGGGGATTGGGGTTTAGGGTTTAGGGTTTACGGTTTAGGGGTTGAGGGTTTAGGGTTTAGGGTTAGGGTTTAGGTTTTCGGCTTTGGTAACAACGGTGTTGCTCGCCTTTGTGCTTCTGGCTGTTGCGGCCCGCTGTATGTTCAAATGTGTCGGCTCTTCCCTAGGAGCATGAGCCCTTGACACGTCAGCTATACTCCATCTCAAATTTGGGAACGGTGGGCTTCGGAATTGCTAACCCTAATGGCTTCGGGTTCAGGGTTTACGGGTGGTGCAAGCGCCATGCGTCTCAAGCGTACAGAACCCTACTGAACCAACGACAGGAACTCTTGCAAGCCCACACGAGAGACAAATTCAGCCTCCGCGTCCTGGCCGTCTGCCCACTCTAGCAATCGCGTTCGCACAGGGTCGCTACCTGTGCAGCAGCGCAGCATGTGAACGACAATGCCCAAGCTTGCCATGGCAAAGTATTCAACCACCCACACACACAGCGCACGAAACCGAGAGACTGTACACCTCTAAGCCAAAAAAACCTTCAGCCTAAACAAAACCCAACCAAGCCTGTCGACCCCAAACCTTACTTAAAGCCTATTGTAAAAAACAAATACGAGAAAAAACAACAAACCGCTCGGCTAACTAATGCTAGCCCCAAAGGCCGTTAACCTGATAGCTGAACAACCAAACCTTAAACCCAACCCTCGCACCCCGCGCTTCAAAACAATGAAAATACATCTCCTAACAACACCTTAAGCACAATTTCCGCCTACAACCAACCCAAACCAGCCCGCAGGCAATCACAACAGAACAGCCCCTAAACCCTCCCCTACACCCCCTAGCCCCCTTAAACCCACCTAAACCCCAAACCCTAAACCCTAAACCCTAAACCCCACAAACCAAACCCCAAACCCCAAACTCTAAACCCTATAAACCCTCTCTCTAAACCCTCTAAACCCTCTAAACCCGGCTCTCTAAACCCTCTAAACCCTCTAAACCCTGTAAACCCTCTAAACCCTATAAACCCTAAACCTCGAAAGCCTCAAAGCCCCAAAATCTGGGCCTGGCCGCGCTGCCGCGAAGCGTCTGGCCTCTGCCGCCATATGCCGGTGGCCTGGGGGAGGATAAGGGCTTTTAGGGGGGCTAAGGTCTTTAAGGGTTTTGGGGGGTTTAGGTTTTTAAGGGGTTTGGGGGGTTGTGGGGGTTTGGGGGGTCTAAGGTGTTTAGGGGTTTTGGAGGGGTGTTTTGGGGCTTGATGAATAACTTCGGGGTTAAGGCTTCTAGGGGTTTGGGGGTTTTGGGGCTTGATGGGTTTAGCTTCTGCTTTTCGTGGTGCATACGTGTGCGTGTGTGCGTGTGTGCGTGTGTGCATGTGTGCGTGCGTGCGTGTGTGCGTGTGTGCGTGCGTGCGTGCGTGTGTGCGTGCGTGCGTGCGTGCGTGTGCGCGCGCACGTGTTTGAGGTTTGCTTGGGGGGGGGGGGCTTGGGGAACTTGGGTGTTGGGGTTTGGGGGTGGGTCCTGGTGCTAGGGAAGCGTTACCTAATGGAAGACTCTGAACCAGCACAGTCCTGACGCAGGATTCAGGAGGCTGCGTTGTGCATCATTGGGGGTTCGGGGAACCCCTACGTCTTGTTCCTTTTGGGGGACCTCTGCTCCAGGAATTTAACAACACATGGTGTTGTTGAGGGACCCTCATTTGGGACAACGCCCCCTCCCCCCCCCCCCACCCCCATGTGGGAACGCTACACCCACACCCCCTCCTAAACCCACGTTGCCAGTCGAGTCGCTTTCAGGGCTGTCTTCCGCAGCCAAGTCAACCTGGGTTTCACAGATGCCACAGGCTCAGAAGAAACAAAAAATGGTACTGACACTAATTACAATATATTCATATCGAAAGGAGGTTCCCAAAAAGGACCCCAAACCCTAAACCCTCAACCCTCGTTTTTTGATTACGTAGGGCCCAAGACCGGAACCCGGTATACATCCTCCTGAAGGTGGCCCTAAACCCGGAACGAAGGGAAGAAGGTTCAGGGTGCAAGGTTTAGGGGTTTACACCACCAGAGCTCCTTCGTCGCGGCTGCAGCAAAGGAGCTGGCAGGATGGAGACTGCGGTGCCCGGCGGGCAGGGAGGTCGAGCAGGCCTTCTAGGGCCGAAAGGGATGATGAGAAGGGCGTGGTCTAGGGGTCGGAATAATTGCGAGTAGCATTCCCTTATGCTCCCGTTATAATAATACTATAAGCGCCCCGAAAACCCTATTCGAATTAAGGCTCCCATGGTGAGTACTGGTTATTGTTGGTATGGCTTCAACTGCACGGCTTTCAGAAATCCCTACCCAGTGATTACAAGGATTGTAGAAAACAGGCACGAAAACAGCAGATATACCCTAAACCCCTAAACCCCTAAACCCCTAAACCCCTAAACCCCTAAACCCCTAAACCCCTAAACCCCTAAACCCCTAAACCCCTAAACCCCTAAACCCCTAAACCCCTAAACCCCTAAACCCCTAAACCCCTAAACCCTAAACCCGAAGTGGACCCAGAGGGCCCAAAAGTTGTGATCGACCGCCATCGAAGCAGCTACACGAGGCCACCGGACATTCACATAGGCAGGATGGCCACGAACCCTAAACCCTAAACCCTAAACCCTAAACCCTAAACCCTAAACCCCAAGCTTTTAAACCTGAAGGCCTAAAACCTGCAACACTAGTGTCCGAAGCCCAAATCAGCCTTCGTTGCTGGGTTAGACTTTTTTGAATACTGCAGGAATACTACTTTGTACAATGTGTAGAAATGAATACAAATAAATATGCTCACCCGCCCCCGTCATGATCTTCAGAGGAGAAAAGCGAAACCTAGAGCATGGGAGGGGGGCGGTGGGAACCATAAATAGATATATAATGGTACGGGTACTATTAACATATACCACATCGGTACTATAAACTATACTTTTGCTATACACTTATGCGGCGTTTTTCCAGAAAACATAGGTGCGGGGCTTTGGCGCGCGAGGCGACAGTGGCGCTGGAGGACGATCCTGGGCCGAAGCGGGGTTGTGGGGCTTGTGGGGCGTGGGTTTAGGTTTGTTTTTTTTTTTTTGCAGGGCTTCTGGGGTTTTATGGGGTTTATAGACTTTGTAGGGCTTTTGGGTTCACATATAGGAGGTTTCTAGGCCCTAGCGTGCCGTGGGGTTGCATGTTGAGCTCGGATGCAGCTGAAAGCAACACGGCAGGCATGCTGAAACGTGCGACGGAGGCGGGGTGGACCGGTTTGCCAGTTCCGCATCCTTTGTACCCTCTTCAGGAGCTGCTACAGCCCCCGCGGCAAGCCCTGGGGGCCTGTTACCCTTACCCCAAACCATGGGCAAACCCCCAAACCCTAAAAACCCCCTTAACCCTAAACCCCATGCACCCTAAACAATCAACCCTAGAGATCTAAAAACCCCACACATGAAACCCTAAACCCCCTTATAAGGCCAGGGGGCGGGAACTTGTGGCCCGAACCGCTGCTCTTGCCATCCTCGGCAGTCAGTGGTGCGTGGCTTAGGCTTTCGGGTTTTTGGGGTCTAATCAGGGCTTAGGGTTTATAGGGTTTAGGGTTTAGGGTTTGGGGTTTAGGGCTTAGGGCTTAGGGCTTAGGGTTGAGGGCTTAGGGTTTAGGGTTTAGGGATTAGGGCTTAGGGTTTAGGGTTTAGGGTGTAAGGACAAGGGTTCAGGGCTTCGGGCTTGGGGCAGCGTACCCCTTTAAATTAAGTAAGACACCTCGAATCCATAGCCCTTATTCTCCTCCTCATCTACGAGAGTAGGGTCGGTGTGCCTATAGGAGCTAAAGCCCTGTAGAGGGTGGCTTGGATCTTATGCGCGTCCGAAGTCTGAGGTGCTTCAAAAGCGCCTTACCCCCTCCCCGCAAAGAAGAATTCGCCTCGGCTTCCTGCCGAGAAGCGTCTGGAACAAGCAGACCGGATCGGGCCTCCTTCCCCCTAACCCAACCCTTCCCCCATGCCAAATTTTTTGACGCCACCCCCCCCCCCCCCCCCCCGCCCTGTGGGACCCCCCCAACCGCTTGGAGGAGCTGCAAACCGATGCCGTAAGGGGTCCGCCTGTCGGTGGCTCCTACAGGGGGGGGTGCCTCAAAAACCCCCCACCCACCCCCCCCCCCCCCCCCCCCCCCCCCCCCCCACCCCCTCCTGCCCTTCCCCTTTTGTGCGAAACCCTCTTTCCTCCTTTCCTGTCCTGGGGCCGGGCCGGCTGCCGAGGCGGCGCGCGCAAGCGTTTACAATTACCTGGCGCCATGAAACGGCGGCTGGGCCAGGATTCTAAGGTATTTAGGGTTTAGGGTTTAGGGTTCTAAGTCCTCTGCCCTCCCCCTCCATTCCCGGCCACCCCATCCATTCCTGGCCACCCCAACTCCAAAGGTTAACCCCTCAACCCTGAACCCTGTACCCTTAATCACTAAGCCAAAACAAAAAACCTTAAACCCTGCAAGCCTAAAACCCTTAAACCCTATACCGTACCCCACTCCCAGGCCCCTTTTCTGATTGTCGGTGACTCAAAGGTCTCTCGGCGCCCAGGCCCGACGGGCCCGTGAAGCGCAGGACACCACCGAAGCCAATGCGAATCAGGGCCTCCACTGGATTAGGGTTTAGGGTTTAGGGTTTAGGGTTGAGGTTTAGAGGGTTTTAGGGATTAGGTTTTCAGGATGGGTGTTTTCAGGTCTTTCGGCGTTTTGAGGCTTTTTTGTCCGGGCGTTGAAGGGGTTTTAACGGTTTGGAGGGTTTTCCAGGTTCAGAGTTGAGGGGCTGAGGGTGTTTAGGGCTTAGGCTTACTAGTTCCCAAGGAATTAGGTACCCCATACCCAATGCTACCTTAGAAAGGACTATAGCTGGGCACCTAGTTCCCTCATTCCCTACCAAGAGCCGGTAAGTTGAGTGGAGGCCAACTTGAAGGTTCATGGGGCAATGGGCATATAGGCGGGGATAGAGGTGCCCTAAATATGACTGTAGCCCGATATATCAACCCAGAAGCCTAGCAGTAGAGGTTCAGGGTACGGGTTCAGGAACTGGGGGTGAGGGCTTGATGGGATTTCGGGATGGTCCCGGCTCAAGTTTCTAGGCTTATGGCCTTATGGCTGTTGTGGGGACCTGAAGCAGCGATGCCCCCACTGGAAGTGTAGATTTTCACATCTAGGCTCCGATCTGGCAATCTGCCAGACCTTTGCAACACGCGACATCTGAAAGAAGCCGGCCCCAGAAGAGACCCCTCCTGTATTGAATATAACGCCTAAAAACCCTAAGCCCTAAATCGGAATCCCTCAACCCTATAAACTAATTCCTGCACGTCAACTCTCTGCACGGACACGCAATGCCTCCTGCGCAGACCGCAAGTGGCTCATCACGGCCGCGTGCCCTCCCTGAAAGGGCACTTCATGGTTTCAGGGCTATAGATGTGGTTGAGGGTTTAGGGTTCAGGGCCCAGGTCCATGTACCCAGGTCATACCCGAAATAAGGTTCTACAAAGGCTTCGGCTGCAGTTACCCGACTTGGAACCCAAGCTAGATCCACCCCATGAGCCTCCAGGTGGGTCAGGGATTCTGAGTTGTAGGGTTTTGGGTATATGGGGTTTAGGGTTTCGGGGTGTAGGGTTTAGGGTTTAGGGTTTCGGGTTTGGGGTGTGGCGTTTAGGGTTGAAAAGGTCCCCGACGAGCAAAGAATCCACCGGCTGGCATTACGAGCGGAGAGGCTGCCAACCACTAACGTCGCTTCCCTCATTTACCAACAGTGGGGCGAAATCCGGTTCTGGAACAAACTTGTGGGGCAATGGGCACATGTTGATAACATGTATATCTATATATATATATGTATATATATATATATGTATGTGTATGGGCGCTTGTGGAATATGTAGAGAACCAAATCGAGCAGTCGCAACAACGACATAAACCCTAAAGCAGCAGCAACAATCCCGGAGTCGCCTGTGCCCAGTCCAAGGCCGCCTCCACAAGACATGGCAAGGCCGCTTGGACCACGGACTCCTGCCTCAGCGCTTCTGCAGAGCTTCTTTGAAGAGTTTGTTAGGGCTTTTGGGGTGTTTGGGGATTCTTAGGGTTTTAGGGGTTTACTTAGGGATTTAGGGGTTCTGGAAGGTTTAGGGATGTAGGGGTTTAGGGTTTATCATGGGGTTTAGGGGTTTAATTCACAGGTGTCCATAGCCATTCCGCTTCAGCTTTGGTGCTGCTTCATTTTTTTGGTGCTGCTTCAACATGTGTGTGCCGAAATGAAACAGCACGCAAAAATCAAGCAGCACGGTCTTTGAAGCAGCACGCACTGGTAAATGTACTAACCGCTGCTGCCTCTGTCACAACAGGCAAACGAACTTGTCTTGGCAAATCTACTTGCAAATTGCATTCCGCTTCAGCATTGGTGCTGCTTCGTTTTTGGGTGCTGCTTCAGCATGCGCGTGCCGCGGTGAAGCAGCACGCGAAAATGAAGCAGCATGGTCCGTGAAGCAGCATGGCTACGGAGTCCTATGATTAATTAGGTTCACGGGTTCAGAGTTGAAGTTGAGGTTTAGGGCGTTTAGGGTTTTGGGTTGAGGCTTAGAGGCTTAGGTGTTTGGGGTTTGAGGGTTGTGGGCTTCGGGGAACAAGCGAAAGGACTTTCAAAGGGCCAATAGTAATGCCCTGGTTTAGGGTCTAGGCGTTTAGGGCTCACAATAATGATGGCCTTCGTGCCCTTCAGTTTAAGGCTGCAGGCCAGAAGGGTACGAGTGCGATTGCCGCCTTGCAAGCTCAGTTGGCGGCCTTGTCAGCCTACCGTCTGCCAACCTACCCCCCGGCCCTTGCTTGGCTTTTATGTCTACGGCGCAGATTCCTTGCCGAGAACTTAACCCCTGCACCCCAAACCCGAGTAAAGCCCAAAGCACCCAAACCCCAGACCCTAAACCCCCCGAAGGCCCTGAACCCGAAAACTTAGCCTCAAAACACTAAACCCGAAACCCTAAACCCTAAACCCTAAAAAGCCTTAACCTTAAAACCCTGAACCCGTGAACAATAAACATGACCCGAAGCCCTTAAGCCTACAACCTCGACCGCAGCTTAGCGGCGGCATATGCTTCATCTCCGGCACCTTGGGATGGCAGACATCAAAATACAGCCAAGGGGTTTAGGGATTCAGCGGCTTATGTTTGGGGGGGGGGGGGGGGGGGGCCAAACCCTGTGAAGGTTGAGGGATGAGGGTTTGGGGCCGTTTAGGGTTTAGGGCCTAGGGTTTACTTCTGGACCTTCAACGCGCCAACAAGCCAATCCCTTGTAGCCCTCAAAGGGTCCCCAGAAGCCACGGGAGAACCCAGAGAGCATGCAGCCAAGGCGCATAGAAGAATGCAGTCGTCCTGGGCGCAAGACTCACCAAAAACCGGCCCCCAACACCTGAGTTCATCTGCCCTTTTTGGAATAATGGCTCTTCCTCCCTAGATCATAAACGCGACGAGCCCCAAACCATCAACCTCAACCCTACTCGGAGGCTCATGGGTACTTGTAACCCCCAATTTTACCCCCAACTTTAAAGTCTACTTAATTATAACCAACTTAGGCGATTTGGGGGGTTGAAAAGTGCAGTTCTGATTGGGGTTAACTGAATACACCGCTGCAGGCCCCTTGTCCCTTGGAAAACTTTGAAAATGGGCGTGATCCCCCCCTCCCCCCCGTAGGCGCTACCAGGCTAAATCAAGAACCCTTCTGCCGAAAGTGGATATACATATGTATGTCGTATACCAGCTGTACCCATGTGGCGAAGCAAAGGACTACACGGTGGGCATTACACCCCAAAACCCTAATCGCTTACCCTAGTCTCAGGGTTTCAGAAACCTCGGGGTTACGGCTTACGGCTCTGGACCGAAGCTTGGGCTAGAGGCAAGCTAGGCACTGAACGCTTGTGCTAGTTCAATCCAGGCTAGGGTGTAGGAAAATATGTTCTTTTGGGGGTGTACCATTTGTGCTTTAGGATTGGGGGTGCAGGCATGTGGTGCTGCTGAGACACCTGTTCGCAGGGTTCACGCTCTGGCAAGTTCTCGTCATGTACTCCTCGCGATTTCAAGAACACATGGCCCATGCTCTCTACCTGCAGCACTCGGGCAAAAAAAAATCCCGATCGTTTCCTGCAGAGTGATGCAAGGACTCTTCAACTTGGGCATTTGCGGCGCCCGGATGCCTAAGACGCTGAGCGCCAGTGAGGGTTTAGGGTTCTGAGGGTCTGCCTTACACCGCCCAAAACCCTGCAGCTGCTCTGATGAAGGGAACTGCTGAAAGCTGAAGGTCTTGTGCAGAGTGTTTAGAAGGTTTTGTAGGGCTTATGACTAGGATTTTGTAGGGTTCATAATCAATTTAGGGACCAGGGAACCTCACAAATCATAGGGGTGAAGGAAGCGCTCCTACTTCTGAGGACGGCGCAGAACCAGACTAAACCACTATGGGAGACCGCAAGCTCTATTCAAGCCCGAACGTTTTTTGGCCTAAAGTTGCCATTGCCCATGTACCTTTTTTGCCAATGCCCGCCAAGGACTTTTCGTAGGTTCTAAAGTATGTATGGGTACTTCCCAAAATGTGGGTACGCCTTTGATACCCCAAGTAAAAGAAATACCCTGTAAAAGACACCCCCAAAAAGGGTAATTAGCCCCACGTTCGGAAACCACCATTGCAAGAAAGGTTTCGGGTTTAGGGTTTACGAGTCAGGAAAGCCAGAGGAGGGCGTTCGGCGCTCCTCCGCGGAGAGGTTGCCGCGGAAGAAGTCCTGGGACAACTCCGAGGGCGGGGGGTTGAAGCCCTCAACTCGAAACCCTTAGCCAAAAGCCCGAAATCCTCTACTAAGCCCAAGAAACACTGTAAACCCCATAAAGCCTATAATGACTTTGACTCTGGGTTCAGATTTCCAAAAACACTACGAATCTTAGGTGCGAAGGAGGGAACTACACCTGAGGGTCTAAGTGGTTAGGGCTCCGGGCTTGCGGGTTCAAGTTGCTTCGAGCGCATGAGTTCCTTCATACACCCGAAGACTTTGACCCTAAACCCTAGGGCTTTGGCAGCTCCACAGGGCTGTTTGTGTCGGAACGGCTGGGTTGCACAAGGAACCCTTTAGGGCATGTAGGGCTTAGAAGGATGTAGAGTCTAGGGTTCAGAGTCTAGGGTTTGCGTAGATACCCAATAGTATCAGTCCTATAAGCCCTGAGTAGAAGGAAGCAGAGGGGCCTGCGCTTGTGGGGTTTACGCAGGGCTGATCGTAGAAAGGCAAACTGCTACTTACGGAAACTTTCCGCTGTTAAAGCGTACATACGTGACTCTAGGTACATACCCATCGATCTTCCTTTTCTGAAAGGGTATAGGCTGCTGTATAGGCAGGGTGTTCTTGCCTCTGGGCTTCTGGGTTTGGATTTTGACTTTCGCCACTTGAGCGTGAAGCATTTTCAAGACCCTAAGCCCATCTGTAACGCTAAAGTAAACCCACAAGAGAGCACCTTAACGCGAAAACCTGCTAACCCTCACACCCGGAAGGCCCCCAATTCAAGGGCCAAACTATTCTTGCTAATTATTGGATAAACCAAGCCAGACTAAACTACCCAAAGTACCATTCAAGATCACTAGGCCACCGGAGTCACCGGCAAAACTACCCCAAAACTCTAACTCCCCAAAACCCTTCTACCCCTAAACCCAAACACCCAAAACCCAAACCCCAAAGCCCCAAATCCTAAACCCTAAACCCTAAACCCTAAACAACCCTAAGCCAACATCCCAAAGCCTTTTGGAACTTCACTCCGCTGGCAGGTGGACAGGAATGGTCTGATGCGTCTCTCGGAGCGTCTGGTGCAGTCAAAAGCTTGTAAAAACCTTTGGCCCCTGCGTTGGAGTTTAGGGATCTCTAGACTGAACTTGGCACCCTAGCAACAATTTGAATTTTAGCTGTTCCTTAGGAATTATAGTCACCAAAGATTAACAATTATTTCCAAGTAGCCCTAAGATCTAGGGTTTAGGGCTTTAGGTGTTTAGGGTTTAGCGGGTTTAGGTTTATGATTTGGGGCTTAGGGTTTAGGAGGGATTAGGGCTGAGAGCTTCTTCCATATATTCGAACGCGCCTAAAGCGGGCCAAGCGGCTGGTTAGCTACTGTTAGGCAGAAGCTGCCTCTCTGCAGCAAGGGTGAGACGTCAACCTTAGGTCGCATTCCGTTGGCGATCGGCATAACAACAAACTGTGTCTGTCTTTCCCTAGGTGTCAGGGTCTCTGCCGCGACCTGCCAAAGACGCTCAGGGCGGGCAGGGCCTGCAAGCAGTGCAGGCTCTTGATTCAGGTTTTGGGTTTAGCCACGTTTAGCCTTTAGGGTTTGAGGCTTAGGGTTTAGAGGGCTTGGGGTTTAGGCCTTAGAGTCTAGGGTTTAGAGTGCAGGGTTTAGGAGTCGGAAGCTGCGTGTACATCATGTTGGGAATCTTATCGTCAACTCAACCCTAACCCAGAAAGCTCCGCTGCAAGCCCTCTGTAAGAGACTCCTGAATCAGATCCTCATGAGGGAATGTATGAAACAAAGCACAGCTTGCCCTAGACCCTGAACCCTGAACCAGATTATGATTGGGTACTCTGTTGGGGGTCCTAGAACCCAAAAAGGGGCAAAGGGTATAGAGCTGGGCTACTAGGCCCAAGAGAAACCTAGGAATCAACGGCCCTTTGTGGTGTAAAAAGGGCTTATAGGGGAACCTAAGCCCCAAAAAACCGGAACAAGGGCCTACTCTGGGTGCTAGTTACCCTCAACCCTAAACCCTAAAACCCTGAAAACAAAAATGACCGGACTGAAGAAAGGGGGTACCTCGAGGGTTTGCCTGCGAATGTATGGCAAACCCTGAACCCTAAACCCTAAACCCTAAACCCTAAACCCTAAACCCTAAACCCTAAACCCTAAACCCACATCTTAAGCCATTTAACCCCTGCGCCTGTGGGAGTCCCAACTTCACTGTTCCCAAGGAAGTGGTGGAGCCACAGCCGGAGCCTGAGTCGGTTTAGGGTTTAGGGTTTAGGGTTCAGGGTTTAGGGTTTAGGGTGTCTGGGGTAAAGGAGGGGGGGGGGGGGGGGGTTGGGAGGTGTGCAGGGGGGGGGGTTAGGGTGAGAGCCCAAACCGTTTAGGACTTAGACCCAAAGGCCTCTGTAAACCCTAAGACCCCCATACTTTAAAACGGGCTTCGTCCGGTACCGAGTTCTGACCCAAGAAGCGGGGGAGGCTGCAAGCGCGTGGTGGCCTCTTCAGGAGGGGCCGCAGATCCGAGCGGCACATGGGACAGAGCCCACCTAGGCTTAGAGTTTGGATTCTCGGACAGTCAGCCCTAAACCCTAAACCCTAAACCCTAAACCCTAAACCCTAAACCCTAAACCCTAAACCCTAAACCCTAAAACCCTAACCCTAGACCCGAAACCCTAGGCCTAAAAGACCCCAAGTCTGGAACACTCTCGGTTCGTTGCGAGGGCTTCGTGGCCACTCCTGGCCTGAGGGGGTGGAATAAGAAACAAAAAAGGGCTGCCCGCTCTCTAGCTCCAATGCAAAAAAACTCCTTAACCAGGTCTTCGACAGAAGTCCCCTAATTCGGGGATACTTTGGAAAGCCCCATGTTGCGACGGAGCCGCAGCGCCGCAACCAGGGCTCAACACATTCGCTGCAGAAGACGTGGCCGCAGGGCAGCTGGAGGGGCATGGAGCTGGCGAGCAAGCACACTGCACATTCCTCCTGCAAGCTCATGGGCCACAGCTCCGCAGCTCTTCAGCTCTGCAGATGTGTAGGGACATGCAGACATGCGTGCGCGAGCATATTCTGCAACACAAGGTATCGGAGCAACTTCCACAGAAAGGAGAGCTGAGATCGTAATCCGCAACTTAGCCTGCATCAGCACCCCACACCTGTTGACCTACTGTGTTGTACAGTAGGCAATAGCTATAAAACCATGTCAAGCATTCTTATGCAACACGCACATTATTGCCTTATGAACCTTGTGATCCCTAGACTCCAAACCTTAAACTTACGAAAAACAGTCAGCCCCCAAGCCTGTCCCTTCCACGCTTGAAGGTTCATGGGACTCACTAACTATAGCTGCAAAGTAGGGGGTACCTATTCACAAGGCCAGTCAAGGGGCGTTGATAAGCAGGGCTAGAACCCCAAATTACTTAACCAGATAGCATGCACCTTCTTAACCCTAAACCCCGAACCCTAAACCCATTAAGTCGATGTTGGGTGAGCCTCGGGCTTGTCACAGGGGCCGCTCCACATCTGCAGGGCTGCCTCCATCTCCTGCAGCTGCACTAGTCCGGCACTTTTAAGGCCTCGCCCCTAAACCCTGAAGCCTGACCTAAACCCTGAAGCCTAAACCCTGAAGCCCAAACCCTGGAGCCGGAACCCTCAACCCTAAACCCGAAGCCTTATAACCCTGGAGCCTAAACCCTGAAGCCTCAACCCTGAAGCCTAAACCCTTCATTAACCCTAAACCCTGAAACCCTAGCTGCCCTAGCTCAAAGCCTAGCTTAGTGGCCATGTCGAGCTTTGGATCTATTTGCACATTGGTCAGGGTTTGCAGAAGCGAATGTCATGTTCTCAGGGAGACGGACGAACAAGGCAAGACAGGCAGGCTGACGGACAGCTAGGAGAGAGAGTGCCAGAGAGAAAGAGAGAGAGTGAGCTATGTATATGTATTTATGTATATACATATATATATATATATTTATATGCATACATATATCAAAAACAGCACAAGAGAAAGACAAAGTGAGAGAGAGATAGAGAGGGATTGCGAGACAGAGTGAGAGGGAAGCTGCATGAAACACACAGGGTCATCACAGTCCTGCATCGAGAAGCCACGTGCCACCTTCTTCTCGCCATTTGCATCCTGAACGCCCCAAGCGCCCCGGTCAATCTCATAAACGCTCGCACCCTGGGCAACAACCCAAGTCGACATGACAAGTTCCACTTCTCAGGTGAAGCAGTGACTCCTTGACCTACGTGCTCTTGGCCAGAATGTACCTAGCCGAAAAGTGAACTGAAGCCCTTCCTACAGCACTCGTCCGGTCCTCGATGGCATTTACACCGTCCAGAATCGGAGTCCGCCTGGACTGCCCCCGCGATGAGGGTCGGGGGCGGCTGGAGCTGCCATGGTCCAGGCCGGCTCTCCGCCACTCTTCCGCGTAGGAGGGCAAAGGCGTGGAGCCTCCTAGTCAGGGTATATAGAACTTATAGGAAGCCCCGGAAGCCCACAAGATCTGCTCCTAAATGTGCGGCAAAGACACTGAGATGACGAGGCAATGTCGACTTCAACCGTTTTCAATTTCGCCCCGGCCTGTGCTGCGGGCGCTCACCTCCCCTGCGTCCGAGACGTCGCTGGCTTGTCGCCGCGTGAGTTGGATAGATGGCACACACCGGCCACGTTCTCTCCAACACTCTGGATGGAACCTTCAAACTTCGCAAAAACTGACCAAATTAAAGCAAACTGTCATGTTGTGATCGAAGCCAGCACTGCGCCGTGAAAGGGACCTAATATGTACATATATATATATATATATACATATATATATATATATATTTATGTATTTATGTGTTTTTTTGCTTGTTTATCCTATGGCCTCTGTGTCGGTCCGCCCTGGATCTCGGTGACGATGTCCGAGCCCAGGGTACTGAAGGGCCGGCGGCAGTGGTAGCAGCGGTGCCCCAAATCCCGCTTGTTCGCAGGACGCAGGTAAGCTTCCCGCCGCGCCTCTTCCGCTGGCAGGGGCGTGAACTCTGCGAACTCCGAGACCCGCACTGCTCCCGGGCCGCCGCTGCCGAAGTCGAGGCGCCACTGCTCCAGGGCCTGGAGCCGGGCCTCCGACCGCTGGGTGCCGGAGCGATCGGAGCGCTCGGAGCGCGCGGGGCGCTCGCTCTGCAGCGCGCCAGGCGGGGCGCTGTCCGCTCGAAGAGCTGCGGAGGACTCTGCGCTTCGTGCCAGGCGGAAGCTGGTGGAGGACCGGCGGGGTTCCCTCGGTAAGGGCGGGGGCAGGGACGGTGTGGTGCCGCCGGCCTCGCGTTCAGGTTCGGTCGTCATGCCTTCAGGTGACAGTAGCCCGTCATGGCAGCGACTACCGGATTATCGTCGGCGAAGCTCGACTGACGACATGTATGCATGTTGCCTCTTGGCTGTGATAAGATCGGGTCAGATACAATCTCACACTTGGATTGCCTTTGCTCTTTGCTGCATCTGCCGCTATCTGGCTTGAGCAGCGAAGCTGCGGCCGACGAGCAATACAAAATCATGGAGGCTTCATGTTCGAATTGGGGGGAAGGGTGCTTGGCACTTTTACAAAGCACAAGGGCAAGACAGAGGCTCTACTATTACAGATATCTGACCGTTCCCGAATGCTACAGATTACTTCGATGGGCAAACAGCCCCTACCCCAACGGTGTGGAGGGCCTGCTGGGCCACTGCTGGATTACCTTAGCATGCAACTTCGACTCCCAAGCCTGACCACCCAGCAGCATCACCGTCACAGCACCTTCGTGGGATTGCGCTGGTTTTCTGAGAACTATGCCAAATCGACAAAGACTAGTACCGGTGGGGGGGGGGGGGGGGGGCCTGATCTATAAAATGTGGAAGGGGGTTGGGGGGTTGGGGGCCTCCTCGTTTTGTGTTGTCCTTCAAATCATCCAATGATACCAAATGAGGTCCACCGGAGGCTGCCAAGCCGAGTGCGACTGAGCCCGAAGTCAGATCCCTCAGCCTCAAGTCTTAAAAGAGTTGCTGAATTATACCCAACTGAACCCTATAGCCCGATAAGCCCGAACTCCTAAAGGCCCAGATATCTGGCCCTGAAACCCTCTAAACCCCAGAAGCCCCAACGCAGTGAAACCAAGAAGCCCCAGAAGCCCTCAACCACCTCAACCCTACAATCTCCTCACAAGAGTCCCATAGTGACCTATGTTGACCTGATGACTAACCCTGTCATAACCCTACAACGACCCTGTGATGACCGATAATACCCTATCATAACCCTATAATGACCTATAATGAACAACCCTATCATAACCCGACAATAACCCTGCAATAATCCTGGAACCCTATCATAGCTCTCCAGGAACCATAACCCTATACTGACCTATAATGAATAACCCTATCATAGCCCAAGAGTAAACACACCATCGAAGACTATTCTAGACCACCTGATATCCTTTTGACATTAAGGCGAACCCTGAACCCTGAACCCTGAACCCTGAACCCTGAACCCTGAACCCTGAACCCTGAACCCTGAACCCTAAACCCTAAACCCTAAACCCTAAACCCTAAACCCTCAACCTGTGTTTGGCCCGGCACGCAGTGGCCAACGCACGGGTGGCCCCGGTAGTTGCATGGCGCAGCCCCCGTTGACCACGACGCCTGGGGAACGCATCGGCCGGCTTTGAGGGCTTTTGGGGATCTAGATGCAGAAGCCGGGTGGGGGGGGGGGGGGGGGGGGCGGGGTAGGGTTTAGGGTTTAGGGTTTCGGGGTTTAGGGGTTTAGGGGTTTAGGGGTTTAGGGGTTTAGGGGTTTAGGGTTTGGGGATCTATGGAGGGTTGTGGGCCAGTTGTGGGTGTTTACTTCGGGACGGCTTCCGGGAACTGGAAATCTTGACCTTCGGCGACGCCATGTATAGCATTCTTGCACACTTCTCCAATTGAAAACGCTAATGAAGACCGTGGTCGACATGCGCAGCGCCATCTTCAGCCGAAGGCCTAACAACTCCAACCCAAGCCGACCTAAGAACTCGGCCATCAGGCCATGAGCACAAACACCCAAAAACCTAAGCCCTAAGTTCTAACCGGAAGACTTAAACCCCCAAGTCCTCAACCCTAACCGGCTTAGGGAACTCCCTGCTGAGACAAATGCTGGCATCCCACCAGTACAAAGGCCATGGGGATCATATTATATATAGCAGCCGGGGGGTATGATACCACAGAGTTGATCTAACAATCAAGTCAGCTTGCGTCACTCTAGGCCCCCTGAGGAAACCCCAAAAACCCAAACACTAAAACCCTAAGCCCTAAACCTCTTAGTAGCCCAGATACCATATTGCAATAAGAGTACTTACCCATTTCAGGGTTGGCTACCTTAGTAGGGAGACCCAGAACCCAAAAAGGGCCAAAGGATACCACAGGGCTACCAAGACCTGCCGAAGGCTAGGCTCGGCCCAGCGTCTGGGCGGCACTTCGTCGCCGAGCGCGCTCCACATCAGCGGCAGCACCACCTGTCCGCCTTGCTGGAGAGCTTCCAGGGTTTTGTTAACGCAGGGTTTAGGGTTTAGGGTTTAGGGTTGCCCAATAACCAAGGAAAAAGAAGGTTAAACCTGATCTATGCACCATTCCTACAAAAGAAGGAGACCCCAAAAGCTTAAAGTTCGTCCATTGGCCACGTAAGTTACGTTGACATTGCCCTTATGCCCTTTTACAACAAAGGACGGTTGCTGTTGAGCTGTGATTCGCCGGAATTTGACCATTCTTGATGGCACAAGAACACCTACCATACGCGAAGGGTTTAGGGCACAGGGTTCGGGGTTGGGGCGCTTCACGTGTCGTTTTGAGGGGGTTGTTCCAAGTTATGGTCCCTCTTGCGGGGGGCTGAGGGATGGTTGTGAGATTTAAGTTTTAGGGTTTAGGGTCCCCTAAACACACCCAAAAGGGACCACGACTTTGAAACCTACCGACAATGACATCCTTGTCACATCTTGCATCCTCATCCCACAGGAATCTCAAGAGGTCAACGGCGGAATTATCTCAAAAGGGTCATAGGGATTCTAAGTTGCCAAAGAAACTGGCGCCCTGTGGAAACACGCGTTTAAGCTGCCAGGCCAGGGGACCCCTCGGCGGTCATGCATCCGACACTGCGCCGGCTACTTCTGAGGTCGGCGCGAGGAGTAACAAACAGACCATCGCACTGCGTTTGAGTGTGATGCAGCGGTGGGCTTCTGCAAAGTTGCGGACGAGGCTCGAGAAATCACGAGCCGCCCGAGAAAATTGACCGGGAAGTGAGGGACATAGATGAATGAGAGATGGAGAGAGCGTGAGAGAGACGAGAGAGTGAGGTAGGTGGTGAGCGACTGAGTGAACAAGCAACCCCAGCCAAATTGCGACTAGCTCAACAGCTGATATTGCACAGCACGGCTGTCACCACCACTGCCAGCATGGCCCCAGGTCACAACAGACCCATCGCCCAAAATGGCGGCAAAAGCGGAACTGGTAGCTTGGATCTGCTGGACGCCCTTCAACTGATGTTGCACAGCACTGCTGTCAGCGCCACGGTACACATCTCGGCCCCAGGTCACAACAGACCCATCACTGAGAATGGCAGCAAAAGCCGCGCTGGTAGCTTGGATCTGCTGCACGTCCTTCAGCTGATGTTGCACAGCATGGCTGTCGCCACCACTGAAAGCAGGGCCCCAGGACACAACAGACCCATCGCGCAGAATGGCAGCAAAAGCACGGCTGGTGGCCTTGATCTGCTGTACATCCTTCAGCTTGCCTTGCACGGCGCTGCTGTCACCGCCCGCATCGGCACGACCCCAAGTCACAACAGACCCATTGCCCAGAATGGCAGCAAAAGCTTCGCCGGTTGCTTGGATCTGCTTCACGTTCTTGAGCTGATCACGCACACTACTGCTGTCGCCACCATAGTCAGCGCAGCCCCAGGTCACAACAGATCCATCGCCCAGAATGGCAGCAAACGCCAAGCTGGTGGCTGCGATCTGCTGCACGTCCTTAAGCTGACCTTGCACATGACTGCTGTCTCCACCACTGCCAGAACGGCCCCAGGTCACCACAGACCCATCGCCCAGAATTGCTGCAAATGCGGTCATGCTGGCTTGGATCTGCCGCACGTCCTTCAATTGACCTTGCACCTCACTGCTGTCGCCGCCATAGGCAGCACGGCCCCAGGTCACAACCGACCCGTCGCCCAGAATTGCAGCAAAAGCCTGCCAAGCAGCGTGTATCTGCTGCACGTCCTTCAAGCGCCCTTGCACATGTGTGCTGTCGCCGCCGGCCCCGCCATATCCCCAGGTCACCACCGACCCATCGCCCAGAAGGGCTGCAAAAGCGGAACCAGAAGCTTGGATCTGCTGGACGCCCTTCAGCTGACCTTGTACCTATACTCCCCTTAGAACCTCAATAACAATAATATTCTTAATATCCTCTTGGGTTTCATACAAACAAAAAGAAACATAATTCCCAAGGGGGATATAGGTACAGCAGTGTTGTCGCCGCCACAGTCAGCATTGCCCCAAGCCACAACAGACCCATCGCCCAGAATGGCAGCAAAGGCTTTCTCGTTGCCACGAACGTAAACACTGCGCATCTGCAAGGTCAGCCGGTCGCCGTTCCGCAAGCTGGATTCCTCAAGCGTGGCTGCTGCGCTCAGAACACCTCCGGAGGAACTCAAGAGTCTGCCCCTGCCAACTGCCAGAGTCTTCTGCGCTTTCCTCCTTAGTGCAGCTACGGACTCATCCAGACCTGCTTCCAGTGAGACCGTCCTGCCACTCAACAGACTCACCTCAAGCGTAAGGTACATGATGCTGCGCAGCCCGCAGGTGCTAGGAGGCCGCTGGGCACGAGAGTGTGATGGGTGCGTGCAACACAAATGGTGTGATGGTAGCTTAGGGTTCAGGGCTGAGGGTCTTACAGGGCTTTCTTGAGCACAGGCCACTGCGTTTGCAAGGGTCTTGGTGGACGGCTCTTCCATATGGTTGGGTAACACCTCGAAGAGCTCTTGCTACAGAATGCCATGGTCCCAGTCTTGAGCCAAAGGAGACGACACAAGCAGCTCTGCAATGACAAGCCGTAAAGGTCCACAGCGTTCGAGGGGACTGAGGGTTTACGGGTTACGTAAGGATATCCCTACTCGGAGTAGACCCTGGAAAAAAGTATATACTTTTAGGTAGATAGTAGGAACCCAGAACCAAAAAAGTGTTGAAGTAGGGTTGTTGGTACAGCTGGTGCTCAGCGCAGCTTCATGGGTTGGGGCCTCTGTGAGACGCCAGCACCTTCGAAGCCGCCCTTAGACCCGCAAACTTCTGAAGCCCTTGGAGCCCTGAACCCGAAACCCTAAACCCTAAACCCTGAAACCACCCAAACCCTAAATTTTAAACACCGTGACCCCTGACATAAACAACCCCTTCAGCCTTACGCAGAGAGCCCAAGACTCCCTCAATCAGGGCACGTCCCCCCTAAATTCTAGCAGGGTTCTAACATTTGAATTTGCTCAGTACATCTCACACACACACAATGATACTTACGAGAAAAAAACCTGAAATATCAGAGAATGCAACATACAATATGGCGCATACATGAAAACAGGAAAGTCTGCACATCTCTATTGTTTACCATATGATAAACCTCCGCAGATGATGCAAAACCTCCAGCGCTAGCATTCACTGCAACTGCAACACCCTAAACCCCTTAAACTTGGAAACCCTAAACCGTAAACGCTAAACCCTAAACCCTAAACCCGAACCGTCAGTTAAAACATGAAAGCCGGCCTCGCGAGCCGAAGATGAGGCAGTCTGCCCCTGGCCGCAGGAAGCCCTGAACTCTTATCCTCCGCCCCAAACTCCAAACCCTGACCCTGAACCACCACAAGCCTCTCTCCTGAACCCTATACCTCGTAAAACCCCAACTCCTAAACTACCCGAACAACTCCATGAACCCTAAACCCTGAACCCTAAAGTTACCTCCAAACACTCGGGGGGGGGGGGGGGGCAAGCTGAGACAACTCCAGTCACAGTTTGCTCTTACTGTGGGCGCTGTGGCGTGCATCTGCGGAAGTCAATTTGTGCGTGACCTTTGGGGACTATATAGCTCTACAAAAGGATTAAGGACTAAGAGGGTTTGTAGGCTTCATAGGGTTGTAGGACGTAGGGCTTAGGGTTCATGTACCTATAGGGAGTAGTGGCGTTTATGGTTCGTTTGGTCCTTAAGAAATGGGTTGCACAGCAACACTTTTGCATCTAATTAATCTTTGCATGCATGGTGCAAGGTGATAGATACAATATCCGAGACTTGCTCCTAAACTATCTTGGTGGACAATGGAGAAAACTCTGGGCTCAGTTCAGAAGACCTCCTTAGCCATGGGTCACATTTCTGTGCTTTGTGTGATAGGGCAGTTCCGCCCACAGGATGTCACAGGCTCTTCTCATCTGCAGGTTTCCAGGGTTTAGGGTTTAGGGCTGTGGGCTTCCTAACATCTGTCAACTCTGCTGCAAAGTGGCGGCGATGAACACCCATGCGAACGAGGTCCTCGCGAAACGATGTGCTCACCCTCTCGGGCACTTTCGTGGCTGGAACTCAACATGCGTTTTTAACTCTGATGCCGTACTCAGGATGGATCTCTGCCGGGCTTTGGCGGTTTACGGATCTTAGGCATTTTGGGGCTTTACACTGCCCCCACCCCCCAACCCCCCAACCCCCTCCCCCCCCCCCCCAAAAAAAAAAAAAGACACACACACACACACACACACACATGCAGCCATGTCCTCGGCAAAGGAGCGCAGGTTTGGTGCCCTCACACCCGTGTCCCAGGTCTCAGGATACCGGTCCTGGGCTGCAGACCCTGAACCCTGAAGCCTCGGACCTCAACCCTTCACCTCCTAAACCCTAAACCCTAAACCCTAAACCCTAAACCCTAAACCCTAAATAAACCCTCAACCCTACACCTGAACCTTTCCACAAACCCTATAAGACCTCTAGGGGCAACCCTAAGCATCATACAGCTTCAGGGCTGGAGGGTTTGGATTGAGGTGGAACTCCCGGAGCCACCGAGCCACCTTTAGTAGTTGCATGGCATGCTTTGGAAAGTGCCTTTGTCAGTGGCTCTTTTCATGCTATACTGTTCAGGGTACCCCACAAGGGACCGTAATTGAGAGAACCCTGCCCCGAATTCTACCGGCCACTGATCCGAGGCTCGTAAAGGACGCCTTTTCGTCCAGCCACCTCCACCTGTCCACAGAAATGGCCCCAGCCCCATGCCCAATTTAAACCCCAAAAAACCCACTAAGCGCCAGGAGATTACAAGCTCGATCCTGCCCGGGGGGGAAACAAAACCCTGAGCCCCTAAGCCTGCAAACCCCTGAGCCCTAAATCCTCAAACCCTAAACTCCTAAACCCCCAACACTGTGAGGAGCTGCAAACCCCTGAGCCCTAAATCCTCAAACCCTAAACTCCTAAACCCCCAACACTGTGAGGAGCTGGGCATGCTTTCCACCTGCAGACCAGCGCCAGAATGGCTGTCGAAACTGGTGTTTACCTGGCTTGGCGCCTGAAACCCCGGCTCGGCACCCAGCGCACGGAATCGCGCGCCTAGCGTCCTCGGATGCATGGGGGGGACTATCAGGAGACTGTGGTGGGGGAGGGGGGTAGGGTTTAGGGTTTAGGGGTCTAGAATATCAGTACTTTTATCCCTAGAAACAATTGTACGAATTCTATAATTGGTGGTTCACTTCTTCGGCTCCTGACTGCTGTAGGAATGCATCGAAGCTGCCCAGATGAACACACCCTGAACCCTAAACCCTAAACCCTAAACCCTATAAACCCTAAACCCTAAACCCTAAACCCTGCCCTGAACGACTGTGAGAGGTGGCCAGCGTCTTGACACCCGCGCCAGGCGCGACGATGAGGAGCCGGGCAGCCTGGTCTAAGAAACAGAGAGTTTAGGATAAGAAGGGTTTAGGGTGTCGGGTTTCTAGGGTTTCAGGGTTTAGGGTCTAGGGTTCAGGGTTTACTTTCAACATAGGGTTTCGGCATTTAGAGCTTAGGGGGTAGGGTCCATTTAGGGATTTGGCTTTGGGGAACTATGCAGTCTCGGAACTTTCCAGCCACCAGGATCGTCGATCATATGGCAGCTTCTGGTTACTGCATTTGGGGTCCGTACTTTTCGGGAGGTTTAGGGTTTAGGGTTTAGGGTTGAGGGTAGCAAAGGGAATCAGGGCACCACTGGGTGTCCTGATTGTGGGAAAATGGAGCCAACGAGGGTCTTCCGCATGGGCAAGCGATCATTTGCTTAGCATTTTGAGCCTTGTAGGCTCTCAAACCTAGAGCTTCTGGGAAATTCAGTCTTTCAAGGTTTTTCTTAGCATGCTACGGTTAGACACCCCGCAGGGAGGGGAGTTCGAGGAGGTGTCAGGCTAGGCGGCTGAGGGAAAAGGAAGCGCTGGACCCAAGAGTAACCTAGGAATAAAAATCGGTGCCCTTCTTTTGGAGAGTGCGTGAAAAAGGGGCCTGTGCCTATTTCAGGTAGCCCTCCCCCCCCCCCCACCAACAGAAAACCCCCCCCCCCCACACCAACCAAAACCCCCCACCCACCCCCCCCCCCCCTAACACCCTAACCCAAAACCCTAAACCTAAACACTAAAAACCCTAAACCCTAAAAACCTAACCAAAAACCTAAACCCTAAACCATATGATTCCGCGGGGGTGTTCGCGGGGGGGGGAGGGGGGGGGAGGGGGGGGGAGGAGGGGGGGGAGGGGGGGGAGGGGGGGGGGGGGGGGGAGGGGGGGGGGAGGGGGGGGCAGGGGGGGGGAGGGGGGGGGTGGGGGGGGGGAGGGGGGGAGGGAGGGGGAGGGGGGAGGGGGGGGGAGGGGGGGGCGGGGGGGGGGGGAGGGGGGGGGGGGGGTGGGAGGGGGGGGGAGGGGGGGGGAGGGGGGGGGGGGGGGGGGAACGGCGAGGGGGGGGGAGGGGGGGGGAGGGGGGGGGAGGGGGGGGGGGGGGGGGGGGGGGGGGGGGGGGGAGGGGGGGGGAGGGGAGGGGTGGGAGGGGGGGGGGGGACGGTGGAGGGGCGCCCGTGAGTGGGGGGGGAGGGGGGGGGGGGGAGGAGGGGGGGGGGAGGGGGGGGGGGGGAGGGAGGAGGGGAGGGGGGGGGAGGGGGGGAGGGGGGGGGGGGAGGGGGGGGGAGGGGGGGGGGAGGGGGGGGCATGGGGGGGGAGGGGGGGGGAGGGGGGGGGAGGTGAAGGAGGGGGGGGAGGGGGGGGGGCGGGGGGGGAGGGGGGGGAGGGGGGGGGGAGGGGGGGGGAGGGGGGGGGGAGGGGGGGGGGGGAGGGGGGAAGGGGGGGGGCGGGGGGGGAGGGGGGGGGAGGGGGGGAGGGGGGGGGGGGGAGGGGGGGGGAGGGGGGGGAGGGGGGGGAGGGGGGAGGGGGGGGGATAGGGGGGGGGGGGGGGCGGGGAGGGGGGGGAGGGGGGGGGGGAGGGGGGGGGCGGGGGGGGGGAGGGGGGGGGGGAGGGGGGGGGAGGGGGGGGGTAGGGGGGGGGGACGGGGGGGGGAGGGGGGGGGGGGGGGGGGAGGGGGGGGGGAGGGGGGGGGAGGGGGGGAGGGGGGGGGAGGGGGGGGGAAGGGGGGGGGGGGGGGGGAGGGCGGGGGCGGGGGGGGGGGGGGGGGGAGGGGGGGGGAGGGGGGGGGAGGGGGGGGAGGGAGGGGGGGCAGGGGGGGGGAGGGGGGGGGGGGAGGGGGGGGGGGGGGGGGGGGGAGGGGGGGGGAGGGGGGGGGGAGGGGGGGGGGGGGGGGGGGGGGGGGGGGGGAGGGGGCGAATAGGGGGGGGAGGCGGGGGGGGGGGAGGGGGGGGGGAGGGGGGGGGAGGAGGGGGGCGGGGGGGGGGGGGGGGGGAGGGGGGACAAAAAAAGGGAATAAGGGCCTACTCTGGGGTCCTAGGTTTAGGGTTGATGGCGCCCGGCCTTCTGCAACAGTCTCGCCGACTCTGTCAAGCCAAGGGCGTACACGCCGAAAGGCAGCTTGACGTGCACCTGGGAGGCTAATCCTATCCCCCTAATATTCAACGGGCTGCCCCCCCCCCGCCCCCTCCCCCTAAAGAAACTCGAACTACTGTGTTTTTATTAAATTACGATAGAGAGAGAGAGAGAGAGAGAGAGCTCCACTTGGAGGGCTGGGAGGGAAGGGAGCTTCAGGATGTCGGTTGGCTTGAGGCTTTTTGGAGCCCTCAACCCACCCCCTAACTCGGAATAGGGTTTAAATGCAGGGTCGGTTTCGGCAGGATTTTCCGGAAAGTGTTTTTTTTTGTGTAGTTGCGGGTACGTTTTGTACAAGGGGGTTGGGATTACCTACATTAGGGTTTACAGGGATTACGGTTGTCAAGGAATCACCAATTCATCACACTAGATACGAGCGCCCCCTTTTGTGATTAAAGGGATCACGCCGGTACAATTTAATTTAAACCCGGTAAACCCTGTGAACCCTAAACCCTGAACCCTACACCTTGAGATGTTCCCCTCATACTGACAGTCCTTCATCGGGAGTATAGTACCCCCGATTATAATCCCTAGTAAGGACTGACTCTTAGTATAAGGGGAAACATCCCAATCTACAACCCTAATTAAACGCAAAACCCTAAACCCTAAGCCCTAAGCCCTAAGCCCTAAGCCCTAAGCCCTAAACCCTAAACCCTAACCCCCCCCCCCCCCCCCCAAAAAAAAAACCTTCAGCCGGGTCTGCGGCCGACTGGTTCGCAGCATCGATGCCCACCACAGTTCCGGGCTCCCACCTCCACACCCGAAGTCTTGAAGGGACGGCCGGGGAGTATGTTTGAGGGTTTGGGGTGTTTAGGGTTTAGAATTTAGGGTGTTTAGGGTTTTAGGATTTAGGGTTTAGGCTTAGGGTCTAGGGTTCTATAGGTCTCAGGTAATCTGCCGGAGAGACCGGTCTGGGTGTTGGTTCGTGGGTTTTGCGTGGCAAGGGCGGCAACCTGTCATTGCTTCCACTGTGCTCTACATTCAATTTTTCGGGGAACTTCAGGGTACAAGCACATAAACCTGCACCCGAAGCATAGGGAAGACACGTGCCAGCGCACCACAGCCCCCTCGAAGGCCCCAGGCCCTCCCCCCCCCCTCAAAAAAAAGTCGATCAACTCCACAACCATTACACGATGAGGTTCATAAGGGAACCTAGACGCTTCAGAAGAGACAAAGGACCACCAGGGGTCCCAGGCATTTTCTCATTCTCGCCCTGAGGTCGGACCCTGACCCGGAGCCGTGAAGGAACATAGGGTCCTGAACAATTATAATAGGGTGTTGGGGGGTATTATAGTATAAGTACAAAGGGACCATAAGGGAATACGATTAGGAATTATATAGTATCCAAGCCTGTCAGCTTGTCGAAGAAAAACTTTGTCTCCACTCTGCAGCTCGTCGCGGCTAGCAGGGGGCCCCCTTGGCAAAGCCGCATCAGCTTTTTCCCCCTCAGGCGGAGATTCAGCCGGCCTTTCCGGCTTAAGTTAGCTTAAGGGAAAAGGCTGAACTATACTGCTTAGGGCGAGAAAGAACGGCCCACGCCGGAAGAATCTGTGGTCGAAGCTGTGAAGGGTTCGGAAAATGAGTGTGTGCGGCAGGGCGGGGGGGTTGGGCACAGCTGGGTTGGGCACCCCAAAACAAGAGGAGGACAAAGCGCCAGGCGCCTAAAGAGCCTTCTGGAGAAATGGCCAAATTTTAAATCGATAAACCCTTGAACCCTAAACCCTTGAGTCTTTTTTTTTTGGGGGGGGGGCGACAGCTATAGTTGGGAGAACAACTGCTGGCAAGCCAAAACCCCGCCCATAGCTGATGAAACTTGGTTCAGCACCTTATCCATGGCTGGGCCAGCAGGTCCATAGCCTGGAGGGCTGGAGGGACTTGTGGTGCAGGCGGCAGGAGCACAAAAACGGCACAACCCTTCGCATCCAAGGCCTTGCTTCACTCAAACAAACCTTTTGGCGTTTAGGGCTTAGGACAGCATCTTGAGATCTGATCGCTTCGGAGGTCCGCAGGACAAGGCCCGAAGCTGCTAAAGAATTGAACGTTTGCCCTTTCTAGTTTGCGGACCCGAAGCCGCCGAAGCCATAAACCCTAGAAAATGCCCTAAAAACCCAACACCCTAAACCCTAAACCCTACACCCCAAACCCCAAACCCTAAAACCTAAACCCCAACACCCTCACACCCCCACCTGCAGGCAGCCAGGGATGTATCTCACAGCGCAGAAGCAGAAGCGCGGCTCCAGGCAAGGGCACAAGCTTCCGAGGCCCTTAAGAGCTCCTTTTGGGCCGTTTTATGGCGGGTAACCTGGTAGGTTTTTTGGGCCTTTTTCTAGGGGTTTCATAGGGTTTTGGGGTTTTCGGGCTTTGGGGCCTTAGGGTTTAAGGTTTCAGGGCTTCAGGGTTTGTAGGGTTTAGGGCTTCAGGGTTCAAACCCTATCTGCATTCCAAACCCTCTAAACCCAAAACTCCAAAAATAGCAATCGTACACCCTAAACCCTACATAAGCTCTATAAATCCTATACATCCTTTTTTCTCATAGAAACCCCTACACACCTTATAAGCTCTTTTCAACCCTCAACCACACGCACACCCACACCCTCCGTCAAGCCCTACAGCCGCATGTTCTTCGATGTCCACTTGGCTCGAGCTCCCGCCGGCGGAGAGGGTTTAGGGCTTAGGGTTTAGGGTTTAGAGGAAGTGGTGTCAATGTGGCGACTGCAAAGCTTACGGTTTTTTGCGTTGGGCTTCAGGGGGTTTTAGGGGTCGAGGGGCAACTGGCAGAATTCGAGGGTTTATGGCATTTCCATAAGCATCGCTACATTAGTTATGGCTTTTGAGGGTCTAAGGCAACTTTAGGGTGTTTAGGGGCTCGGGCTCCTGCTAAGCTGTTGAGATGCCAGATCTCTTGGGTTTGGGGTTTAGGGTTTAGGGGTTTAGGGGTTTAGGGTTTAGGGGTTTAGGGGTTTAGGGGCTTAGGGGTTTAGGGGTTTAAGGGTTTAGGGGTTTAGGGGTTTAGGGGTTTAGAGGTTTAGAGGTCCCGGGACACCTCTAGCCCAAACAAGCCCAAAGATGAAGACCACCTGACCAAGTCGGCTGAGCCCTACAATCCCTACAAGCGCTGGCTGACTCCGAAAACTCCCAGAACTCAACTCCCAAGCTCCTAAAAAACACCTTAAGCCGTCAGCCCCTGTCACCTTTTTTCCCCCTGCGCGCGGAAGACCCGATCCGAGCAAGAGGCCGAAACGGGGGGTGTGGCTCAGGATGCAGGGGGCAAGGCTTCGGGGCGAGGGTATAGGGTATAGGGTTTAGGGTTTAGGGTGTATAAACCCTTAACCCGAATACACTATCGGGCTAAGGGCCTATGGAGGGGGCGATCGAGGGTGTATGGGGCTGATGTCTGAAGGTTCGGGGATGGATGTCAGCAGGGCCCCTGGCAGCTCCAGTTGAGGCTCTCTGGTCGCCTCTCAGCTCCGAGACTCTAAGCCCTGAAGCCCTAGAAACTTAAGAAGCCCAAGCCCTTAACGAACCTTAAGCAACCCTAAGCCCTAAACCCTATAGTCCCGAAGCCCCAAGTCTGAATCTCTGCTCATTTCGCTCCCTTGCTCTTGAGCAGCTCGACAATCTTAAGCCTGGGTGCTTTGGGTTTAGGGTTTAGGGTTTAGGGTTTAGGGTTTAGGGTTCAAGGTTTAGGGTTTAGGGTTTAGGGTTTAGGGTTTAGGGTTGGGGTCCGTCAAGTTTGCTGGCACGGTTTGATGACGGTTGGCAAGCGCCGGCTCGGGGAATACATTGACGAAGGCCGCCTAATTGGGAAATACAACAGCGCCGCTGTAACACCTTGAATCCTGAACCCTATAACGCTATAAACCTTATGTGAAGAGTGGGTTTCAACTGTGGCCAACCTGGCTCGTTATCCTCACATCTTCTTGACAAAGCTCTCCGCTAGCCCCCCTAAGATTGGGCTACAAGCACAACGCCCCCACGTGAGCTCAAATGCCAAAGCCTCAAACCCTGAGCCCCAGACCCAAATCCGCTTATGGCAACTCAGGATTTCTGGACACCTTGTGGCTATTTCCTCCAGCACTACACCAGCAAACGGCTCGGAGCCTACAAGCAACAAGAAGAACCATGGAGAGGACAACTCCCCCCAAACCCCGCGGAAGGAGGGGGCGAAGGGTGTTCCGTTGAAGAAATCTGGTTTATACTTAAGTGCCCCAATATGGTCATAAGTACAGGTATAAGTACAGTTGCATAATTGGTTAGTCAGTACCATGAACCTCCAAGTAGGGCTTGTAAGGGTTCGATCAACACCGGGCCCCATGGCTGCTCATTCTTGATGGCCACCGCGAGCGGGGTCTGACCACCTCAGTCAGCTCTCTTTGGATCTCTTTTGGATGTTTCCTAAATCCTAAACCCAAACCCTATAAACCCTAAACCCTAAACAGGGTTATGGTTTCAAGACAACCCCAAAAGGAACCTGGGCATCAAAGGGGTTTAGGGTCCAGTGTTTCGGGGTTCCACAGTAGCCTGGAACAATAGAGACGAGCCTGTAAGAAAGAGAACGACAGAGCCCCAAAAAAGGGGCAGAAGGAGTAGCCAGCAGCATACCAAGAACCCAAGTGCTGAGTCCCTCCGGCTGCCAGAAGGATTTAGGGCTTCGGGTCTAGAGCCTGATGCGTGCACAGGCTTTTCTCAGGGTCAAGCGAACCCTCATGTTGCCAAGCATTCTGAAGTGTGGCCCTGAAGAGCATCGACTGTTGAATGTTCTCTCCTGAAGAGCGTCGACTGTTGTTGAGACTCTGGCTGCTGTTCTCTTTGTTCACATTGGCCTTCTGGCCAAGGAGATATGTCAGAATCTCCTGCAGGGCCATAAGCCAGCGAACAGAACCCAACAACAGACCGCAAGTGTCTAAGTACTGCGAGGGAAGGCTATGACATTGGGAGGGAGAATTAGGGTGGTGGTTGGGTGGGGGAGGGTGGGGGCGGTGGGGCCCGGTAGTATAGAATCCCATGCAGACGCACCTACAACACGAACCTAAGCTTGAAAACTTCAACCCTCAGCCATTCGTGGTACATTCCGCGCCTCGTCTCCAGTATGCAAAGCTATGGATATTTATCATCCCTCCAGTTGAGTCCCCACAATCCCTGTCCTGTCGGCCGTAGCCCGCTGCATAATGGACACTGCTGTTGCCAGCCTTGTCCACGCAGTTCAGGTCCTTGGCTTTCCTACGCATTGCCGCCAACGCCAAGAGCTACAGACTTCTGTCAGCGGTGGCGATTCCCATCGATGAAGCCGCACATACTGTGCAACATGGCGTTCCCCTACTAGACTTATGCGGGGTCGCACACGCCCCACTGGTGGCCTCAACCATTCACGTGAGAGTCCCACCCCACCAGACCAACTACGCTCAAGCTCGGTTCATGGGTATTGTCCAACTGCGGACGGACCATGAATTGCGCCAAGATTCCGCTTTGACCTGTGCAGAGAGGAAGCGCAAGGATAGGCGCAACTGCTTTTGGAACCACTCTTTACAACGCCTCTGATAACAATGCCAATATCACAATTCGGAAAACTCGGAGATAAAACATTCTGGCTCCAACGCGTTGCCCGACAACTCCCCGCAAACGAGGTTCCCAGCAACCAAGAAGAAACAGAAGCCATGAAAGGTTTAAATTAGGGTTTGGGGGTTAGGGCCTAGGGTTTAGGGTTTAGAAACCATGTGGGTGCTTCCAGAACTTGCAGAGGCTTCAGAAGTTCCGCCAGCCTCCACCAAAAGCTCGGTGATGGGCATGCGATCCGCTCCCACGGCGTAGCCTGGTTCGGGGATTCAGGGCCATGACAGTAACCCCATGACAGCAACCCCATTCCTCCTCAAACCTTGCAGAGTCATATCGTTGAAGGCAGAAAGAGCACTGTGTCCGAAGGCCAAAGCAGCACTGTGTCCCAAGCCCGGCCTAGGCAAGTCACTCCTCGCTGATCTTTGGCTTCTAGGTCGCGGCTGCCGGGTTGGCTGTCCGACCTCACGCAGTATCAAGCCCAACCCTGCCCGAACCTGGGTTGTCGTGCCACTCCGCCTAAACCACAAAATCTTGAAAACCCTGAGCCTTGGAGCCAACCCTAGAACCTACACCCTAATGACCCTAATAACCCTAGAACCTCACATCCAAACAACCTCAACATCCCCAGGGCATCTGCTCAAATCTGTAGCCTCCTGAACCCCCTCCAAGCTCCACATTCAGCCTCTAAAACGTACTGGCTCGTAGTAGGGAATGGGGGAATTTGGTAACCTGTATTTCCCTGTCTATACCCTTTAAGGGATTGTAAAAGGTACCTAAACCCTAAACCCAACTACCCTAATACCCCAAACCTTAACCCTAAACCCCCCACATGCCATACTACGAACCTCAGGCCAAGGTCGCGGCTCCATGAGGTAGTTCTTGACCGCCTCGATGTCGCCGAACTTACAGGCCTCCAAAAGTTTTGTTGGACTCAGGTCTCCCACCATGGGCATAGGGTTTAGGGTTTAGGGTTTAGGGTTTAGGGTTTAGGGTTTGGGGTTTGGGGTTTGGGGTTTGGGGTTTGGGGTTTGGGGTTTGGGGTTTGGGGTTTGGGGTTTGGCTTTGTAGGGGATTCTAAGGGGCTTTAGGGCTCTTTGGGGGTTTTCTGAGGGCTTTTTTTGGAAGCCATGGGGCTCCTGGGGTTCTCCGGGTTTAGGCTCTTGGGGCTTTGGGGGTTTGGAGGCTCTAGGGTTCTTAGGGTTTTAGGATGGCGGGCTTATAGGTTTTTAGGGCTTATAGGGGCTGGTAGGGGTAGGGAAACCTGGACCTTCGGCCCCTCGGCCCAGTGGCAAGGACCAACCCTAAAACCTAATCCTAAACCCTAAACCCTAAACCCTGAACCCTGAACCCTGAACCCTGAACCCTGAACCTTGAACCCTAAACCCTAAACCCTAAACCCGAAACCCTAAACCCTAAACATCCCTAAACCTTCACTGACTTGCGCTTAGCTGTTTTGGCTCAAGCCTTGTCGGCGCAGGAGTTTCGCAGCTCTCGGCAGGTTTAGACAAGCGCTCAAACAGATTCGCAGGCATCGGTGCACAATCTTGGGTCTGCCGATTGAGGCACAGTGCGAGACATCCCCTGCAGCAGCTGCCAAGAGACATCTCGAAGCTAGAAGCTTTGACGTTTCCACCAGTCGGAAAAAAGTTAGACTTTGCGATTCTGGAAGATTGCAGTCAGACTGGGAGCCCATGTCCCAAATCCTTGCTGACATTCAACTCATTCCTTTCATCGCTTTTCCGCTGTGGCCTCAGCCTACAGCGTTGCTTGTGAGATGACTTGCACTTGAGGCCTTGTTGGGCTTACTAAGATGTACGCATTTGCCCCTAACGCCTAAAGCCCCCAAACCCTAAACCAAACTCCAAACACTCAGACCATGGGGCAGGCCAGCCTCTTGCAGAGTCAGCCTCGTGGCCGGGAAAGGTCCCCAAGGTGTTGGGCGCCATTTGAGGGTTTAGGGTTTAGGGTTTAGGGTTTGCTGTTCCCCAAAAAACTCTACGGACAGTTCTTGAGGGTATGGTCCTTTCTTTTGGGTGCCGTACGTAGACTTGGAAAGCTCCGTGTATAGTAGGCATCCCCTAAAACCCAGTTGATCCCAAAAGGTGTGCCCCGCGCGTTGATGTGGTCCCCCGCGCTATTGCTTGCTTTCTGGCCATGGCAGTCTTCGGCATGGCTACTGGATCTCTGAAAACTGTGCGGCGGCAGCGGAAAACCGAGATTTCGCACTGGACTGCAAAGGAAAAACTATCCTTCGAAGTTGCTGAGCCGCGAGGCACTCTGCCTAAATGAGGCGCAAGGGATCTTGACCCTTAAGGTGAAGGAAGACAGGTACTCCTCGCCAGGTCTACCTGGCTACACCCTCCTAAGCCCGAAGCCCTACTTGACTTGCAACCCCCACTTATAACCGTACTTATGAGCCCCCCTAGGTCCTCTTAGTAGTTTTGTTTATATTATAGGTAGACATATACTTTAGGGATACAATAGTAGGATATATGAGTAGACTTACAATCTGGGTTTACAAGTACCCCTGAACCTCCAAGTAACGCCTAAGCCCTAGGATCTCGTCAGGCCCCCACGGGGTCTTTCTGAGCTTGTCCAGCTGTGCCTTCGCCTGGTCGGGGACCTGTGCATCGGTGCATCTCATCCGCTACAGATTTACAGATTCCTACGGCTTTACCGACCTAATCCCCCAAAAAAGGGGCCACTAGGAAACGTTAGGGAAGAGGTAGGGCTTTCTTGGGGCTGCGGGTTTCTAGCAGTTTCGAGCAGCTTCGGACATCTGCAGTCCCACAATCCTTGCCGAAGTCGCTCGAAGCCGGTTGCTTGCAGGCTTTTCTGAAACCCTGGCAGCTTCATTCGTGCTTCTTGCCACGTCCAATGATGAGAGGTGCTGAAAGGATCTCGTGATGATAGTCAAAATGAAAGCTGATCAACACACGCTGCTGAGGGGACTCAGCCAGAGAGCGCTTGGCAGCCTCTGTAAGAGTTACTTCCAAGGACATGGGTGCCGGCATATTCTAAATTGAGATTGTCCATGCACAAACTGGGCTAGCTTGGGGAGCCACAAGTCTCGGTTGAGCTCACACGGACACGGGAACTCTTGGCACAAAATGCCTTGTGCCAAAACTTGGCCCCGATCGCACAAGCTGCTAGGGATCCGACACCCCCCATCTTGGCGCTGATCTTCTGCATGAGCTCGCTGTCATCCAGATATTGTCGGATCTGACGGTGACATGAGGCTCCATCCATGTGACCCCGGAACCAGACAAACAACAGATATCAGAAAGCAAGAGACTTTACGGCCTGACCTTCGAAGCGCTGGGATAACCCGGAAGCGTCAGAAGCCCTGCTCGGCCCAAGAAAGGCCTGCTGGACTTGGTAGTCCTTCACAGCCTTGAACCTGGATACTTTGAGGGCGTAGGGCTCAGGGCCTTTGCTCTTCGGGCTTGGTTCTCAAGATTCCTGTGCAGGGACTGGAGGGTCTAAGCTTCATGTGTAGCGCGTCTTGGTTTAGGGAAGCAATTTGAAAGGGTTCGAGTATGGTCTTAAAGTTCTTGTCCCTGGGCAGGGACGATCTGGTCGGCACTCAGAAATAATGAATGCCGCAGCAAGAGCCTAAACCTCAAGTCTTCAACCCTTTAAAAATGGTCCCAAGCCCTAAGCATATACTCGCCCCACGAGGCCTTTTACAAACCCAAGCCCTTCAACCCTCTTGAAGGCCCTAAGCTCTACACTATTTGAGATTTTTGGGGTTCAGGGCGAACTCCAACCCTAAGCCCTAAACGTGAGCCGTCTCAAAAAACCCTATGCCCAACACACATGTGGGTGCTTATGTGACACCAGGGTTTAGGAGAGGTTTAGGGTTCGAGGTGTCGAGGGATTTAGGTGTTTGGGGTAAGTTAAGGGAGCTTTTAGGGGGCTTCAGGGCTGTTAAGCGGTTTTTTTGGGGGTTTAGGGGTTTAGGGGGCTGATGATTTGAAGGGAGTCTAAACGGTCGAAAGGGCTGAAGGGTTTAAGGCGTTGGGGGGGTTTAAGGGCTGAGGGCCTATTAGGTTCTTTGGGGGGTCATGTGGGATTTAGGCTTTGCAGAGGTTGCCCTCCTACCCTAAACCCTAAACCCTAAACCCTAAACCCTGAACCCTAAACCCTAAACCCTAAACCCTAAAACCCTAAACCCTAAGGCCCTGGCAGCTCCTCGAACTCGGGCTCCTGCTCCAGGTCCTTTGTTTGGTTTCGGGTTGCCGGTTTAGGGTTCAGGGTTTAGGGTTGAGGGATTAGGGTTTAGGGCTATCGAAGAAGCGACCCTATGCTGTCACAGCCTTCAATTTCAGCAGGCTTCGGCATCGGTTGCAAAGGTTTAGGGTGAGTGGAGGAGGTTCCATGGCAGCGCGAAAGGGTAGGTTTCGGGCTCAGGTTTCGGCCAAGGCTTCTGGTGATGGCAAAAGGGCCAATCCTGCACAGTATGAACCCTGAACTCAAAACCCCGTAAACCAGGAGCCTTCAACTCTCTGAGAGTTCAACCCTGGAAAGCCTGAACTCCGGACTCCCAACCATGAGCCTGAAACCCCAACCCTGAACCCTATCCCCAAGCCAGGCAACTTGCATGTCCCTACACACGAACGCGAATCCTGCAATTGGTATATATGTGTATATATATATATACATATTGGGATATGTATACTATCAATAGCGGAATATACTTCCTAAATGCCTAGCCGGAAGCAAGCGCTTTACTTCGCAGCAATCTCGGCCCTCTGCCTTCATCCTCTTGGCGAAGTCCTGTGGCCAATGAGAAGCTGCCGGTGCAGGGCATCAGGATTGCAGGGCTTGGAGCTGCTTTCTTACGAGTCATAAAACAAGAGAGGTAGCATGATTGTAGCAAGAAGTATCGTTTCTCAAATGGTTTAGAATGAGGGTTCGTACTGAAGCAACAACCATCATCATCGTCATCGTCATCGTCAAGATCATCGTCATCGTCATCGTCAAGATCATCGTCATCATCATCATCATCATCATCATCATCGGAGGTTAACAAACTGTAGGAAATCGGGCCGAGGGTGTCCTAGGTTTTGAGATGCCGGGGTTGGGTTGGCGCTGAGGGTTAAGGCTTGTGACCCCGCGGGGCCGGAGCAAAACCGTAGGCAGGCCAGACTGTGGCAGGGCGCAGCAGGGGCACTCAAGAATACCTCACAAGCTCATAGCTCCCATGGACCATACTTAACGACTGCAAGGGGGCCGCCTGGCGCATCAGTTAAAAAGGTACTAGATGACCACATGTCCGACGAAAGCCCGAAGGCAATGATCGAAGTGTCCGGGAGTATTTCAGGAGCTCAAGGCATACCCTTTTAGTCAATGCCTTGTCATTAGTTGTTGGGTATGTGAGGTCATTGGGTTTAGGGGTTTAGGGGCCCAAATACCCCAAACCCTATGCCCTGAGGGTTTCGAACGTTTAGGGAATAGAGGGCACAAAGACTTAAAATCCCCACCTGGTTGCTCTCATCGATCTGACCCTGAAAGACGTCAGCGATCGCTCCTGATCACTTCAGAGATTGTAAGAGTGCAAGGGGATGTGTTTAGGGTCTATAGGGTTCACCTAGGTATTCAAGACTGCTTCAATAAGCTTCGTGGCGCCCCGCCGTCCCCTTTGACACCTGCCAAGTTCTGCTTGCCTCGTTGCCCACATAAATACCCCTACATCTACAAACCCCAAACAACCAGGGCGCAGGGTCCCTGGTCAGATCCTGGTTGTAAGGGTTTAGGGTTCGGGTTTAGGGGTACACAGACATGAAGGAAGACCCAGAGCCCCCAAAGCCCAAACCCTACAACCTGAGCCCCCAAATCCCAAACCCTGCAAGCTCGTGTTCAGAGTGTCGGGGCCCCGACGCATCATCTTCTGCTTCCGTATGCGGTCAGGATTTGTGGAGTGCTCTATGAGCCTTGGTCTGGTCTCTTAGGTTTGAGGGCTTGGGGGTTTAGAGGGTTCAAGGGCTGCAGGGCTCCTAGAGGAACGCTAGGTTTTAGGATAGATAGATAGATAGATATATATATATATAAGAATATACACTTATGAACACATAAAAAAAAACAACAAATGCATAAATAAAACATAAATAAAACATAGTCAAGCCTGTGTGCAAGACCTCTGAGTTTCCCGGTAGATTTGTCCTGCTTAGCATATGACGTTTCCTCCAAGCTCAGGTCGCAAATCCGCAAACTGTTAGGCCCTGCCAGACCCACAGGCTGGAAGGACTACAAGAAATGCAGGGTCCTAAGTAGTATTACTCCCCTGTAATCGCTGTATACACCGTATGCACCCACTGGTATTCGTTCACGTACCCGGGTCCGACAAATACTGCAGGAAGCACGAAGACCCGTGCCCCTCTGTAAGATGAGATGGCAAAAGCTCTGAGACCTTGCCGCGTGTCTCGCGATGTGCTAAACCCTCTTTGCATTCCGAGTCGGCTATTTTCCTTGACCCCCCAACACCCACCGCCCAAACCCTACAAACCTTAAAAGCTCAAAACCTACACCCACCACAACCCCAAAAACCCAAAGAACTTTGCAGCTCCGCAAAACTCAACCAGGAATATCCCTAGAAGCCTCAACCCGAAACCCTAAACTCTAAACCCTAAACCCTAAACCCTAAACCCAACCGCCCTCCTGAACCCAAGGGCTGCGCTTTTTCGCCTCCGCTGGGTTGTTTTCCAAGTACCTGGCTCTGGAGACTTCTAAGGGCTTACAGCGTTTTGGTCGAGGGGGGGTTTGGCTTGGGGATGAGCTAGGGTTTAGGGTTTAGGGTTTGGGGTTTAGGGCTTAGGGTTTAGTGTTTAGGGTTTAGGCTTCACGGCTGCACAGCACCAGAAAAGCTCAGGGCTCAAAGCCTGCAAAAAGCAATACCTAGAGTAACCTGTATACCCTAACATAGGGGAGGGGTAACCAGTGATTCATGGACTCCTTTTGTCAAAATCCATAAAAATTTAGCACCTCTGGGTCCGCCTAGTAGTATTGCTGCTGTGATTGCAGCGTGTATTGCGTGGGTCACTCCGATGGGTATGCAAGTGTGATTTGCCACAGTTCTTACGGCACTGCTACACATATCAAAAATAACCATGATGTTGCCAGCAGTTCTTAGAAACTATCGATGAATAGTTAAAGGCGTCTCCGGCACCTAAACGACCTAAACCATCGGTCTGCGCCTGAAACCCAATGCAGAAGCAGGATTTCATCGTGCACCTAAATCTTCTTGCAGCAGCAGGCCGCGTACACAGTCCAAACACCCAGAAAACCGTGCCGCCTCCCGGAAGCGGAACATCTTGCAAACCCGGCACACCCACCAAGCAACGCTTGCCCGATACCCTTCGTAAGCGATCAGAGACTATGCTTATAGAGCCATTCCGCCCAGCTGCGTCTTTGTCTCATTCCACTGCGCTTCTGTCCTTGGCAGACGAGTGGAACCCTGTGCAACAGGAAAAAGCAACTCACGTAGGGCCATGAGGCTCGCCACTGCTCGCTCCAAACGTAACGAGCCAGGGTTGCAGGTGCTAGACATCAGAAACAAATGGCTCGAGGTCGATCAGAGTCCGGGGCGAGCGGCTTGCCAAGTAAAAGATAGGGCCCCAACCTAATATTGGGTTTGGGAGGGGGATACCCAAAAACCCTAAACCCTCAACCCTCATATTTTGTGAGTTAGGTGGGGAAGGGGGGTGGCTTACATCACCGGAATTGAGAGGGCCACGGCGCAGAGGCAAAATGCCCGCGAACAGCGACGGAATGTGTAGCACAAAAGGGCTTTAGGGCTGTGGTCTGGCGGCGCGACTTCCAAAGTCTTCTTGGGATTGATACAGACCTAAACCCTAAACCCTAAACCCTAAACCCTCAACCCTAAACCCTAAACCCTAAAACCTAAACCCTAAACCCTAAACCCTAAACCCAAATCCTATAAAGGCCCCATAAACGCTAAAGGCCCTAAACCCTAAACCCCAAATTGCGCCCAGCATCATCTTCGGGCTGCGGAGGATTTCGACAGAGGTGCCATCGACCAGCTTTATCTCGGCGGTCAGGCAGCAAGAAACGCAACAACGGTCTAGGGGGTTTAGGGTCTATGATTAGGGTTTAGGGTCATGGGTTTCGGGTTTGGGGTTGTTCTCCATTCTCTTGGCAATGGCCACAAGGGCGGTGCTTTAGACAGCAATTCAAATTGCCATGAGTCAATGGTTCTCGCAGCAAACAAACATACAAACTCAAAAGTAACATTTAACTACCGATTGATACCGGTAGAGCCGGTAGGTGGTTGAGTTAGTGGCAGATGAAGGCCATGAAAAGAAGCCTGTGTACTTGAGCACGCAAGTGATTCCATTCATGGAATGGCAGAAAGAAGCCACATCGATCAATATATTGATGCTTAGGTGCACAGTTCGGAGCTGAATCAAGCCACCGTCACTGCCGCGGGGTGCTTCTGACGTTGAACCGACGCGCACGATGTACGGCCAAGACGATGCGTAGAACAACCTTCGGTGCACCCGGGCATATCGTCCCACAACTCCCCTGCCGGCGCCCTCAAAGTCCCGAAGCTCACAGAAATCCTGAAGCCCTGAACCCCCTAAACCCTAACCTGGGCTCCGCTACTCGCTCCGCCGTCATGCCCTCCTCCGCAGACTCCGCCACAGCCAGGGCGGGCCTGGATCATGAAGGTCAGTGCTTGAGGATGCGGGTGTGGGGTTTAGGGCGTTTAGGGTTTAGGGTTTGGGGTGTGGGGTTCAGGGTGAGGGCTTCTCGCGGTTCTAGAGCTCTGTTTAGACTTTTAAAGAGCTGTTGGCTGCACAGGGGCCTGAACAGCTGGCTGCAGCGTTTCGAAACTGACTGGGGCGGTGAGTACTCTGACCCTATAGACCCTGCACCCTAAATGGTTTTGGGAACTATGGGGGGTTCGGGATCGAGCCCAGTGGGATCCAGGCGGTCTGAGCTCTTTAAGAGTTCAGCAAAGGGTTTGGGCTTATGGTTTCGGTTTAGGGTTGAGGATCCAAGCCCTAAACCCTGAAAATTAAACAACAGGGGTTGGGGTTGGGACCCCCTGAACCCCTAAACCCAGCATTGCTTTTTTTGAGTCGGTGCAGGGTTTAGGGGTTTTGGGTTTAGGGCTCAGCCCCAAACCACAAACCTGTGTCGGAATCAGGCAGTGAGGTGATTCTTGTATAGGGATTCGTAGGGTGTAAGGCAGAAGCCTGACATTGTGTGAAGGCGGCTTTAGCAATTTGTTTGCGGCCTTTTGGCAGCTGGAGCCAAAACTGCACAACCGAAGCCCCCCCCAAAACCCTGAAGCCTGCAAACCCTACATCAAGCTTGAAACCTACGCCCTCCAACACTCTCTATAAGGCTCCGGCTGCCCACCGAGCCCCTTGGCACCCACCATGGCGTGGGCGGGGGGGCGGGGTTCAGTGCCCTGAATCCCGCGCAGCCGTGTCTGAGCCCAAAAAAGCGAGCAGCTGGTCTTAGAGGGTTGGGGCCCAAAGGTATAAGCAAACTCTAAGGCCCCTTCAGGTGGGATCGACTGCATTGACTTTGCCGTTATCGTTTGTTAATCTTCATGCTGCCTCCAGCACACACGTCATGGCATCCAGTTCTTCAAGATAAATTTTATATAGTGGAAGATACTTTCGACCACTTGGATGTTGGGGAGGGCGGGGGGTTAGTTCAGGGTGCCAAAAAGGGCTCACAGCATAGATCCCCCCCCCCACATGACTTTGTCCAAAAAACTGCCACCACCTCGAAGGTCCAATGGATCAGCAAGAACACTGAGACAAGCTTACGATACCTTACGTTTTGTTTATGGGGAGTTCCGGCAATTAGGGGTACCTACTTCAAGGCTGAAGTGAGGGGCGGAAGAGTCCGCAAAGGAATCATAGAAACGGCCACACATTTAAACCGTCGACAGCCCTGAAACCCTGGCTTTGAAGCTGAAAAGCTGACCTGGATGTATGCCAGGTTGGCCCTTAAAAACATCTTAAACATATTCGATGAGGGAAAGCATACATGTCCCAAGGGCCTAGCTAGTAGAGTGTCCCAGTGTGACCTGGAAAAACACAGGGGCATTTCTTGCATCATGGAATTTAAACAGGCCAACCCTGAACACAATAAACAGAGAATAAGGGGTTTAGGGTGGGCTTAGGGTGGGCCCACTCTAGGTTCTAGGTAGGGTAGTGAAGTGTAGGTCTACGCACTCCAAGATGCCTTTTGGGCGGTGCAGCGGATCTGCGGAGAGCTCCCCCGAGCCTGCCCAGTTCCTGAGTGCCTCGTACTTCCTGGGGTCTTTTGGGGGCAGTCTGTGGCTAAGGTTAAGGGGGGTATGGGGCATATTTAGGATTAGGGTTGAGGTTTAGGATGGGGCTTAGGGTTTTAAGGTTCTTGGAGGGAGTACCTCCACGGCAATCCGTGGGCCATTTAGGATTCAGGGCTTAGGCATCACATGGGGTCTCCGGAACTCTGCGTGTGAGAGATCCCTGGTCAGGTTCATCGAGTTCTGCCCACCTGGGAAGGCATTTCCCGGAGACTTCGACTCCGGGATTTGGACAGTCGTGTTTCCGGAAAATTTAGGGTACCTGTCTTGCCTACTTTGGGGGGCCTTATGGGTGCATAATAAGGGCTGCCCCAATTGTGGGAAATACCCGCCTGCTGAACCAGATGCCCCCCGGGATGCAATCCGAAGGATCAACAGCTCTAATGTTCAGGGTTTATAGGGTTTAGGGTCCAGGGTTTAGAATCATGGCTCTCATGCGCCCTGCAAGAATCGGTGAAAGGAGTCGCAGCTCCAACGCCCGCCTCACGCAGCACGTCGCGGAGGGAACCCAGCCCATCGCAGAAGCCGGTCGTAGGTGGGGGCGGTGCTGGCAGCAGAAGGAGTCGAATCGGGAGTCGAAATCTGCTGCTACGCCTGAAGAAGTCCCAAGGCCCAAGCTTTCAAGCCGTAGCCTTAGCCATCTACGAGGGAGTGTCAATTCCGTTCATTAGCGTTAGACTTGGGATGCGACCTCAACCACGATGCCACAGATGAAGCACCATAAGGTCAACCTGAACGCAACTCCCCTCGGCCAAGCCTTTGGGTGCCGGCGGTGGGGTAAAGCCCTGCTCCTGGAAGGTTCGGACGCAGCGGCTGCTGTATGGTTGTAAAATCCGACATCGGGGGGTTGACATCAAAAACGGCCGCCTGCTTTACCATATACAGCCCACCTACTTGTGTTCCATGTACAGCGGTGAATTGTCATGACATCATCCCCACAGAGCCTTGAGACCTGCGGATCGCGTGTACTCTCTTGTCACTGTCTGTACAGAAGAAGCTCCGCTGCGGATTGAACATCGACAAGTGGAACATGCATGCCCACGCCAGGAACTTAAGACCCCCTCGACTGCTCTTGTTAGAGCTTGCTCCATATCAAGCATTGTTAGACTTTTGCTTTTTCTGCTTTTGCTACGGCTACTACTACTACCACTACTACTACTCCTCCTCGTGCTGCTGCTCCTCCTCCTCCTACTCCTCCTACGACTACTCCTCCTACTCCTCCTACGACTACTACGACGAAGCTCCTACTACTACTACTACTACTACTACTACTACTACTACTACGACGACTACTACTACTACGACTACGACTACTACTACTACTACCACCACCACCACTACCACCACTACCACTACTACCACTATACCACATACAACTATACCACTATACCACTATACCACTATACCACTATACCACTACGACGACGACGACTACTACTACGGCTCGTACTACTACTCCTCCTCCTCGTCCTCCTCCTCCTCCTCCTCTGAACCGAAAAGTAAATCACAGCCCATGCACGAGCCTGGAAGCCATTCGTCTGCGGCGCAGGCTCATCTTCAGTACCTACTTTGGGCTTGCACCCCATCACAGGATGCCTCAAAAAAGGTCCCTAGGGGGTGGGGGGTGCTTTATATGGCCTATCCCTGCAATGAACACCCCTTAGCCTAAGCCCTCAAGTCGGCCCAAGTTTCAAACACGATGCGTACCCTCTGTCGAGGATGTATCGGGACTGCAGTAGGGTTCAATTGTGAGTTGGGCCAAACACAAACACGGACCGGAGAACTGACAGCACTGGGGCACTTTCCGCCGAGGTCTCCACCTGCGAAAACAAGAAGCCTAAAACTTCCTGAAAGTTAGACTGGTAACAAAGAGTTGCTGAGATACAGCAATCCTTCATGGAGCCCTGAAGCCAAAAATCGAAACAACAGGGTCTGGAGGCTCCGGCAATCGCCCCGCTCACACACCCGTCCAAGCTAAGCGGGCCTTTGAACCTGAAACCTAAACACCCACCAAACACGGAACTAAGCCACCTCAGCCTTTGCAGCGCGAAGCCCGTCGTCGCTTGCTTCGGGGATCTCCTCCTGCCACGCCGGAGCCTCAGGGAAGGTGTCAGGCTTAGGGTGTAGGTTGACCCAGATGCCTCCAAGATGCTTTTTCAGGGGCTTTAGGGTTTAGGGGTTTAGGGTTTAGGGTTTAGGGTTTAGGGGTTAGGGTTTAGGGATGTTCCCCCTTGTCTAGCACTCCTTAATAGGGATTATAATCGGGGGTACTATTATCCCCATTAAGGACTGGTAGTATAAGGGGGAACATCCCAAGGTGTAGGGTTTAGGTAATGGTTCTGGCGACGTGCTGGAGTCTGGTGAGGAAAGCCGCGGCATTAAGAGCTCATGTCTTGGGACGTGCACAATAACCCTTATCCCTTAACCCTGAAACCCAAATTCGAAAGCCAACAGGGTTTTGAGGCTATGTTTCGAGAGACCTCTGCACTTGCCGAAGAATTGTACACACGTCGGGTTTTCGAGAGAGCCCAGAGATTTCAAATAAATTAAAAAATGAATGAATAAATAAATAAATGCAAACAAACAAATGAATAAATAAATAAATAAATAAAATATATATATATATATATACATATATACATATAATTATGCTAAATTTATATGAGGTTTCCGAAAATAGGGGTACCCTTATTGGGGGTTCCTTTAAGGGGATTCTATTCTATTTTGGGCAGAAAGGGAGTACCCCTATTTGGGACATACCCATATTGTGTTTATTTGTGTGCTTGTTGTGTCTCGACGTGTTTGTTTACTTGCATATGCTGCGCTGGCCCGGCTCTTGGTGCCCTGCGGGGCTTGAAGGCTCGCGCCCTGTCTGGCTAACCTGTCAAGGGTAGGTTTAGGGTTTAGGGTTTAGGGTTTAGGGTTTAGGGTTTGGGGTTTGGGGTTTAGGGTTTAGAGTTTAGGGTTTAGGGTTTAGGGTTTAGGGTCCTTCGTGGTATTAGAGTTTCATAGAAGCCTCTACGACCCCAAAGCCACTAAATCCTATGGAAGAGTCTTGGGTTGGCCTCTGAAGTATAGTGACGACCCTCTTACACCCGGAAAGAGGGTTTTGCAAAACACCCGCCCAAAGGCCCTCCCAATCCCTAACCCTAAACCCCCAAAAACCTAAACAACTATTTGCTCCAGAACCCCCCCCCCCCCCCCCCCAAAAAAAAAAGAAACGATCTTCCTCATAAAGGCAATATAGGGATTGCAATCTTGCATGTTTGGGGGGTTCTTAAGCAAATAGCAGTAAACCAGACTCAAGACACCAGGACCTACCGGGTTGGGTTTTTTCGGGCTCTTGGACCCTTTCGCCGAGCAACCCTGAGCCCCTGAAGAGGAGATTGTGCCGAGCGCAAACGCATCCGATGATTTTATAATCTGTTTATATATATATATATATATATAATGAGAGAAAGCGAAAATAAAACAAAATATAAAAAGAGAGAATAGCGCGAAAAAGGAGAGAAAGAGATAGAGAGAGAGAGAGAGAGAGCGAGAGAGGGAGAGAGAGGCAGAGAGAGAGAAGGAGAGAGAGAGAGAGAGAGAGCGAGTGTACTTATGTATGCATGCATGTATGTACAAGAATGTGATAGAAATGGTAATGATCGTAGCCGTTGTACTAGTTGTAACAGCATGAATGTTCGAAGCGATTGAACCAATGTAAAAATGCGAGTGCGCAAATCGTATAAATATAAGATATGCACACTCAAAGAAGCCTTGTGATACTAACTCAGCACTAACTTGTTTAAAAGCTGTAATCAGTATGCTGTGGTGTCAGATATGACAACCTGTGTGTACACCGCACAAGCTGATGATACGACAGCTTCCCTTGATCCCCCTCCAAGTATCCCTTGCAGGGCCTAAGAGTGCTGTCTTGGGGTCGTGGTGTCTTAAGATGTGTGGTCCGAGGCAGGGTTTGGAGTTGAGACTTTGCAGAGTGGCAGGTCTCTCAACTCTAGGCTTGAATGCTCTGACACCAACTTCCTTCACGCCGATACAGCATGCTCTTCAGCTGCAAAGCAAGAAACAAGTCCTCAGAAACATAGGGCAACAACAGGGGGGGGAAGATTTCTAGCGGACCGACCCCCTCGACCATGATGCGACTGACCCGACGAAGCTTGCCAGCACTTTCTCTGCTACCCTAAACCCTAAACCCTAAACCCTAAACCCGAAACCCTAAACCGGATAACCCTAAACCCTAAACCCCAAACCCGAGCTCTGCTTTTCTTGCCGGGCTGGCACGAGTTTGCTACTGCCCACGAAGGCTGCACTGCGACCCTCAGCATCGCGAGTGCCCAGCAACCGGCCACCCTGGCACCCTGGCACCTGGAAGGTTCAGCCTCCCACATGACTCTTCTAGGGTTTAGGGTTTAGGGTTTAGGGTTTAGGGTTGAGGGTTTAGGGTTCCTGGGAGGAGCGGAGAGCTTGGATCATCGGATTGCTGCCAGTGAGTCTTCTGGAGCCCAGTTGTAGGGTGCTGAGGGGGTGTAGGATGCAAGGTCTTAGTGGCAGCAAGCGTTTAGATCCCTAGGGTAGGGAGTAGGTCTGAAGTCGACTCATACAGCTATAGAGGTCTCTCTCTCCACCGCTTCAGGTGTTCATACAGACTCTGGAAGTATCTGAGAATGCAAGGAAAAGTGACACACATATTCCGCACAGACTTCTTGTATTTGGACTTGTCTGATCTGTGCTCTTTTGGGCTCCCATCCGCCTGAACCTGTGACGTACATGGTTTCACGTGAAGTTCGGATGCTCTTACCTCCGTGCCTTCGCGCGAAACCGAAGATCCCCTGAACGACCCGGCGATCAGATCTTGAGCGCTCTTATAGCCTTAGCTTGAGTGACCCTTAACCCTAAACCCTAAACCCTAAACCTAAACCCTAAACCCCATTTTCTTTGACCTGATCTCTCTGCTGCCCTTGTACTTTACTATTCCGTCTTACGACTATTTGTAGACGTATGCTCTTCAGCCAAGGGATTGTATAAGTACAACATGGTCGATAACCCTTGATTTTCGCAGTCTTCGGAAACGTTAGGAGGGTTTAGAGTTGAAGGGTTGGAGATTAGGGTAGAGTTAGGGCTTCGTACCCCCAGAAGACGGGCAATGTACCCAGCAGCTACAGCACGCTTCTCTTGCTTAAACGCTTTGGTCCATGATGTGATAGGAAGAGAACCCTTCCAGGTGTCACATGCCGGCAATAACTGTAACTCATGAATTGAGTTCCGCGACCATGAACCGGTTCACGGCTCGCCACCAAAATTGATCTGCAGCAGCCCACCCCAACATGGAATGCACTGTTCCTAGGGCACAAATATCAGAGCCTCACATAAGAAGGTCGTCAGAATACCCTTCTCTGGCAATCGGTTACAGGGTCCTGCCACGGAGTATAGTTTAGCATAGTTTAGCATTTTGTGCCATGCATCTTGAAATTTGAGATAGAAACCCAAAACCCCGCACGTGGGGTCTTTGCTTGTGTGTTTTGGAGGGTTGAGGGTTTATGGCCCAGGGTGTAGGTTTCATCGTCGTAAAGATAAGTAGATGGTAAGCTCAAGCGCTGAAGCGGACATCACCCTAAACCCTAAACTCTAAACTCTTGCACCTGCCAAGGCCTGAGTCTCAGGGCACGTTTCGGCCCGATGGAGCCGTGATTCGGGTTTAGTAGGCATACTGTACACAGCAGTCGATGCAATAGTTTCAGGAACCCTAAGCTCTAAACCCTAAACCCCTAAGTAAACCAATCAGTTCACCGGATCGGTTTGTGCCCCAAATTGGTTACCGTGGCGAATAAGCTGTCACTGACCCTGTGCCTGCAGAGAATGCGCGCCCGCGATGGCAGCTGAAACTTGCGCGTTCTTAGGTACCCCTGATGTAACCCCAGAAATACAGTACTCCTTACTAGAGGAACCCCGGAAAAGGGCGCTCCTGTTTCGGAACCTATGTTTTGACCGCTTGCGCCAAAGAGAGGCCATTGAAGCCACCACCAATGGACTTGCTCGTGCTACACTTTGCCCATGAAAAATGCCGGCCGTTGTTCCAGACAAAGCATGAAGGAAGAGAGCACTCATCATTAATGTCACTAGGGGACCATTATAAGCACTCTAGACCCTAAACCCAAAATACGAGAAAACCTCGATGATCAAGGGTCCACTATAAGCGCTGCAGGCACAGGGCGATTAAAACTATAACAGGCATCGATGCACGCACGAAAAGTGGGCGTGCTCGCAGCGGCAAGACCAGTGCCGCGTGTCCCTGCTCCCGATGCAGCTGCTGGAAAGTACTACGAACTGTCATCGAAGTGTCATGCTGCGGAAAATAGTGTAGAAGAATCTACTAATCCGTGCTGGATGCAACTTGCATCAAACAGAGTGTGCATAGAGACGCCTAAATTTCAGGCCCGAAACAGCCTTTACAAAAAACTGACGAGGCTTGAGAGCAGCGGGAGCTATGTCACACACGGCAATGGCACAGCGACGCTACAAGCGGGCCATCTGCAAGGGGTGCGTTATGCTGGCCTTCGGTGGCCTCCGATGCGAAACGAGGTTCGGAAACTGTGCGATTCATGGGACAAAACAGAGGAGCAGGCCCCAATCCGCACAGTTCCGGTAGACAAAATGAGGTGCACCACGCACTCAGGGCGACAGATACAGAGCTGGCACAGCAACAGGAACAGACTAGGCCTGCCTGATTATTGTCGCGCGACGGACAGGATGAGGTCGCTCACTCATCTCTGCCAGTGGTGCCAGCTGTGCAGCTCCTTGCCATTGGTGGAGGCTTTTCTGCTGAAGATGTTCGTACTTGCGTCTGAACCCGCTGCACACAAACCCAGTGAAAGCACGAGTCGTTCGGCAGAACAAGGCCAAACCAACAGGCTCTTGGAGTCACATGTCTCCCATGACCGCCACTTGGATCAATCACCCACTCCGAACCCCTAGCCTACACAACATGCTACCTAAACCCCAACAACCATAAACGCCCACTGTGCATCCTCAAGCTCTCAACACGTTCAAGCCTTCAAAGCCATACAAGAACCAAATCCTCAACCCTAAACCCCAAACCCCTCGGTTGCTGTACCAGGCGCAACCCAGTGCTGGAGGCCGTAAGTGTGGCAGGGTCCAAGGAGCAGTCCGTGAAGTCAAAAGAGACCACCTAAAGGGGAGGTTTGGGGCGGGGGAAGGGCTGGGAGCTTTGAATTGTGGGGTTTGCGTTTGTTTTTTTTTCGTTTTGCTTGGAGGGGAGGGGGTGTAAAACTTGGGGTTTAGGGTCAGGGTTTATAGGGTATAGGGTTTAGGGTTTAGGGTTTAGGGTCCCAGCCTTAGCAGTCCTCTTAACCTTGGGCGGCCGGAGCTTTGCAGCTTCTGCGCGATCCTGGAAATGCAGTGGTTTGGGGGCAGTTCTCGAAATTATACCCTCGGTAGAATGTGAAGCAAAGGCTTTTGCAGTGTAAAGGAACCCGATTTTTCAGAGAACTCTGCACACAATCGGGGGGTTTCGATAGAAGGGGACCCCGAACACAGACCCCCAAGTAGTAGGGCGCCCCTTATAACAAGGACCCCAATCAGGTACCCCCAAAATCGCAAACCCCCAATTCAGTTCTTCAAGATTAAATCCTAAACCCTAAACCCCTAAACCCTAAACCCTAGACCCTGAACCTAAACCCTGTCTAGATCCCCATATTTTCGTAAACTTCCCAATATGAGATGAAGGAGTAAGTCGTGTAGGGCATACTGGTAGCTGGGAGCACAGGTAGTGTGTTTGACTCTTGCCCAAATGCCAAGGCACATGAAGTAGGGTTTCTATTTCTTGACAAGAAATTCTTGTACCCCCAAAAGGACACCCAACATATACACTCATCAATATTAGAAAGGAACCTTATATACACTCACTAATAACAATAATATAAACCCTACTTCACATGAGCCTTGATGACTCTTATTCTGGGACTTGGGATTATTGCCACTTATACCAACAGTCCTTCATATGGATCATAGTACCCCCTTTCAGAATCCCGAGTAAGGACTGTGAGTATAAGGGGGAACATCGATGAAACCTCTGCCTCCCCTGAGACCGTCCTTCCGTGGCACTGCCGGGGCCCACATCTCCTTACTGGTCTCTGGTGAACCAGCGGTGTGCATGGTGCTGGTTTTTGTCAGTCTGTGCCCTCTGGAGGTCTATGGTTTAGGAAGTCTTCTTGAGATGGTAGGTGCTTCGGAATTCTTGCTGGTGGCAGTGGCAGGCAAGGAGGAGGTTGCCTCTCGTGCACGATTTCTCTGGCACGGTGCAGAAAGACTCATTTCGCACAGGGCCTCCGGCCTCCTAACTATGTACTAAGTTGTGATGCGCATTCTGAACTTTCTAACCCTAAACCCTAAAACCCTAAACCCTAAAACCCTGAAACCCTAAACCCTAAAACCCCAAAAACCTTGAACCCAACATAAAAGAAGAAGCTGAAAGGGCCATGTCTCTTCTTTGGCCACAGACCTTTTGGCCGCCAGCGAAGTCGAGCTGGCTCCGCAACCCATAGCTGCAATGCTATAAATCGGGCGGCTTCCAGGCCAGAAAAAGATGGCGAACCTACCTGAGACTTATCAAATACGATGACTGGTTTAGGGTTGAGGGTTTAGGGTTAGGGTTTAGGGTTTAGGCATGTGCAGTACCTGTTTGTGCGGATGCGCGCTCGTGATGCGGTCGTCGTTGCCTGGTGCGCTGCAGAGTTGACTGCTTGGATTCGGTTGTGGCCTTGCAACGAACCACCATAGCCTGAGCAGCCACGCAGCGAGCCCAGTGAATTCGGAGACTGAGTTTGGTGCCGGTTTCTGTCCCATACGTACACGCACACCCGAGCATGTGAAGATCTGTTGTGCTGCTCAGTAAACACGCTCTGAGACCTGCAATGCGACGAAGGGGCCATCAAGACCCCATCGTTGAAACCACCTAAGACCTAACTTTCCCTGCAGCGCATTTTTGAACCCACAAAGTTCCACAGAAACCTCGGAGAAAAGCATGTCTGCTGAATGGGGCTTGAAAAGGGAAGCTAGCCCCCAAACATGGAATAAGGGTACGACGGACCACCCCCAAACCCGTGAAAACCCCCAAGCCGCACCCGACCTTCAAAATCTTGATGCTGGATCGGATTTGCTGGAGGAGCTCGCCTGTCTCACCGGGAGATAGATTTAGGGAGCAGGGTTTACTTAGGGCTTACGAAAATAGGGGACCCCTACAATAGACCACCCCCAAATAGTAGTGTCAAGAAGGTTCCCGAATCTCGGAAACCACCAAGTCACCACTTCTGCCAAGACGTGTGTCAAGCTGCAGTTGTGGTCCGGAATGGTAGCTTTTGTGCAAGGCAAGGTGTGTAGGAGTTAGGATTAAGATATGGGGGTTTACGAAAAGAATGGACCCGTAAGTACGAATACTCGGATTCCCTTTTCAGGTTCCCCTAATTTCGGAAACCCCGTATGTGTGCGTGTGTTCCTGCAGTGTTTGACGATCGTCGCTGCGACTCGTTCACAACTCAAAGAGACTGCTGACAGACTTTTCGCTGAATCTGCAGTCTTCAAGCAAAGCGAACCGAGCATTGAAACATCACAATCACACACTCAAAAATGAAGATAGATGAAGGAAGCTCTGGTTTGGACCAATCCATCAGTGGCTTTCCGCTCATAGATCCCAAGCTAAAGCTCGACCCTAAACAGCTCACAGCACGCTCCTAAACCCGAAACCCTGAACCCGAAACCCTAAATCCTAAGCACTAAACCGTAAACCCTGAACCCAAAGGGTAAGCCCGAAGCCACGGCTGAGCCTGCATTGTCCACCTGCGGTCCAAACTTTTTCTTCTTCATCCGCGCCTTCTCATCCTCTCCGAGGCCAGGGAACTCGTTTCGTTTCTTACCACACTCGGATCCCTCTGAGGGTTTAGGGTTTAGGGTCGTGAACACCCTAAATCCCTGGAGTAGAGAAGGAGGGAGAGAGAGAGAGAGAGAGAGAGAGAGAGAGAGAGAGAGAGCCGCAATTCCCGTGAGAAAAGCTCGGTCAAAACAAAGGATGCCCCACACATGGGGGGGGGGTGTCAAACAAGTCGTCCCCCCTTTGCAGGGCTTAGCGTGCTTCAGGTCCCCCTTGAGTGCTTTAGGGTTGTATACCTCAAGTATTGCAGAACTTACCCCAAAGAAAGCCATAAAAATGGATCCCTGTCTTTGACCCAAAATCTCGAAGCCTATGTAATTGACCAAGACCGTGAACCCTCTTCTAATCCCTTGCGTGTTTCGGAGGCTTCTATTCAGAGGGCTCTGGAAGGTCCCCAAGGGTCGTAGTGTCTAGGAGTTCGGTGCTCCCTTGCGTAGGCCGCGACCATCCCTTCAAGTTCAGCACATTCCCTCCCTGTTTGGGGTTTTTGGCGTTTAGTGCTAGGGCTTGGGGCTTATAAGGGTTTTACGGCGATCCTCGAGGTTGTCTGGAAAGTTCAGCTCCACCTGGAAAAGGTCGATGTTGCTTTGGGAATGAGGGGTGTTGGAGGGTTCGATGCGCTAAACCCCGGGCCCTACGCCCTCAGGGGGCTGAGGAAGGTGTAGGAGTTGATGGGTTAAGGGGGGTTCGGCTCAGGACCAGAGGAACGTCATGCAGGCTTTAGGCTTTGGGCAACTTGTTTCTGTTTCTGGTGGTCCGCTTTCCGAGGGCACTGGTGCCCTGGGTCATGCTTCCTCCTGGTAGGGTGGCCATGGTTCGAGAGTGGATGCGGCAGCGCTGACTTCTGAGTTGTTTCTGGATGTTTAGGGGAGGCTCCATACCCCCCCCCCCCCCCAAACCAGATAAACCCTAAACCCTATAAACCCTAACACTTAGACCCTGAACCCCAACCCGCATATGTGGGCTTCTTCGCCTCGGAGCTGTCTGATGCCTTCTTTGCCACACCAGAGTGGCCGACAGCGGTGATGTGTCCGAGGTTCGTAAACCCAGGTGCCCTTTTCGGGTTTAGGGTTTCTATGGGTTGGGAATCTTATGTGGGTGCGGATTCCTGAAAAAGCCTTTCAGGGTTTACAGTGTCTTTAGCAGAACTGGGAAAGGCGGGATCATCCCTAAGCAGGCGGGTCGCCCAGGAGTCCTTGCGAACCCCTCTATACCTTATATAATCCTCATATACCTAAGTAGCCCCTAAATACCACCCAAACAACCCTAGGGTCCCTCCTTCAGTCCCTTGACTCGCGAAGCCCAAAACCCCAAACACCACTGGCCTCGTCATCTCCGCCCTCGGGCACCACCTCCTGGACGGGCAGCTGGAGTACGAATGCTTCGCGGTGCTCGCAAACGAGGAGGCTGGATAAAGGGGTTAGAGCTTAGGCTCTGGGCGTTGGGTTTGGGGTTTTTAGACGTTTGCTTGCAATTGGGGTTAGGGTTTGGGTTTTGTTTTGACATAGTCAAACCCAGAGTTGGCTCCCAGGTCAATTTCCGGCTTGCTGAGGGCACTGGTCCGTGAGCTTAAGGGAAGCTTTTAGAAGGTGAAGTAGGGCCGTAGGGTTTTGGTGGATGTATACGTGCAGGGCTCCCATGGGGGGGGTATCGATGTAGGGAGCGTCGTGAGAAAAACGCGACCTCGGAGGTGCTGTGCACCTCGCCCCCCCTTGTGCTTACTATGAAGGAGCTCTCAAGCAGGTTGGCAAAATTATTCTGTCTCTTGGTGGTAGATAGCAAGCCTTCTCAAAACCTAGTAGTGAAAGGGTGTCTACTGCGCTGAACGAAGTTAGCTCATTAACAACCAACGCCCACAAACAACGGAGACGGGCGCTACTTGGGCATGGCCTCATGCTTACTACTGCCATGGTTGTTTACAGCACTACTATTGACTATGTTCCACTTTGTTACATTGCCATTGCCCTTTTCACCAGCAAGATGTGGTGGAAGAGATCTGCACTCTGAGTCTCCAGACCAGCTGCGCAGCCTCCCCGCAGAAGATCTGCAAGTTGTTCGCCGCCTTTGGCAAGGAAGGTACTTCACTTTTAGGGTTCTGGGGCTGAAGGGCTACGGAGTTGAGAGTTTGATGAATTGGCGCGATAGGTTTGGGGAACAAAAAGAAGCTTTGGTATTTTATCTTCATAAGCCTATAAACACCGTAGCCCGCAACTTCCTGCGCAAGGGGCGTCAGACAGGCTCTTCCTTACAGATCTGGCGACTCGAAGGGTTTAGGGTTTAGGGTTTAGGGTTTAGGGTTTAGGGTTTAGGGTTTAGGGTATGATGGTGGCTGAGCTCAAGCGCCTAAATTAGTACCAAAGAAGCGCGCAGGCCCAAATTCTCAGCCGTACACCCTATAAACCCGACGAGTCCTTAGCACCCCCAAGATCTACCTCAAGATCCCCAGATCTACATATTTACAGGCTGTCACGAAAAAAGTCCCTTGACATGCTCCTCAAGTGACGTACTGAGAGGAATGCAGAGCTTTGGGTAAACCCTAGAACACAAGCTCGGACCCGCAGGTCGACAGACATTCAACACCACAGTCCGACACCCTGCGAGGAACCCGAGGCGGGCATTGTATAAAGTCTTTGAAGAGTAGGGTCTAAGCAGTTGGGTTCTAGGGTTTAACAAATGAGGGCTTAGGCTTTTTAAGGACTTCGGATTTGAGGAAATTGGAGTGCTAGAGTGCAGGTGATTAGGGCAGTAACATGAGGGTTTTTGTAATTTTGTTTTGGGCTGGGGGGGAAGGGGGAGGGGAGTTGCTTTGAGGGCATTAACCATAAGGTTTTGGGTTGGGGTTGGTATTGCCGATCTAGGGTTCCGGTTTACATTCCAAGGCAGGATCACATTTTCAAGATACCTTTCATGACAACCCCCTCCAAAAAACGAAAACCCGCATAGAACAGGATTTAGGGTTTAGCTTTTAGAGGGTTTTGGATTTGGGTGTAGGGTGGAACCCCCCACGGATACACTGAGCCCTCCAATCCCTTGCAGGTGCTCAAGTGAAGAGATATTAAGGGGAGGAGCACATCAAAATGCCGCTGGAAGTCCCCATGCATCTCTGCCAAACTCATAACTCTGAAATCTACACCCTGTACCCCATGAGTGGTATATGTAGAATTAGCCCCAAACCCTAAGCCGTAAGCCCTGAACCCTAAGCCCAAAACTCAAGCTGTAAGCCATCCTTGCCTCCTCTAGGCAGGTTAGCGCCTTCCCGATGAACTGCCCTTTGCGGTGGGGGATTGAGGGCTTCGCGGTTGAAAATTCATAGGGGCCTTCGGGGTTTAGGGTTGGGTCTCTGGGCTTGGGGATTCGGACTTTTAAACTCCGAATCGTTTCAGGTTTGGGGTTTCGGCTTCGGCGTTTGGGAATTTAAGGTGGCGTGTTTAGGGCCCAGTTGGGGAGGTGTGGAGTTTCCGAAACTTGGTGTGGGGTCTGGGGCTCAGAACGATTCAGGTGTTACGCGAAAGTTCATTTTTAGAGTAGGCTTTTCAGTATCCAGATAAGAGTATGACCAGATTTACCTATAGCTTCCCAGATATAACCTCCCACTTTCAACTTCCCATGAACCTCCCCCCTAAGCCCTAAACCTCAAACCCTAGACCCTAAACCCAACCCTCTAACCCTCTTTCTTTGGATTCGAAGGGTTCTTGCACGATGTGGCTGGACACCTACATGGGCAGCTGTTCGATACGGACGCTCCCCGGCGCTCGAAACAAAACCCTGCACCCTAAAGGGTAAAGTCCCTACACCTAAATCCTAAACCCTAAAACCTAAACACCCTAGAGCCTAAAACCCAAAACCCAAAACACCATAAGCTCGGTCACTTTAACAAACCAAAAAAGACCTCTAAACAACAAAAACAACCCGTGGCTCACACATCGCCGGTGAAATATGCTCGGGCAACCCGGGAGGGAGGCTGCCGGGGCCTTTTCCGTCATCCGCCAGAAGCATAACAGTGGACACGCGCCTTAAACGAGTAGAGGGCTTACTTGAAGGTTCATGGGTACCAAAAAGTAGGGTTGTGAGTGCCCTATGTCAGTTTATGCCTACAGCTACCCTACTTATAACCCCATCTATAATAAGTTCCCATGAACCTTCAAACAGGGCCGGTTGAGTTTGGGGGTGAGCAAGGCTTCAGGCTCAAGAGCTTCAGGTATGTGGTTAGGACGTCAAGCTAAGGATCAACGTCCTGCATGGGAAGTCCAGTTGCCTGTGTTGGTTGAACTCCCACAATGATCCCCACGGCTAAGCCCGCAGGAGGCAAAACCTCAACACTGCGCCCGATGTGTTCACATCTGACACACCACTGAAAACCATGCACCAAACCATCATGAGCCGACCCTGCAGACGAAATCCACAGAAGTATCTAAAACCTTGGACCCAAAAACCCTGCAGTGCAGCTGCCACTGAGAACATGATGGGGGTTTACGATATGAGAGGTACCCGATTGGGGTCCTTATTATAAGGGGATCCTACCAGTACTATTTGGGGCTCTATATTGGGGGTCCCCTATTTTCGTAAAATCCCTAATGCAGCCGGCATGCTGCAGGAGCATGGCGAAAACATCCCGCTCGCGCCGGTCCCACCCTCCAAAGCACCATGCGTTTCGAGGTGCAGGGACAAGAGCATGGGGCTCACATGAGGATACCCTCAACCCTAAACCCTAAACCCAAAACCCACTAACGGCTTCTGGGTCGCAGCGTGTCAAGAGCACTACCGAAGCAAGCGAAACCCAAAGGCCCGAAACCCAAAAGCCCCTACCCAGAGGTCTTACAGACCTCGAAACCCGAAAATGCCAGAACTTTGAAACTCCAAACTCCCATGCCGCAATATTTTGAGACCTCAAGCAGTGCAGCAACCCACCCGGAACCCTTAACCCTAAACCCTGAACCCTGAACCCTAAACCCTGAACCTTCTACCCTAAACCGTGAACTCTAAACCCTTAACCCTAAACCCTAAACCCTAAACCCACCAGCTCCACCCCTCCTCGCTGTCGCAGCCCACGAAGGCCCTGCTCCAGGTCTGGGATGCATTCCGCAAGCCCAGGCCTCAACTTCTTGGGGTTCGGGGTTTAGGGTTTAGGGCTTAGGGTTTAGGGCTGAGGGTTTTGGGTTTTGGGTCTGGGGGGACTCAGAGGCACTGGGAGTTGGACCGTTTTTCCTTAAACGGTTAGGGCCTTTAGGGTTTGGCTTGGGATTGTGTCGCGATATCGTGTTCATCCCCAACTCGGCAGAGAGAGAATTTGTCTGCGCACCTCAGGCAGCCGCCACACAAGCTTGGGATCTCAAGATCACTGTCAAGACGGCCTCTGAAAGATTGAAACCCGAGTCTTTGAAGGATCCTAGGGTGGCTCTTTAAACCCTCGGAAGCAACATGTTCCTGAATATGATCCTCTTAAACCCCGAACCAGGGCTCTCCAGGTCCCCGGGCATATCGCCCAACTCTTGGTGGCAGCTCATGACACGGTCGATGAGCTCGATCTTCGGCAGTGCGGCTGTGGCGGGGGGGGAGATCTTGCAACGATCGAACGCGGAGGATGAGAGCAGGGGTGTTTGGGGGGGGAGGGTCAGGTCGTCAGCTCTGAAGGAGCGTCTTTCAAGATGCTTCTCAGTTCGGGCGGGGCTGTGAGTGAACGCGATGCCAAGCCCGGAAACCCCTAAACTCACTCGGAGAGCACTCCTGGCGCATCTCCACGTGAAGTGAAGTGTTTCCATATTCATACATAAGCACGAGATGTTGACAATCGTATATGTATGCAGAAGTAGAAATATCCGGGGCCACACGCCCTACATGTTCGCGTTTGTAAACCAAGGTCCTCGTTTCAAGTCACAGTCGAAAACACGTCCTCGTACATTTCAAAACCTTGATAAAGCTCCTCTGACAAAACTGTAATCTCGCAACTCTTGCTGGAAGGACCTAAGGCCCTAAGTCTATAAGAGCAAACATGCGACAAGAATCCCCCCAAAAAAGGATAATAATGCAACTACGTATATGATATCCGTGTAGAAATCCTTCCTTTCAGGTGCAAGCCCACTCCAGGGAAGCCCTGAACAGCTGGAGGTGCACCAGGCTGCCATTGGTTGTGGAGTCCTGCGCCGAGGTCTCCGAGCTTCGAGCACCGAAAGCTGACTTCATAGGGTTCTTAAGGGGAGGAGGGGTTCAAGGGGGGATTTAAGGACCCAGTTATGTCTGCCAAACCCCAGAGTCATAACGATAGCAAGGGGGGCTCGGAGGCTTTCGTTTGCAGAGGCGCGTGGTGTCGCAATGTGCGGCCAGCAGGAGCCCAGAAAAAGTGCAACACCTTCGGGACCTGAGCTCCATCCCATCGCCGACTCGGGAATCTGAGTAGAGGCCGTACAATGGCCATAAGCCCTTCAAGCCATGAAGCACTTATTCACTAACAATGCCCTTAAGTCAGTAACACCTTCAACCCTGAGACGCCCACACCACCCTAAACCAAGAAACCCAAAAACCTGCAACCGAAAAAACTGCACTAAACCTAAAATCCTATGACCCATAACCCCAAGCCCCTTATAACCCCTGGACCCTACACCCCAAGCACCTCCCACCCAGTTGGGTCGCACCTTGGTACATTCGACCCGCAGGGCCAAGGCTAAGTATTCACGCGCCTGGCTGCTTGGTTTGGGGAGGGTTTTCGGTTCAGGGTTTAGGGGTTTAGGGGTTTAGGGGTTTAGGGTTTTAGGGTTTAGGGTTTAGGGTTTAGGGTTTAGGGTTTAGGGTTTAGGGTTTAGGGTAGGACATCGTGGTTGAGGCGCTAGGCTTTGAGGAAGTAGGGGCCCCTAGGTGTGGCCCCCTTAGAGTTGGACTTGGGCGCAGGAGTTGTTTGCTCAGGAAAGCTATGGGTGTAAGAGTCGCCGTTGACTCGTTAAAGGACTTTATTAAGGTTTGGGCCAGTTCACTTAATATGAGGGTATCACGCGCCGCGTCAAAGAGTGATCGCGTGGCACTGTTCCACAAGTGAGCATAGAGGAAGAACAATTCGGAGCCCCAAGTTACCCAGATCCTGGACAACAGATTTCTTACGCACAGCCTGAGATTGACCCCCTACACTGCAACACTACACTTTACACCTGGCTGCCTCTGAAAAGCCGAAGCTTGCGAGCCTCATCGTAGCGCTCCAAGCGGACCATACAATGAGCCATGGTGCCTGCCTGTGGCAAGAAGCAGGCTTTGATTGATACGTTCACACAAACAGTCCGTGCACCCATATAGTATTTGTTTGGCCCTAAGCTACTCGATTGGAACCCCTTGCAGGCCCAAGTAAATTCCTCCACCAGCCCAACCGGAACTTGTAAGAGAATACAGCTCAGATGGTTTCAGGGTCGCGTCTTCGAGGTTTGGAGCTTAAGGAGCGACAGCCGGGGGAACCGCGCAGACTGAGATGGCGATCACTCCCCTACCAACGATACTTGCTCGGGTATAAGAAGCCTCGACATCGGCAAACCACTTTACCTGCAACCCGTTGGGGCATGTTCAAAAATGTTGGTATTGCGGTACCCCTATAGCATACCCCTCAATACAAAAATCTCGTTTTGCTAGGAGCCCCCCCCCCCCCCTCCCCAAAAAAAAAGCTTTTGGGAACCCCATGCACTCCTACGTCGTTTGAAAAAAGCCTAGACCCCTATCCGCCACAAAAACCCGACAAGCCGCAAAATCGCAAGCCCTCCATGGCTGAACCTTTGAAACCCCGTAAACCCTCCGTAAACCCTCCGTAAACCCTCCGTAAACCCTCCGTAAACCCCGCAAACCCTAAGCCATCAGTTTTTTCTGCGGCCTGCCAGCCAGCTAATGGCTTCATGGGCCCGAGGGCGGTCACATGGAGTTCGTACCTTGGCGCTGTTTTGGGGTTCGGGTGCTTGGAACCTTGATGGTTTCTAGACAGATCTCGGCAAAGCCTCGGACCCTCAGCATCAGGGAGGTTTTCTAGGGGCTATTCTGGGCTACTTTGGTAGTAAAGGACCAAGTGGTAGGATGAGGGGTCCGTTCTAGGGGTCCAAGCTCGAACCCCAAACCCTGTAACTTCAAGCACTTCAACCCTAAACCCAAGCCCTGAAACACCTGAAACCCTCAGCAAGCAGATTCAAGGCGCCACTCGGCGAGGGCGTGGCTCCGAACTCCGCAGCTGTTTTGCCAATCTTTTCAGTACGACTCGTTTCTAAGCCCTGAGAGGTAACACCGAAAATCCCCGAACTCCCTAAAATCCCTGAACTGGGGTGTAGGGTTTAGGATTAGGGTTTAGGGTTTAGGATTAGGGTTTAGGGTTTGGGTCTTGGGGTTCCCAGGTCGCGGGAGCCCTAAGGCCGAGGGCTCGGCGATTCCCTCAAGGGATCCTCGGCTTTCTCGTACCTGGAAGCTTGAAACTCCCAAACTCCGACCTAGAGGCTATCATGTAGTACCTGTGTTAGGCCAAAAAAACAACTAGAACAAATGAGGTCGTCTTAAACTCCATAAGGGAAGATGCAAGACATCCCAAGGGGCCTGCCTAGCTAAAGACCCTCGAACCACAAGACAGTTTATAGTTCTCAGTTGGGGCTCATTATCCGTAAAGAAACCCTTATTTCGACCAGTCTCGACAAGAAAAGGAACAAGGCAACAGTCGAAGGCTTTTTGGGTTAGCACGGCTTCGGAAGTGACAATTGGTTGCGGAAAGGGCGCAGCGTTCCCCTAAGAGCCTCGCAATAAGATGCGGCCCGCTCGGCACCCAAGACCCTACTGCCGTAAGTCTCTCAACACCTTAAACCCTAAGCCCCAAACCCCTTAAGCCCCCAAAAACCCTTGAAAACCCTGCCCTGCTGATCCCTAAACCCTCTCTACCTCTGTATATTTAAACCTTAATGGGGTCGTCGTCTGATTATGATTTTTTAAGGGTTTTAGGATTTATGATTTAGGATTTAGGGTTTACTGTTTAGGGTTTAGGATTTAGGGTTTAGGATTTAGGATTTAGGGTTTAGGGCTTAGGATTTTAGGCTTTAGGATTTAGGGTTTAGGGTTTCGGATTTAGGGTTTAGGGCTGTCCCGGGACCCCCCCGGGACGAGGGGTTTCGTACGGTTTTCCGAAACCGACGCGGCAGCCAAAAACCATTTTTTCGTCCAAAACCCTTGTGTTTTTTGTGTCTTCTGTGTTGGCTGGGGTGCCATGGATTTAATAGCCACATGCTTATACGAACCAGCAAGATGCGATCCGGGATTTCCTACCTGCGCCTGGCTTCGTGCCGTTTTGTGCCTCACGGCCCGTTTTTTCTGTAACTACTTTGGGCGTTTTTTGGTCGAATCTTGGCTTTCCTTTAAGGTTAAGTATGCTAGACGTTGTTTTGGAAAACGTCTATTGTTTTTAACTTAGGCCTTTGATTCCTAAGAATGTTGCGAGCTAAATGATGTAGGTGGGTTAATCACAAAAAATCAAAGTTAGAAGAAGATATGTAATTCAGATGAAGAGGGATTCTGGGAGGGAGGGGTGATGCCAAACACGTGGGGGTGATGCCAAACACCCTTAGTGAATGCTTGGACCAGAGATGCTGAACCCTAAACCCTAAACCCTAAACTCTTTGCGGCCAGGGCTCCACTCCTTTGCGTCCTGCGCGCGCTCTACAGGATCAGAGCCCCCCCCCCCCCCCCCCCCCCAATGGTGCTGAAAGATTCGGGCGAAGACACAGCTGGGCGCCTTATGTGACGTATTAGTGGCCTTACTTAGCACTTAAACTTGAACCCTAAGCCCAACCCCGAAACATGACCCAACCAACTTAGACTTGGGGTTTGGGAAGTTCTTCACCTCCCCTACAGACTAGGGGTCCCTTCATTGGGTCTCCAGTTAAGGGAGATTCGATTACAGTTGGTGGTAGAAAGGGCTCTCAATAAACTCTAGCAACAAATTCAAAGTCGTTTAGCCTTTGCACTCGTTGCTTCAGCCAAGCATGCTAGCATGGTCAGGGTTTAGGGTTTAGGGTGCTGTCAGAACATGGAGGGTTGCAATTCAGGGCGCCCTGTACGAGGTAACTGCCTTTACCCGTAGGACTTCTCAGCCCTGAACCCTGATTAACCCGTTAACCCTGAAGACCATATATTAAAGGGCCTTCCATTCTCAGTAACCATGAACACTTGCCATCCGAACTCCTCTTTTCTCCCCCATTGCGTCCACCTCAAGCAGCACCCTTCTCTGTTCGAGTCCTCCTTGTTGTCTTCCAAGAAGAAGCTGTCCCCTCCCAGCTAGAGTTTTTTGGGTTTAGGGTGTAGGGAATTCGGCTTAAGTGCGCCGTGGCTTCGGTTGCCCAGTAAGTGTAGGAACTTAGATTCCAAGGGATAACGCCTGAGAGCATCAGGAGAGCCTGAGCTCGGCCTTTTAGGGGAGAAGTTGAACGACAAGGAAGGGCTTCGGATGCATGAGGTTCCAAGGGCTTACAAGGCGCATAGGGGGCGGTATCCTCTTCTGAAGCCATTTCGGCGACGCATGAGAAAGCTTTGGGGGCCTTAGGGTTCGCAGTTCCGACAACGCCATTGAATTCCGATCAAGGCAGCGTTTTGAAGTGCAGGGGTGCGCCTATGCCCATGGCCACCTCACCAACGTTGGAAAGGATCTTGGCAAGCATGATCCTGATCGGTAGGTGTTCGGGTGTAGGGCGACGTCGGAGTACCCTAAACCCTAACCCTAAATACATGCAAAGGCGGCCAGCGACCCCTTCAAACCTTCTGAAACTGCCTCAGGAAGCCGTAACCCACCAGCTCGTTTTAGGGTGAGGGCTTGGGGGGTCACAGGATTTGAGGGACTGCGGGCTCCATTGGGGCTTGTGGGCAATAAGCAGGTGGGACAGAAAGTCAAAGCACGAACTCCAAAGTCGGTAGGGTGTCCCCTGACCGTATAAATATATAAGCAGCATTTAGAGGTTTAAGAGACTGTAGGGTTTCACTGAACCAGTTTCAGTCTGCAGGCCTGTCGCTTGCCTCCGCCGTGCGGTGGATGTCCCCAGCCTTCTGTATAAGGACTCAACTGCTTAGACAGCTTTGGTGTTTTGGGCGGATGGCTCGAAGACTTATTGGCATCGCGGTGAATCTCAGTTTGCACCTTGCGTCATCAACTTGCACCCAAAACTTATTTAATGTTGTCCCACATCACTGCTTCAGCCCGTTTATGCCACAGCTCCGACACACTCCGGCACCATCAAACCGACACCCCCCTCTCCAATATTTGCAGAAGAAATGCGAAGACACCAAGCACTGGGCCCGCCTTGGAACAGAGTTCGAAACCTCGTGGCCGAGATGCAGAGTTTGAGGTGGTTGTCATGTTGCTCCGTGTCATGGCTTGAAGCTGCTGTTATGTCTTGGGCACTAAATCACTAAGTTTTTTCAAGTGCTGTGGGCCCACATGGTCTCTCAGTGTTTGGGGATGTCTTGGCTGCACTTAGGAGGGTAGCAAAAAATTAAAATTTTAGCTGCCTTTTTAAGAAACCCAATAAACCCAAAAAGGCTAAAGATCTAAAGTTACAGTAAAGTACCAAAAAGATGTTGGAGGCTTGACATATGAACGGATTCAGCGACATATGCACTACACTCAGTAGACTGTGACCATCTGCAAGATTCTTACCCAGCAGCTTTCGGAGGTGGCCGTGGATGTGGCGGTCACCAAATACCGGGATATAAGTGACAAGTGTCATCGTCATGCGCCCTACATAGTTATGGCTTGGTACATTGGCCCCGGCAAACTTACGCCGATTCTTGCGCTGACACCGGACTGCCCAAAACTTGCAATCACTTGTATATTCTGCGCCTAAAGCTTCCCTCCCAATGTCGAGCGTGGACGTCAAGGCGTGCGGCTTCTTGCAGTTTCCAAGGTCCTGGCCGATCTTCATCTCTTCCCGCTGCTGCGTCTTCTGACCTCAGACGGCAGCAGGTGGGGAGGCGGTAACCAGGAGTCCGAAACCTGAAGGCTTCCAATGCATTGCAAGGGCCTCATCTGGCGGAGTATCTGCTAGCCAACCCGAGGGCGTGGCCAAGCCGTGCATGCGCCTTGCCCAGGTCCCAGATGTCGAACCAGGTGGCGGGGACGCCATTGGTTTTCTTGACCTGAAGGGCTAACTGTACCGTGTAGTTTCTGGATTGCCGTGGTGCAGAGCTGCATGTTTGCTTGTTTCTGTAGGGGTCTATGGATATGGTCTTGCAGTTTGAACGGGTTAGACTCATCAAGCCCGCCGTTTCCACATCGAAGGCTCCGACGCCCGGAACCTAAACCCTACACTTCTCGAAGCCCCCCCCCCAATATGGCTCCTCGGCGACTGCTCAACCCCTGCAAGCCATCACCCACTGTTAGATCCCTTGCGTACCCAACACTATTTCCCCCCCCTTTACACCCCTCCAGCCCCCCCCCCCCCCTCCAGCAAGCCGCCTCCACGCTCTTCCGCGTGTACTCCAGGCACTTCTCTGCCTCGTCGAGCGAAGAATAGCACCTCAGAGATGCGGAGAGTTTTGGGCTTGAGGGCTTAAGGTCTGGGGTTTTGAGGTTTTGTCTTGTTTGGGTAGCCAGGTTCGCTAACCATAGGTTGCGGTCGAAACGCAGAGCACCTCTTGATTCGTCCAACAGATGCTGCCCCACTTCTTCCTCTGGCTGTACAACTGACAACAACCGAAATACCGAGTGTTTGCTACTTGCCCTGAGAGCTTTAGTGAGGGGAGGGCTGCAAAGTAACCCAATTGCGGGGAAAACCGTCCTGAATCTGAAGAACGCCAAGCAGGTGCAGGCTTCACATGTGGCAAGTGAAGTAAATTCTGGTCCCTTTCCGCGGATGCCTGTAATAAACTGCTTCAGACCCCATGTGTGGATTTGTCGTGCCCATACGCCCAGTCGAGTCACAGCATGTCTCAGTGCAGCAAGCTGAGTGGCTCTACCATACATAAGGGGTGTGTGAATGCATATATTTTATCTATATACATATATAGATATATATATATATATATATATACATATACATATGCATTCCATGTATAACGCACCAAATAAATAACACATGATTGGTGCTGGAGTGGGGGAGGGGTTGGCCAGGTACAGGAAATTCAACACCGGCGAAATTGCAATCGGCTGTTGCACTGCGCACATGCTGAGCTGCCAGCCACGCGAAGTTTCGGTACATGATGTCGTGGAACTGGCATCCAGGAACTCTAGATATGGGGAGGTTGTTCCATCAGGGTTTCTTATCCTCCTGCAGAGAGGGGACCCTCCCCGCCCCTCCCCAACAAAAAAACCAACAACCCCCCCCATGTAGCCCCCAAACTTAGACCTCTCCTCGCACAAAAATTTGTGTAAGAATCTCTTCAGCCGTTCTCAAGGGAGTCTGCGTAGCGCTTGGCCTCCTTGTCTGCGACACCTACATTGTGTTCCATGCTCTGCCTCTCATTGCATTAAAGTTTCCCCACATGGCATGGCCTCAATCGCAGACTTGGCATTTCAGAGCTGCACTTCCCTTGTTGAAAGAACCCTCGAATCTCAGCCAATAAACATCTCACTCCTTAGACGTTACAGCCTCCCTAACTATACATGACCATTGGCACCTCCCAGCCCTCCTCTGGCCGGAAAGGGACCAACTGCTCTATTTCCTTCAGCGCCATCAGGGCATCGTAGGCCCGGAACCTCGAGAGGCTTAGGGTGCGACTGCTTGTAGAGTTGACGCGTAGGCCTTCTAAGAATGTCGCTCTTGTTTTGTTAAACAAGGGTCTTGGGCTCAAAGAAGCTTGCTTTGGGGTTTGGGTTTCGGGTCTGTCTGAAGGCTTCAGCTGAAGAAGCTGGGGCGGAGAGCTGGGGAGCGAGGTGCCGACACTTCTCTACAAAACATACCACCCCAACACCCATAGTCACCCTAAACACCAGGAAAGCTACATGGTAACCCCATCTCTCTGCTCTAAACTCTCCCTCACTTGATGGAGCTAAGGATGCAGCTGCTTCATCCGCACGGCGCAGAGCTTATCGAGGGCCTGCGGAAGCAGGTAAGTTAGGGATTAGGGTTCGAGGGTCTAGGGCGTTGGGTCTATAGGGTTTAGGGTTTAGTGGGTTTAAGTGTAGGATCCTTCCCTGCGGCGCTTCAGGTCGCCTACCGACACCCTCACCATGCCGAGAATAGCACCACAGACTCTAGACCTCGCCAGCCAGCAACCATGATATGATATGGCTTTCTCCTTGATGATTTTATACATTGCCAGAAATCATTCCTCGATCGGCCTCGCCCCCCCCGCCCCCCTGGCGCAACCCCCCCCCCCCCCCCCCCCTGCACCCTAGGCCCCAGCCCTGGTCGGCACGGGGTGTGCCAGGCTGTGGGCGACAGCTTTCAGAGAGAGAGAGAGAGATCTATATATGTATATATATATATCTGTATTTTAATTACGCCTTGAACCCAGCGTCGATCCTCGAACCTACCAGTAAACCCTGGCGGCGTCGCGCCTTGATCAGCCAAGTTCCACCCTTCTTCCGCGCCCTCGGAAGGTTTTGGGGTGCAAGGTTTGGACTTGAATGACGCGCAGACGACATGTCAGAGTACGTCTTCTGAACTGTGGGTTGTTTCGAGACACCAGAGATGTGTGCACATGGATTGCTAAGATTCGCATAGGAATCGCAAAGAGCAAAGAGACTATAGACAAGCAATTGCAATTACATGCCTTCAAGGGATTCTTTTTTTTTATTATTGTTGTTTCTTCTTTTTTTTTGGGGGGGGGGTCCTTGCAGCAAATCCTAGATTAGGATCGTTGAAGCTCAGGGTTCGAGGACGACGAGCTCCGACTTTCAAGGCATCAGGGGCGTGGCTGTGCTGTCAATTGCTTTAGGGTGTAGGGTGTGCAGTTTACCGCTTTGGCAAGCCACTTAACGTCTGGCCAGCGTGCCTACTGGAAGGTTAGATGTAGAGGAAACCCCAAACCACTGAGCAACGAACCCGTGAAAGCCCACATAAAGTAACTACAGATCTATGTGAGACAGCCGGCTCGCAAGATCTCGGAGTCGAGGCCAAAGGCGTGACTACATTCAGGGGCCCGGCAAAGGCACGACGCGATCCAGGACGTAATCGCACCTGGCCGAAGAATTCATGGAGCGGGGGGGCTGAACAAAAACACCTGGCTTCGAATCCGTGGGGATGCTTAGCGGTAAGGGTTGAGGGGCATGGAATGCTTGCCCGTTTCGAAACCCATAAACACCAAAACCCTAAACCCTTATGAACCTCGGATGTGCGAGTCCTAGTCTGAACGGGGCACGTCGGAGCAACAAAATCGCACCAAGCGAAGCATGTGAAGCAACGATGAGGAGGTAGAACGCACTTGTCGGAAGGGTTTAGGGTTGAGGGTTTAGGGCTTAGGCTTTAGGGTAGATTGCCCCTTCACATGTGGTTAAGGCACTTGTCTATCTCGTAGTTCTTCAGATAGACGCCGATCAGGTCCAAGGCCACGCCTAAGCCCACTTGCAAGAATTCAGGTGTTTCAAGTTGGAGGCTCATAGAAGTTTAAGGCTTAATGAACAGGTTCGATCTGAGTCCAAGCTAGCTCTTGGTGTTTGATCCGGGGCCCGGCGTTGGAAAGGGTTCCGAGGAGTCAGAGATCAGGGGGTTGGGATGCGGGCCTCCCTCAGTTTGTGCTTTCAAGGGCTCTGGGGATGAATACGGTTGAGGATTTACAGGGTTTAGGGGAGCTTCGGGATTAGGGAAGTTTAGGGTTTAGGGTGGTTTTCGGTGCTGCTGGTAGAGTCGACAGGCCTCGTGAGTTGGGCTCTTTTCTCTTCACTGTGTTAGGGGGCTACCCCGGGGAACAGGAACCTGCTCTGGAAACACGAGCACTCTTAGGGGGAGAGTGCCTTGATTAAGTTTCGAAACATTCAACGCTCCGCATCCAAGCCGCCGATGTTGCGAGGTTCACTCAGCGTTGCAGTGAGCTCCTCTGAAAATCACGGAAAAACGTGGGGACCACACGAAGCCCCACCCAAAATCGCCAATGCTGCTCAACTCACTATGATCTCTCTATTCAAGTACGTTACATCCTTTCGTAAATTATGTGAAGTCCTGTTCCGCTCCACTCCCAGTACTTGGTAAAGTTTAGGCTCAGAGCTTGGGGTTACCCAGTGCCACACGAAGAAAGCCATGCTCATTACATTAACAGTCCATGTTGCGAACCTGACTGTACCTTGGCGCTCCATGCTCCGTGCACACATCCGAAGCTGCAAGCCCAAAAATAAGGCGAACACAACCCTGAGCTGCCCGAAACATCAATGTCCTTGAAGAACAAAACAGCCTGACTCCCAAGATCCTTCACACCCGGTGCTGGAACACTGAAACACGATGCAGTGCAGACCCCAAAGCTCGAAGCTGGAGAAGCTCATCCTGCCATCTACTGGCTGAGTGTGGCAAGGGCCTATCAGCCCCTATATGAATCCGAAAGCAATATTCTTGAACCCCGGAACCCAGAGTCCTCTTTGTTCAGGCGTGTGGTGAGGGCCTGGGGACACAGCTTCTGAAGATCTTTGAGGAATTATCGGATGAAGTGCAAATTCGAGCTATCGGTCCAGTCAAGCTTTCGGCAGAGATTGTTCCAAGGTTGCACCTTCTATTGCGGCTTCCTTACTCTTCCTGTTGCCCTCCTCGGGCAATTGACAGCGCGCGGACTCTGTACCGTGCTTGTGAAGCTGCGATTTCACTCATCCGCCGGGCATTGGCATCTGTTTTTGTTGCAGTTGTCCATGTGCAGCATTGCAAGCCCGATTGCCATCACAAGCTACATCCTGAGCTTTTGCTCGGCAACATGAGAGTTTATACGAGCTCAAGGGGATATGCAAAGGTTTCAGAAGTTGGGGGATTGGACTTCAGGGGCTCTGGCCTATTCAAGTCTTTAAACTTGAGCTGGGGAAGTAGGAGGGGGCTGAAGCTGCAAAATGCTCTGAGCGTCCGGCCCGAGCATCCTGGCAATCCTGACCAAGCGGTGATGGTCAGTTCTCTCGATGTGACGGTCCCCTCTTGGGGTATCCGAAGCTCTGAACCCTAAAGCCGAACCCCTAAACCAACTAAAAGTACAAGGGTTCTCTTAAGAGAGACCAGAGCTTCGAGAACCAAACCCTCAACCCTTAACCCCAAAAAGCTGACCATGCAGGGTTTAGAGTTCAGAGTTTGGGTTGACGGGCACGCCCTCCAAGCCCAAACCCTAAGCCCGGATGGTGGCCCCAAAAAACCGACTAACCCTAAACCCTAAGCCTAAACCCTAAACCCTAAATTTTAAACCCTAAAGCCGAAACTCTGAACCAAAACGATCCTTGAGAGCCAACTCGAGGATGCCGTCGGCCTTGCCGTCCGCCGGGGCCTTTAGGGTTCAGGGCTTCTAGGGGTTTAGGGTTCAGGGGTTTTGGGGATTAGGGATTGGGTTTGGGGCTTGGGGCATCCAAGGGCAAGGCTTTGGAGGTTTGAGTGTTTAGGGTTCGGCCTTACAGGCTTGGGGGGTTAGGATTCCGGGGTTTGCGTTTGGGGTGGGGGGGGGTTGGGCGTGTCGGGTTTGAGGTGTTGAGTTCAGGAAGTGAGGTTGCGTTTTGGGCTGAGGGATTAAACCCCAAACCGTTTTGGGACCTGTAAGGCTACAGAGTCGGCAGATTTTTTCGGGTTTGCAGATTCGGCCATAAATTGGCCCAAGGGTTCAAAAGGCTCTGGCGAGATGAGGTTCAGAGAGCTTATAGAAAGGCTGAGGAGCCCAACCGAAAGAAGGCAGGCCGTCACCCTTTGTTTTGGATTTCTGCCTCGCCACAGTAAAAGGCACCACGAGGTGCGAAAACCGGGCACACACACACACACACACACACACACACCCCACTGGAAGCTAGTCGTACGAAGTGAATAGCGTGGTGAAGTCTTGAGCCTTGACATTCAGCTACCCAGGTACGCCGCGCAACTCTTCTTCAGCTTAGAATGCTGCTGCCCAACACGTCCAAAAAGCTCGAAATTCGGCTTTTACGCGGTCCTCCTGCCGCCCTGCAGAGGCTATGGAAGCCCCCTATTCTGTCCTTGCTAGGTTTGGCTTGAGGTATACAAGAAACCTTCTAAGTTCTGACGCCTGCACCCAACTCCCTCGTGACAGTGCGCCCTCTTGGAAAACAAAGCTCGCAAAGGCGAATTGCAGGGCTCGGCCCTGGGACTTGCATCATGGGACACATCATGTCTTTGCAGTTCAGCACATACTTGATGCTGGAGAGTGATGGCTTGGATCAGCAATCAGGGTTCAGGGTCGTGGGGTGATTCTGTGAGGTTTTTGCTGTTGGGGGGAATCCTTCTTTCGCTTGACAAGCGGCTTCATTAAAAAGACACCGACAGCCTATTGTTAAACAAGTCTCAAGTCTGACTTCGCAGTTGGACAGGCTCGGGATGGGGCACGCCCCCATCCTCGCAAACCTCAAGGAGCACGTTGAAGTATCAACCGTGCATTGAGGCCATTCTATTTCTTAAAGCACTCCCCAAAAAAGAATACGATACTCCGGTACAGCTGATAATGGGGCTGGAGGAACCTCTCGGAACTCCCCCCCCCCATCCCCCCCCAAGTCGAAATTCGAAATGCTCCGCCCCCCTCAGCTCGGCAAGCTCTGCTCCACCAGCGGCTTGAGGAAGTCCACGGCGGGAAACAGCACCTCACTTTAAGGGCTTCCATCCCTCCCGGAGAGGGAGGGAGGGAGAGGGAAAGAGAGAGAGAGAGAAACAAAAAAACAAAACAAGAGAGAGAAAACGAGAGTGAGAGAGAGAGAGAGAAGAGAGATAGAGCCCAATACCTTCACAATAAGGACCCCTTCAAGGTTTCAGGCATTTTTGTAATTTCTGGAGGAGGTATTGCCTCAGGCCTGGCGTGCACATGTCCCTGGGGCCCTGGGGATGTCCCGGTCATGTCCAGGAAAAACTCCAGCATTGCTGGTGACCATTGGCCAACCGAACAGCTTGTTGAACAATGTCTGCTGACGGAAGAAGAAGAGCGTTGAAGGTATCCTCCGTGAAGACAATCAACAAAAAATCGCAACAAAGAGCACACCGACCTCTGACTCAGACCAGGCGCAGCATTCACTGGGCCGGCACGCATCAGAACAGCAGAGTATCCTGGTAGCAAGCTTCTCAAGCCCGAGGACATGCAAAAGAAGGCCTTCTGAACCGCACCATTCATTCCAAACAACCGGCGCTTTTAGGGTTGAGGTTTCTGACTTTACATCTTTTTGGGAAAGCCTCAAAGAATTAAAAATCCGGGGGGGGGGGGGGGAGGGTAGGGGGCACAGACCTCGTGCGAAGGCGGCAAAGCCCTCTTGGCGGTAGAGCTCGCGAGCGCATGCGACCTTGATATACAAGCTAGCCTGTCTACACTCATATAGCTTGCTGGCAGCTTGCTGGTGGGCTGGCAGAATCAAGTGGAGCATGCGACAACGAGATTGAGCGCGACCATGTGTCGGTGGAGCTCTGGTGTTGAACAGGCTTGAAGGCAAACGAAGGGCCAAGAAGAACGAGGGTACGATGGGTTCGTTGTTCAGTTGGTGCGGCGAAAAGTCTACATAGAACTAGATCCCTCGAGGGGCCCTGTTAAATGTCATCACTTAGGTTCTCCGTGTAAAGTTGTGCAACTAAAAATATACTATAATACACTCCTGTGGTGTTGCACATTGTGCTGCCATGTGGTTGAGGCTGCATTCCTGGACGATCAACTCAGCGCGCCGCGACGCCGGTGTACTTGCGATCTGCCAGGGGTGTGGCATGGCGGGGACCAAGGACTATAGCACGGTAGAGAAAATTGGGTGCACTGGCAAGTCACCAACACACGGCAACTTAAGATTGCCAAAACTCATGCCGACCCGACGGTACCCCACTAGCCCCGGCAGACATCCGGCGACGGTGACTGAGGAATTTGCCGTGGCTTACTACAGCGTACATCCGCTGTCTGCATCCAAGAAAACGGATCAAAACATCTCAACCCTCTCAAGCTCAAACCAACTTGTTTTCAACCCCAGCATGTCATTGAGATCTACCTCCCCCGTACCAGGCCTTGTCCATAGGCCGCCTCACCCATGACGCGGCTTTGCACGACCTCTGACACCAGCCCTACAGCAGGCACCCTACTGCAAAATCTCAGCCGGAGCCGCCTGAAGTATAGGTTGCGCTTGCAACATACTGCTGCATTCACGAGAAGATAGGGCATGCGGCTAATGCAGTGCCCTGACAATCGGGGGGGGGGGGGGGGGGCATTAGATTGGCAGAAGCGATGGCCTAGCTCTTGCACATTGGCAGGTTCCGAAGGAACTAGTCTCCCAATAGCTTTGCAGCTAGCAGGAACACTTTCCACGTTCCATTGTCAGCCAAAGTGCGTCCAGCGGGAAAACTGATGTCCAGCAAAAGACACCAGCCACAGCGCCGTACACACCTGCATGTCTTCATACGATGTACGCGGATCAGAACCACGCCTGGGCATAATTGGTGCGTGCAAGGGGCTATTGCGCAGCTGCACAGGTGCAACTTCCGAACCTGAGCCCAAGTCAAGATGGTAGAAGGACACGTGAGTGCGATGGTAAACCCACCCCCTTACTCAGCTAGGAAGTGTGGCACCCTCGAACCACATGACAAAGCCACAAGCAAAAATCTGTCAACCTGCTCAGCAATGCTCGGGCTTGAGCAGACCCTTCTCGTCACAGAACTGACTTCCCAAAAACATCTTTCTGGCACCTGCTGCTCCCCAGGGCTTGAGAAGGTTCGGCTACTGGGCTGGCCAGTTTCATGGTCCAACTTGAGCACGACCCTAATCAACCCAAAGCCCAAACTTTGTTCCCTCTTGGACCCTAGAAGTCGTAAAGGCCCTTGACTGTGCATAGCAAGCAACTGAACTTGTCGAACGGCCAAAGCGAGGGACAGCGCTTCATAGCCTTCGTCTGATCGATGGGGACATGTGAATCACCCATACAGAAGCGTTCAGGCCAGTGGTTGGGGCTCATCGTTTACCAGCTCCTGCGACTACTGGCAATTGCAAAGGGATAGGCCAAGTTAGAGAAGGGATTGAAGCTTCGCGCCCCACCGTTTTGAGGGAAAGTCTTGGCTTGGGAAGCATGCGCCATGCTGCGCCCATGTCAGGTGGATCATGAGATTGCTGCCATGAGTCTCTAGCATCGAATGCAGCGCGCTCTCTCTCTCTCTCTCTCCTCTCCCTCCCTCCCTACCTACCTCCCGCCCTCCCTCCCGCTCTCTCTGTGCTGGAGGCCATAAAGCCCGGTACAACCACCCCTATTTGTTCTTATGGATTCCGAAACATAAGCCATTCGACTCCACGCTTCCGAACTCGATACCCAGGCTAACCTCGTAGGAGGAGAAGAACACCCCGAGGGCCAGAGGAAATCGAGCAAAGCCAGCGAAGAAGGTGCGGAAAAGACCTGGCAGGGAGGAAGCGCCCTGATACCTTTAGGACCCAGGGTCCAGAATTCAAGGGTGGATACCATGCGAACCCATACGTAAGACCTTGGCCGGGAATGAGACCGCCAACATGTTCACACACGAAAACCCCTTAAAAGCCCTAAGCCCTAAACATCCCTAAACCACCCGCCTGCCGGGCCCTCCCCACGCCACAGGCGCTTCGCCGCCTCTGGCGTGGAGAGCCGGTTGACCTGCTCCCCCCAGTTATCAAGGGTTCAAGTCTGGGCTTTGGGAATAAGATCTTAGGGGGTATAGGGCTTGGAGACTCAGGATGCCTAAATATTCGTTTGGGGGGCGAAGAGGTATGAACACCGGTGCGCAGGCCCAGCCCGACCCTACCGTCCCAGCCGCCGAGACCAACACCTTCAAGAGCTTTCTGCAGACTAGGTCCAAAATCCGTCTGGTTCACCCCGAAATAAGCCTTCTAACCCCAAGCCCTGAACCCCATGAGGCCTGCTGATGTGTCTTCACCACGAAGAGCGGATGCAGGGAGGCCGCCACGCAGACTCCGGAGAAGACGCCTGCTCCGAAGACCTCCAGGATTCGGGTTTATGGTCCATAGAGCTTGGGCCTTAAGGCTCTGAAGTTTCAATCCTCGGGTCTCTTAACTGCATCTCCGGTTTGGGAGTTTAGGATTCAGACGGGCTCTGGGTTGCTCGAAAGTCGCTTTGAACGCCTTACTTAAGCAATATTTGGGCTCACCCGCATACAGTGCATGGCCAAAGATGGCCAGCGATAGTTTGCCTTCGACAAAGAGCTCAAACCGACGCAAGCACCAGAACAATTGCCAGTATGCTTTCTGCGGTCCCCCTCCGAGTCTGACCCGAATTTGTCCATCCCGTCCCGGGGCCTAAGCTACGACATGCCAATGGCATGATTTCAGAACTTGGCGGGGCAAAAACGCACAACACAACCCAATCTTTGCGACAAGCCTGAATGAACGTCTCGAACCGAGAATAAAAACCTTGCACGTTGGAAAAACAAATTCAGCACCGAAATATCGAAAGACAGCTTACAACACGACTTGGGTCTGCCGTGTGAATGAAAGAAGCACTCGAGAGCTTCTGTGGTAAGAGCAAAAAATGACATGGTCAACAAAGAGGCCAGAAACGAGGTTCCAAATACAAAAAGGAGGCTTTTTTTGCCAAGAATAGTCAGCATGACGCTGTCAGAAGTATTCACGAATTTTCACGGGGTTTTCGCAGACTTTTCACGCAGCCCAAGTGGTCCTGGAGTCCTGGAAAAGTGACTTTGCAGAAACACTTTTTTTGCATACGCGGTACAATTTCAAGGCTCATGTGGGGCTCAGGGAAGAAGGGTTTCGGTCGGCTGTACGCAGCTGATGCTAGCCAACATGCGTGTGCTAGGTAGCACAGCTCAGCTAGACTTGGCCCAACAAACACATGTCGGACACACACACACACACACACACCGTAGAAACAGGCTCTTGTACAAATAAACCTGCAGTTCGGCACAGAAACATGCAAGGCACTCGAAAAACTCTCCCAAGCCCTGCAAGAAAAGAGGTCGGGTTTTCCCGGGTGTTTCGTTGGACTCGAAGTTTTCCTTCCTCTTGGACTGGGAGGCTTTTTTCATCTGCAGGCAGGAGGGGTATCGGCATTGGAATTGAGATGCAATGGCACTGCAGTCGTTGCGAATCATCTATGTGCCACTGTGTGTTGCAGGAACTTGTTCGTTTAAGAGAGCAGCAGCTGACAAATTAATCTTCACTATCTGTTGCGTCTTTTACCTGACTTGATGGATTTGAGGGCACTGCTGCCATTTAATCTTCACTATCTGTTGCGTCTTTTACCTGACTTGATGGATTTGAGGGCACTGCTGCCATTCGGAACACGCTAATGTTGAAAAGGTACAGTAACAGCCGATACGAGAAGACGTCTGATGTAGCTCAATCGACTTGTCGTTCCAAGGCGTTGATGAGTGACAAATTCATAGAAGGTGCACTACAGGCGGGGCTCTTCCACTCTACTGTATCCGTCATCCAGCAGCAGGGAATCAGTCCTCGCCCTGCCCATGAGCATGACAGGGTTCACTTCAGAAACAGAGAACCACTGCAGCAGCGCCAAACGTACAAAACTGTGTTTGTCCTTCACGAAAAAAGGTACCACCACGAGGCGTACCCCGGCTTGGGCGCAGAGTTGCACTTTTCGCGAGTCCCGCTTTTGCTGCCTCTCGAATTTGGACACATCCCCGAAGTGGAAATAGCTGTCCGGTTCGTAATGTTGCTCACCGTGATACTCGAAAGCAAGGTTCAACGCAGCGTTGTAGCCATCTAGCTGCAATCCCTGTAAGAAAGCCGGAAATATGGTGTCAAACTTTGCTGGCACAAAAACTGATTCCAAGATTTGTCGAACCTCTGACTCGTTCCGCCATGTCAAGGCTGCGCACTGTGGACACCAAGTGGAACGATGTAAAATGTTTCCTGCGGAGGCCTTCCACGTGTGTCCGTGTTCGCATTCCCAAAAAAGCATGCTGAAGCTATTCAGATACTTACTTGACAGGCATCTTCCACCCAGGGATGCGGCATGTGCTTGCAAACGTGCAAGACCAATGGGCGCTTTCTTCGCGCAATGAGGACACCAGGTCTTTTGTGACATGATTGAACTTGCGGAGGCCAGCCATTCATGACCAAAGGCGCAGGTCCATCTCAAAGGTGCACGAGCGTTCGAGTAGTCTGTGCTGAGGCACCGACCACCTAGCGCCTCGGCATGGTTTCTCAACTGCTGCAAGGTCTTTGGCGCTTTGCCAGCACAAGTCGGGCACCAACTTCCTTTGTGCAACACGCTGCTTGGAGTAGCATGCCACTCGTGCTCCAGCTCGCACTGCCAAAGTACTTTGGTGTGGCTGTTCACATACCCCTGTGCCAGGCACGAGCCACGCTTCGCGACAGCATGCTGCTGCAAACGGTGCAAAGTTACCATGACTCTTGGCTGTTTCGCCTGCTGGGGTTGACTGCTTCGAGCTAGACGGGCGCACATCGGGCACCAAGTCCCTTGGTGCAGCACACTGCTCGGAATTGCTTCCCACACATGCCCGAACTTGCATTGCCATGAGATTTTCTGGCGGTTGTTCACATATGAAGTCGCCAAGCATTGACCACCCAATGTCGCAGCATGGGCGCGGAGGCGCCTCAGCCCTACCGGCGCTTTCGAGCTGCAATGAGGGCACCAAGACTTGCCTGACAGAACATTGTTCGGAGTCCCGTACCATGTGTGACCGTAAGTGCACCGCCAAAGAACCTTTGTCCTGCTGTTCTGGTACTCCTCTGCCAAGCACTTGCCTCCCAAAGTAGCCGCATGGTCCTTCAGTCTTTGGAGTCGAGCTTGCTTCTTTCGTGCTTGGTCCTCAGGTCGACGAAGGGCTTCGAAGATCGAAACTCGTTGGTTTTCTCTAGATCCAGTCGATGGATCACGCGGCTGCAGAGCCGTGCTTGTAAACGATGCCTTCAACAGAGGCATGTGGGCTGATCGAGCGTGGGATGTGAGTCCGCGCAAGAGAATGGAGCAGCGACGAGGAGCTGTGTGGGCGATGACACCTCGCATGGCTGGCTGCGTTGCCTAGTCGTCTTTGGAGTACGCAGTGGGCATGCCGGAAATCTTGCAACCTTGAGCATGAGACTGGCACTGCCGGATTGCCTCGTGCAACGCCAGAAAGACAAGCATGTGAGATGGATCCATGCCTTGCGTATGCGGCAGTTGTCTCTACGAATATCAGAGATGATGGCCAGCTAAAATGGACTCCGCACACACACACACATACACTTACACTTACGCTTACACTTACACTTCCACTTCCACTTTTTTCAGGTGAGCAGACAAAGGCCACGTTCCGCACCTTGGACTTCAAACATGCCCCAGTGAGCTTCCGAAAGAATGTTCTAGGAGGGTGCTGACTACGAGACCGGAGCGCCGTCTCGCTTGAGCCTGTCCTGCAACCAGTGAACCTGTACAGGTTTCAGGCGCAAAAAGATTCTATATAGATCCCTGTCGTGAACGCAATTCACGAAGCCTTGTACTGCCAATCTCACTAGTTACTTAGCCCCTGCCAAGACGAAGGCTGCACCAACCCGCAAGAAAGCCTGATACCAGTCAGCCTCGGAAAGCCACAGTGGCCTCTCGCCAGCTCTTCGTTGAAGATACCCCTTGCCAGAACCCAAACAAGGTCTCACAATTTTTGCAAACATCATGGGGTCGAGAATTCAGCCCTGGCTTGGGGTGCTCGGGTTTGGGTTCTGGGTGATGCCCCAAGAGGGAAACATCCGCGCAAGAGACACGCCGGAAGCTGGGCAGCAAAATGACCTCAATCCTGTGAAGCAACCACATGTGCCTGGGCAGCTTGGAATGACCCGAAGCGCACGGAGTTCAGCAGCATGTACTGACAGGGCAGGAAAGGACTCGCCAACGCATACGTCTTTCCTCGGGAGTGAAGAGATGAATCGTCGCGCAGTGGCTTATTCCGAGTCCAAACAGCATACATGGCTTTTGAGATTTTGGTAGCCTTGCAGCCCTGCATCTCAACCACAACTAAGCCCTTAAATGCTACATGGCTTTACAATGATTCTCATCATGGAATTGATCGCCAACAAGGAGACTTGACAGCAGGGTTGGTTTTGTGGCTGGAAGGCATGGCAGTGAATCTTGTCTCAGAGAACGCTGTGCTCATCCCGATAACGCCTAAAGTTTTGAAGTGTGAGTGAGAAAGGGCTCCTGCACGAGGTGAGGGCCGACGCCGTAGTAGGGCCTCTCCAGCAGAATTCTTGATTGAAGATTCCTTGCGACTGTGTCTCATGTTTTCTAGATTAATTAAGCACAACCAGTTTCACTCCTACAGTCACATTAGCCGACTCGTTTTGCAAAGCTCGGCCAGCTGCTTTGTTAGCACTGCTGTGCAATTATAGGCAGAGACCTGGCAAGCCTGCCTCCGCAGCAGGCCCGCCAGTCGGCCGAAAGAAGTGGATGCCTAGAACAAAGCGCTGGAGGCACAAGACCATGAGTAGGATCCCTTGCAAGGGCTGAATCCATGCCCTCCAGGTTTATTAGATGGGCCTCAGATTTACGTTTCCGGTCCTGCCATCCACCTCATTGCTCCGGGACCCGCATTGATTCTTAACGTCGGTCTGTTGGTGCAGGCTGAAGGCAAATCCGTACAACCCACTAACCCTTCACCCTGTCTGCCGCCCAGAACACGGCACCCGGCTCCAGGTGCTGGGCTGTCTGCATTCGCACCTTCACGGCCCTCAGAGGCCGAGACGTTCAACAACAGCTAGGGTTTAGAGCTTAGGTCAGAAGGCCTAGGGCTTCGAGTTTGGGGTTTAGGGCATCAGGAACTCTACATACGCGGCTGCTGACGATCCAAGAGCCAGCTTGGAAAATCTTGGAAAACTCTGGGAGTTACTTCCTTTCAAATATTAAGAAAGGAACAGGGGCCTCACACCAAGTAGGAGCTCAGTCGCCTTGTAAAGTGGCACGGGCAACTCCGGCACGAAAGGCCCCAGAATGGAAGCACAGTTGACTTCTTTAAGAGACTCTGAGTAGACTGGTGGTTTGGACCCCGGCTCGTTTGGTACAGGAGAATCCATGGACTCTCTTCCGAAAGCAACGAAGGCAAAAACAGGACCCGTCCAATATTCCGACTGTTCCTGGTCAGCGTGTTCTGAACCGATTGGAGACTCCTCCTAGTCAGGGGCCTGAAGCGGGAGTTGCGATTTGCTTGGGGAGGCAAGTTTCAAGCTTTGGGGCTTCTGGTTTGAAACCGAATGTAGAGAGCCGCGCCACTCAATCGGATGGGAGAGGCCAACTGCAGCGCACGATGCCACGACGCCTGCCCCAACATTCTGAAGATCATTCTGAAAACATAAAAGAGCAAACTGCAAGCAGTCGGGACCTAAAGCTGGCAACGGCTAGCAGCAGGATACAGGGAAACCGTGCATGCAACGCACATCAACGTTATGTCGATAATGTTTACATTCATGAGTAGTTCTAAGTGGGGTCACAAGCACCCCAAATGAGTTACTCCGGCTGCGTTCATAAAGTTACCCTACCGATGACAACCTTTACAAATACCATACCGTGCAACCTCAGGCCTGAGATGGCTCCGATGGCATAGTCCCGATTCGGGAAGACCCAGAGGTACATGGCTCTGGACTAGGAACCATGCCCCAAGAAGGGTTTCGTGGCCGCTTCGAGGGTTTTGTGGGGCTGGTGGGGGTTGGGGCTGACCCAGCTCCTCCAGAGCTAATGCATGCGAATGTGTGGGTAGAGAGAATGTCACACAACCCGTCTTGGAGTTGGATTGTGGGTGTTCGAGTCTTCTGCCGCTTGCTGCGACCACTAGTCTGGCTCAGTCTTGGGCCGGAAGCACAGCGATGCACGAACTAGACAAGATGACACAAGCATGATGCCTCACACTGGACATGGCAGTACCTCAACCGCGGCTTCCGGAAACTCCGGGTTTAGGGCTGCAAGACTTCAGGAACCTGTTTCGGACGCCTACTCCTCGGACCCCCAGAGTTCATGATGCCTCGTTCGCCATCCTTGTGAAAGAGCATCCCACACAAACTCCCATCCAAAGCCCCCAAACCTGAACCTTCTCAAAGTCCTATCCTAAACTTTCCTTAAGCCCGGAACCCAAACACCCTACAACCAAAACCTTAAAACCCCAACCGCAAAAAGCAAACTACCTTGGCAAGCGCCTGCTCCGCCGGCGCGGGCTTCGGAGGAGCCTTGCGCCGAGGGCGCCAAGTTGGAGCTTTCGTCTCTTAGGGGCTAGAGTGTTTTGGGGTTTTGGGGTTTGGGGGTTTTGGGGTTTTGGGGTGCTGGGGTTTACAGTATTACCTCCATATGGGGGAAGGCTGCCACAAAGCAAGTTGCGACGGCTGCCAGCCCAGTGGCTACAGCGACATGCCTCCAGATGGTTCAAGGACTTCACGACCAAGACTGACCCAAAACCCTGAATTCCATGAGGCGAGAATACCGAAAAGCCCTCCTGAAAACCTTGTCCCCTTAATGCCGAACCTCTTTAAAGTCCCCCTAAACCCACTAAACCCAAAACCCTAAACCTTCAACCCTATACCCACTCCAGCCTCCTTCTGGTCCTTCCGGTGTCGGATCCGGACCTCCGCCGACTTCACCAGTTGCCTCAGAGCCGGGCCACAAAAGGCACCAGCAGGAAGCCTTCATAATTCATAATCATAAGGCTCGTGCAATCCTTGGGGACCCAATGAATGTAAGAGGGTTTATGGTCCATATGCCTCGATAGGGATTGTAGTACGTATAGGGCATCTAACACCAATTTTGGGTTCATGTGGTCCTCAAGGATTAGGGTTTGTTGGGGATAAGGTCTAGTAACAACTCGGGTTCTAGGTGCTTCAGGACCCAAAAGGTACCCCAGCCCAGACCTGAGAAGGGCCAGCTGCTTTCTGGCAGCTTCTTCTGGCATCCCCGCCAGCCAGAAAACCTCAGGCCCTGTAGGACCGCAGGAAAAGCCCACAGAAACATCTTGGGACTCACGAGCTTTTTTCTGCCCGCAAAGACCGAACAGCTGGGGCTGCAGACGCGGCGAACTGCCGCTCCAGGCGCTCGACAAGCTCCGCGTTGCTCATCTCTCCCCCGTGAAACTCCTGGCATCGCACTTGGCTATGGCTAGACACCGTAGCACGAAGCCTGATCACCGACAACCTTTCAACGAACAACTGGTGAAAGCCCAACTTTCAACTCAGGAAGTGCTCGGGGAAAAAGGCCTACGCAACACAGGACGCGGGAGCAGCTCGCTTGTTTAGGGCATTCTATCATTGAGGGCTCCAGGACCAGTTCGATTAGGGTCCTTGCAAGGTTTGGAACATGCCTCGGGGTGAACTTAAGCCTGACTCCTAAGCCCTGAACTGCGTTTTTTGGGGCGTGTGGTTCAAAACTAAACAACCCCCACATCACCCTCATCAGGGCCCGCAAGCAAGTCCGGGAGGGCGATGTCGCTCCAGGTGTTGCGCATCACCGCCTGAGGAGGAGGAGTTGCTATCCCTTCGAACCGTAAACCACCCCCGCTAAACCCTAAACCAAAGAAGGGAAGATCTAAGATTGGGGCCTGGATTCTACTTTCTACTATTTCTACTGCTGCTGGAGTCTATACATCCCAGACTTGTTTTCTCAAGCATTTCTACATGTCTTAAAGAGAAGAGATAGAGAATTACATGTCAGGTCCTCTGCGCTGTAGTTATCGGGTCATGGCTCGGGTGTAAAAATGCAAGCTGAACACAGTCTGGGGGTCAACCTGTTTTTCAGCCGACAGGATCCGCCGCAAGCTGCGATGAGGTAGTTCAAAAGGGAGAGTGTAAGCAGTGGTATTATGTACTTCATGTGCTCTTTCTGGTGCCCTAGACGATTAAGGATCTACCAAAACTTCATGTGCCCTTTCTGGTACGCTAGACGATAAAGGATCTACCAAAAAAGACCGCGACAAGAGACCGATGATCTAAACTATCAACCCCAAACAATTGCGTCGGGAGCCCGAATCAGATGCTGAAACCCGACCAGACCCCAAGGTCGTTGCAACGACACTGGGCAGACTTGAGGCTGCGAATCTATGATGCTTTTTCCATAAGGGCACCTTTTTTCTCCGATCACCAGGTGATTGAAGACTGCCGCGTTTTAACCATCTCTCCTCTGTACCTTTAGATTTCGTATTGTTGAGATTCGACAAACTACTGCACACTGAGAAGCCGAACCCCCTCTACTATCCGCCTCGCGCTCTTCAGCGATGTCGGCGGCATGAAGGAGCATCGCTGCTTTCTCCGCAGCGCCCAGCTGATCGGGAGGGGTCATGGGTTGATGATCTGAGGATGTTGGGAGCGCCGTTTGTTTGCTCACTTCCAGGAACACAAACTGTCGTGCTGGGGCACTCCATTCATGTGGTTTGAGGTGTCGAGCTGTAGGTTGGGGAACGTTGGCGATTTCGATGTTCAGGAATCGCAGCTGAAAGTAACGGGGTGTAAGCAATCCTGCATCTCTCTCTGCCTAAGAACGTCTACATGCATATGTATATGTATACTACTTACTTTTGGAAATTGTCGCGCCGCTGAAAATTGATGGTGTGTGAAGTTCTACAGCCAGCACCAAGTGCTCCATACAAACTGGCGTGACAGATGCCCCTGCATCAAGTAGAGACGTCCCATGGGCAAGGCTGCAAGGTGTCAACCGCATGATGGTTGCAGTGGAGGCCCGAGAATGAGCCCTGTAAGCTCGCAAGCGCTAAACATTCTGGGAAGCTGATATGCTTGGTCTGCCTCCCCGTGTTGCCATCCGGCTGCAAACTCGCGGGCGAGCACAAAAAAACATTCTAAAGAACACCAACACTGGCCTAAACTCAAACCCCTCTCCTCAAGAAAAATTGGTTGACAATAATGACATACGTCTCTTAGAAACAGTAGCAAGACCCTGTCTCACAATCTCACTACTCTCTCGACCTAGTAGGGGAATTTAAGGAATTCTTCCAAGTTGGCACCAAATAACCACAAACCCAGCCATCTCCTGCCTCGCCCGTGCCGAGCTGTGACTGGAGCTCATCCCAAGGTACCTGGTTCAGTTACAAGGATAAAAATTGAAAAGTATACAAAATGTATAACAGTATATTCGGGTTTAGGGTTTGGGGTCTTTGCAAAGGGGGAGAGAGCGGGTTTAGGATTGGCTCATATAGGGTGGTTTTAAGGGAACGTAGGTGATGATAAGCCATCCTGGTTCGAAGGCCTTAGGGGGAGTTCGAGGTTTAGTCCTTTGATGTTTTTGGTCCCTTAAACATCGGAACGATGAAGCCAGCACCACGTACCAACACATTCTAGTAGTGGCTTAGGAAGGATTGCACAGCTGGCCGTTTAGGGTTTATAGTCTTCAAGACAAGGCTTCAAGGCCTCGTAAGGGATCTGGTGCTCACAGTGTAGCTCTCGAACTCCTGCTTGCTACGGTTCGTGGGAGTCTGCGAAGCTCCAAACCAAGTCTTGTCTGCGTTGCGTTTGCCTGCGTGTGCAGGCACAAGGGCCTCACTCTCGGCTTTGAAAATAGACAGGCCGCCCAAGTTGTGGGCAAACCCGACTCTAATCAATTATGTATGGGGGGGCTGAAGGAAACAAGCCGCAAAAAAACAGACTGAACTTGCAACTTGCAAGTCACAATCTCCGTGGTGCCAGCAGTTCCAAGGCGCGCGCGTTTACCTTGTCTGACCGCAGCATGGAGTCTTCCATGCGCTCGGCATCGCCCTCCTGGCCATCAACGCACGCCGCCTATCACCCTGAGCAGTACGCACCCAGGAAACTGCGCAGGGTGTTCAACTTGCACAAATCGCCTTTTTGTTCAAAAGGCTCCCTTAGAACAACCTACCCCAAACTCCAGATGGAAGAAAATATAGTATTTCTATAGGCAAAACCAAAGAACAGGACTACAATGGAACCCAACCTGAGGATGCAAATTGCGGATGGAGCTTCCTCTTATAAGGGCTTTGGGTCTAAGCTTTAGTGTCTCTATCGAACCACCTTAGACCAGAAACCCTGAAACCGAAGTATAAGTGCCACAGAAGTTGCTAACGGGACCTTGACCGATCGCAGAAATTCGGGCCTCCACACATCACTGCTATAAAGGACACGAGCTCTAACAAAGTGCCACTACATAAGAGGACCTGTCTGCAGAGGAACCCCAGCTCGACTTTATCGCAAGGCATTGGGACACCAACCAAAATGAGCACCCCTCTGCCCTAAACTCTGAACTGCGGCCTCAGCCTCACCAGCCATTGTCCGGAGAATGCTTCGAGCTTCTGCTCGAAGTTCATCCTCAGGCTGCCCATGCTATAGGGGGTTGAGGACTTAGTTTAGGGCTGTGGCCCTTGTGATGCAGGGGCGTGTTGACTTAGAATGGGTATCTTGGGACATGAGGCTCCGTTTGCAGGGAGTGCTTTTGGGACACTGACTCACGATAGTTCCTTACCGATAAGTTGAAGCAGTCTTGCGAGACTAACAACGTCACACACAGCACCCCACAGCATGAGCTAACGACGCCTTGTGGTGCTGAACTCGGGCCCTTCCCGAAATTGCCTAAACCACAACTACCCCGAACCAAATCTCATGGCTGAGGACTGGGCCGGGACCGTCCAGGCCCGACTCAGGCAGAGGCCCATACCACCTTCGCAGCGGAGGGTGAAAGGGGGGTGGAAGGGAACTCGAACCTTCGGGGCTGTGGAGTCTTTCGCTGACTTCAGGTCCTGGGCCCCAAGCCCAGGTAGAAAAAACAAAATATGTATTCATACATATGCATATATGTGTATGTGTACATATCTATATATATATATGTATATATATATATGCTTGTATGGGTTATGAGGGCATGTTGGACCTTCGGACTCGTACTTCGTGGCCAGGACGCGATCGTCCTCGCTCAGCGTCATGAGCGCCTGGCCGACAACAATTCATTCTTTGCCGTGCCGTACAGTAGGGGCCCAATACCTCAAACCCCTGACTAACGTTGCCTGTTTCAGGCGGCCAACTCCAAGAAACACAAGCTAGGACAACCGCTCTTGAGGACAGTATATGCAGAGGGGATTCTCTGACTGATGGGCGGTACCCTTATTGGGGAACTGTCATACGTAAGCACTGAAACTTGAACCCGAAGTTTGTACAACCCATTCCAAGCCTGGCTTTGCGACGAAGCCGAGGGTTCATCACCTGCTGAAAGGGGGGTGGGGGTTGCGGGTTTGGGGTGTAGACCGTGAGAGGGGGTGGCTCTCCGACCAGTTGCCTTCAAACTTGACCTGGTTGGCTCCCTTTCAACCCTGTGAAAGATGTTCGTAAATTGGGTCCTTTTCATCCCAGTAAGGGAAACTACAAGTCTCCCACTCAGCCTACAGAGGACTCGAAGCCGTAATCATGATTGCCCCAAACTCGGAAACCTTCAGCCCAACAAATCCTCAACTCTCCGTCCGACACCGCAGAATCTCAGGTGCCCCTTCTGAGAAGGCGCCTGCTGACATCATCTTCCACCGCAGACCATCGAACTCCATTCCCTCAAACCTCGGTCGCGGTGCTGATGTCTTACTAGTTTGAGCAAGGAATTTGGAAACTATGGTCTCCATAAATGTATCGTAGAGATATATAGGAAGGCGTAGGGGGCCCAGGGGGGATGTAAGGTACCTCAATTTCCCCAATGTCCCTGCTAAAAACCAGTGAGATGCTCTGCCGGGGCTTTTGGTTTTGGGTTACAGGTTTGGGCTGCGAGACCGGGGTACTGAAAAGGATTGAGCCAAGGGTCTAGGGTTTAATTGAGGGTTTAGGGTTAGGGGTCGAGAACTTTTCCAAGTTCAAAGCTTGCGTAATGATGATGCGAGGGGCTGCCGCTTCCAGCGCAGCAAGCCTTGGATGAAAATGCCTTTCCGAAATTCCCGGGCCCTCAACTCGAAATGCCAAAGCTGCATCTCACGAACCTTCCCCGACTAAGCTACCCTGAAGCCCCCATTCCGACCTGCACCGTTATTCTCGGGGTGTTGCTCAGGCCCGACGTCTGCAAATCGGCCAGGGGTGTGCCCTGGGTGCCGCTCCTGGTCGAGGTCTCTCTTCCGGATATGTTCTCGAGACTCAGGGTTTAGGGTTTGGTGTTAAGGGATGAGGATTTAGGGCTTTGGGATTTCGGATTTAAGGGTGGCTCTGACCCGGAAAGGGCACAGATCAGCGACTGCCACCTCAGCTGCCGAAGCTGGATGCTGAAGTTTTGGGAGCTTGCGACTGCGAATACGCCGAAATCCTAAACCCCTAAACCCTGAATTTTATTCAACGGTCAACCCCTAAAGGTCCCTAAACCCTGCACTCGCCCCTGAGCCAATGGCTTCTCAACTCTTCCTCCTGAGTCCACATCCTCAACCCAGAACCCTCGCCCCCGCTCGAACCCGCACTCCCCTGCAATGCCGTAACCCCACGAGAAGTAGATGAAACCCTAAACCCCAAGGCCCAGAGGATGAACCCACATACCCCTTCACTCCTCATCCTAAAGTCCACCTCGCTGAGGAAGGTTTAGGGTTGGCCAAGCTTCCACAAAGCAGCTGTAGCTTCCGGAAGTCCTTCCTGTGCACCAGCCCTACTTCTGAGGGCGGCGCGCGACACAAAATTGGAAGCTCGCCAAGGCGGGCCGAGAGGCACTCTGTACAGGAGACCGCGGGAACGAGACCTGGCCCTGCCCGGTCAAGACCCTTGGCCCTAAACAATACATGTAGGAGCCCCCTAGAAATAGGGTTATAAGGGCCCTAAGTTGGGTCATAAGTATTACTATGTAGGTTACAACTCCCTTAATCTAAGGTTAAGGGGGCCCCTACTTGTAGTTCCCCGCCTCCACTGCGCCGGGTCCCCCGAACGCAGCCGGAGGACGTTGGGAAAACGAAGCCGCGCTGATCCACAAAAACGTTCTTCCTAGGAAGTATCCGATTGCATACCAAAACCACATAAAGCCTAAAGCCTCAACTCCAAACACTATACCCTAGACCTTAAGCCCATGTTCTTCAGGTGCTGGATGGATGCTGTGAATCAATTTGTCATTGCGACGACCAAGACTGCAGCTTCAAACCCTACCCTAAACTCTAAAATCTAAACTCCAAATCCTGAACCCTGAACCCTACACCTTGAACCCTAACCCGGAAACTTTGAACCCAAATTAAACCTTGAAAGCATCTATGAACCCTGAACCTGAAGCCCTAAACCCTATGCAAACACTAGACATGCTGGTTGTCGTCTCTTTTGTTCTGGTAAGTGCCCAAAGCCCCCGCAACCGAAAGCCCTACCCTACCGCTGAGCCCTATG